GCGCAGCTGCCACCGCCCATCTCCTCGCCCGCACGCTCTCTGTGCACGCCGCTGGCATCGCGCATGCAGTAGGCCGGCGACGCGACACCGCCCTGATCATCGCCAGGCATGACCACGAGTGGTCCGTCGACGGCTCTCGCTGGCGCAGGCGGTACCAGAGCGGCGCCGCGATCTGTGCAGGCCGAGTCGATCAAGGAGAAGAAGGACTTGGCCAGCTGGTGGAAGAACTTCAAGCGCAGCGACAAGAAGCCGCAGGATCAAGGTACGCAGCACCCAGAAGCCATGCGTCATGGCCTTTGTCCTGCCTGACAACCCATGCGACAACCCCGGCGAGATCTCACACCCACTTGCTTTGCCTCGTGGGCTTCATGTCTCCCGGGAGCACCTTTACCATGAGTGCTGCCCACACCTCTTCACGTCTGATCGCACGCGTGTCCTCGCCTCTGACCAGGCCGTCTAGCAGCTCCGCAAGGTATCTTCGGCGTCCCTCTACAGCAGAGCATTCGCTACGCGAATGTCGCAATTAGCCTATTCAACGATGAGGGCCAGAGCTACATATATGGCTATGTGCCCATTGTAGTAGCCAAGTGTGGCGTGTTCCTCAAGGAGAAAGGTACCTCTGCCTCATGCTCTCTCTGCCGCTTATACTAACACCGTACCCAGCCACCGATGTTGAAGGCATTTTCCGCTTGGCGGGCAGCGAGAAGCGTATCAAAGAGCTCAAGGTAGCTTTTGACAGTCCTGATAGATATGGTAAAGGGCTGGACTGGACCGGCTACACCGTGCACGATGCCGCCAACATTCTACGCCGCTACTTCAACCAATTGCCAGAGCCCATTATTCCCCTCGAATTCTATCAACGATTTCGCGATCCTCTGAGAAACCACCAGGCGCAGGCCGTGGGCGCTCTGGAGTCGCAAAGTCCGAGCCATGGCGAGTTCGACCACGAAGCGGCAATCCGAGCGTACCAGGCTCTCATCACGGAGCTACCGCCATTGAATCGCCAACTATTGCTCTACATTCTTGATCTCCTGGCAGTGTTCGCTAGCAAGTCCGACTTGAACAAGATGACCACCCCCAATCTTGCAGCAATCTTTCAGCCAGGAATCCTCAACCATCCGCAGCATGACATGGCACCGCAGGAGTACCGCCTCAGCCAAGACGTTCTAATATTCCTGATAGAGAATCAAGACAGCTTCCTTATCGGTATGCAGGGGACTGCTGCTGATCCTGAGACTGTGCGGGAAGTGCAGAGCGGTGCACATACCAAACCCGCAGGTTCACCCACGACCCCAACGCGCGCGAAAACCACTGTTGGACGATCGAGCTCCAGCTCCAGCGTGGCCGCCGAGAGCGTTCGAAAATGGGGCAGCATCCGACGAAACGTGTCTGTCTCCAGCAAACATAGCAAAAGATCTGAAAACGGACCGAGTGCGAACTCGCCTGCGCCCGGGACACCCACCACTGGTGTGAATCGGAGTAATACCGTGCCATCACGAAGGGGTGTGGGTGGCGCACAATCCCCTCGTTTCCCACGCGAAAGGGAATCTTCGGATCCGTCTACGCCACGAGCTCCTGATAGTGCTTCAGGCCAAACTCCGCAGTTGCACAGCACTACTGAGCAACAACCGTACTCGGAGACCCATAGCTCTGTTCAGAACACTCCAGTCGCTGCGACGGCGCCAGTATTTCCGGCCCCGCCTGAGGTGACTTCTGCGTCGTCCAGCGAAGCCACGACTCCAATGGCAAACATTGCTGGCGATAGCACCGCTGACTATCATACACCCCGTAAAGATACTGCACCTTTACTGGCGCCTGTCAGCGGCGGTATCCTGGCTGGTACTGCGGAACGATCAGCTTCCAATACTCCTACGACAACGTCAGTCTCGAGCCGCAAATTTCTCGATATTCTCAAGCAGTCTCCAGGGAGCGATGGAGAGGGCCGCAAGCCCAACAAACTTCAGAAAAAGCGTATCTCTGGCTCTGCTCTTTCAAGCGCACACTCTTCAAGCCATTCGTTGCATGAAGACTCGAGAGATGCGACACAGAAGTCCTCGGTGCAGCCAGCAGTTGTTCAGCATGCTGGGGCTCCCTTGGAAAGGCTTGAAGAAAAGCCCACAGAATCATATACGCAGTCACCACCAGAAGCGAATACCGCACAAGGGACTCCTCAGCGCAATGTCCCAGACACTGTGCTGAAGCCACCTCTCTCGCCATCGAATTCCTTCCATTCCCATACTGACCAATCGGATGCTGATCTGGTGGGTGATGATATGCCATCCACCGAAGAACCGGAGAAGAAGAAAAGGAGCCGCTGGAGATTTTCACGCACCCAAAACAAATTGGAGCAACCATCAACACCTGGCAGCATCAATGCGTTGGGTGCAATGTCAGGGAGAGAAAATGCCATGTCTCGATCAACTATAGGCAGTGGTGGATCACAGCCGCGTAAAAGCTTCCAGGAGCCCCCGCCCATGTCCGCTGTTGCTACCGACCCTATCTCCGAGGATCCTGAGTCCTTCGCCACCCCGACCACACAGACTACTACTGCTTCTGATACGCTCTTTTCCGACTCGGAACGCGAGCGAAAGGGACCGATGTCCTGGCTGCGCAACAAGATACAGGAGCGCAAAGACAAGGACGTCGAGAAGCGCGCAAGGACTCCAGAGCGAGGTCACGAGCGAAACAAAAGCAGGCAGGATCTTGGCACTCCAAGTGAAGATCGAATTTCCGGACGCGGCCGATCATTTGAACAAGGTCGCAGTGCTTCAGGGGCTACAACAACACAATCGACAGGTGCAATAGGCACGCAACAGCAGACGACAGATCCTGTCGACATCACGCAACCTGCGAGTGCAAATGGTAACGGTTCGCGAGATACTGCCAGACCACAAGATACTGCGGTAGGCACAGACGGACAACGAGCCGGCCAGTAGCGATTCACAGCGCCTCTGATTTTGACTGACGTTTGACGACAGCGGAAAGATGTGATTGTATTTGCGTTGAAACGATGATGCTATTCAGCAGATGGAGGAGTCTGGGACACTTATATCTACGGAAGCTGGACGCTGTTTCCGCCGAACCAGTTCTCATTGATAAACTATGTCTATAATGATGAAGAGAATGACGTACGATAGCACCACTTCCAGCACTTATTCCTGGTTGCGATCGATTCCATTACTGCGCCCACGAGCCCAACGTTGAGAATACGGATTTTGTTCTTTTTGTTTTAATGGCATAGTCGATGATGATTGGCTGGAGTTGTTGCCGTGCCGTGAACAGGTTGCAGGCACCTTGGGTGATAAAAATAGACGGTGACAATGCAACTGCAACTGTAGCTCTGCACACTGTTGCAGAACTACGAAAGGTACCAAAGTTGCTGCTGTACGACGTATTCTCACGACCAGAGCTCTTCCTCCCAGTAACAGCAATGCACTTGCTACAATGTGAAGGACGAGTTCTGTCTCTGTGATCTGAGTCGTCAGCTCACAGCCCGTGAACCCGTATTGAGGCTCTTCGACTGAGACAAGACCGCCATGCCGGGCGGCACACCACAGCTTCCCGTTGCAGCCGATCTGCTGTGGGTCATTCTGGGCCCAGCAGACAGGGAACCAGGTTTCAGAAAAAAGGCAGTGAGCTCGAGCTCGAGCACATGAAAAGCATCTGTCAACCTCGATGCGTACCTTTGACGTGTCGTCCGCCGATTACAGGCATATGAATGAATGGATGCTGCGAAGCGTAGCTCCGTTGCGGCACGGCTTCGTGACTTGAAACATGACTGGGTGTTCGGCGTCCGGTATCACGACACGTCGTCAGCGAAGCAGGATTTCGAAGCCACGCTCATCAGCAGTTTGGCCACGGAGCTGTCGCAAGCATGGCTGTCGATCTTCTCTTTTTGCTCGCGGCTGAGAAAGGCTTGTGAGGATGCTGAGCATGGCATGCTCGTATCGAATGCACCGTATCGATGACTGACTGGGGTGCGCAAGTGTGCAAGTGCTCTCCACTTGTCTTGCCGTGCGTGCCTCGCCGCATCCACGCCGGTCGGCGTGGTGGATGGCAAAGTCGACAGGGAGATAAAGTGGCTCCCGACTTCATTGCTCTACACGTACTCACACCACTGCTGTACAGCTCGCCCTTGTACAGACTGCATCAGGCTCAACAGGACTGCGGGAAAGTGTTCGCATCTATTCTAGATCTTGGTCGGGAAACTCTCGTCAGCCCACCAGAATTGGAGCTCCGACACGGCAAGTTGGCAGCCGAGGCGGCGGCGTCGTCGTCGTACTTCTTCAGCCTTCAGGCCAGCCACCCGGGTGCTGGTACGTTCAGAACGAGCCATCTTATCGCGACGGACCTCCGTTGCTTCTCAGACATGGCTTGCTGACAGTGCACACAGTCGCTTTATTAATTATCTGAGCTGGGCTCAAATACATTCGTTTCGCAGCGCATTCCGGCTTCCAGCCAGCCAAGATGCCGCTGTTCGTTCGCTCCATCGGTTTTTTGGCCCTGCCATTGGCCTCGATCGCGCACGCTCGCAGCTTGCCTGAAGTCAACGATGCCAGCTGGGAGCAGAATCTCGAGTCCGTGTCCAGGTCGTCCCTTAAGGCTGCGATCGAGAGCAATTTGCAGCCCAAATACCAAGAGGGTGTCTTCGAAGACGAACACGAGGCGATTGCTGCAGTACACAGCGAGGATGCCAATTTGGCATCTCAGCTAGTCGACCTCGCGAAACAAGATGCCGCCATCAAAGACTACTTGCGCAAGCGTCAAGACAATGCCACGGTATCTACAGACTCCGCGACGACTAGCTCCGTCATTGTCACTGACCTTGAGACGACCACGGAAGTCGAAACGGAGACGGTACAAGCTACTACCACAGCTCCCACCTCGCAAGGTCAGTCGTCTTCTCTCTCATCGGTAGAGTCTTCGGAAGCGGAGCCTTCTACCGTTGTCGTTGTCGATACGAGTGCTGTTACTCGGACGTTGTCGTCGACGGTGAGCTCGGTGCAGGCCACGAGCAGCAACAATGAAGGTCAGACGACTCCCGCCTCGACCTTACCTTCTGTGCAAACCGAGACACTTCCGACTTCTTCTTCTCCTCCAGAGCAGGGCTCATCCTTGATTGTAGTTCCAGACACCAGCGCACCCGCCACAACACAGACCGGAGTTTTGGTCCCCATCACGACCACCGCGACTGCTGATCAAAGCACTGTCGTTGTGACTACCACCGCGTTCGAGACTACCGCTCAAACGACGATTGCAGTGGAACAGACGACAACGAACGACGAAGGTCAGACAGTTGTCACCACTACTGAGCAACCCGCCACGATTGTGACGCAGACCGATGCTGAAGGTTCGACGATCGTTACGACTTCACCAGTTCCGGAAGTAACAGTTGCCCCAGGAGGAAGCATAGTGACATCTGCTCCTGATTCCGTCACGACTACTGATAGTCAAGGCGATTCTGTGGTGCTGACTAGGTAAGTTATCGAGCCAATCTCCAATCGGGGTCGTACTAATCACGACAACAGACCAACTTCCGGCGGCGTTTACACAGCAACTGACTCCGGCGGCGATGTCGCCATTGTCACATACCAACCTGGAGGAGGCACCGTCAGCCAGGTCCGAGTGCGTACGACGACTCTACCCAATGGCCAGCGATCGACCATTACGTCCTTCGCAGAAGTCGGAGCCGAGACTGGCACTCCTGAAGCCAATGGTGGTGGCAGTTCTGAGGAACAGCCGGGACTGCAATCTGGTGCAGTCTCGGTATCTGGCTATTTCGGCGCCGGCCTCACACTCTTTGCCGGAGCGTTGATAGGAGCTGCTATGTTGTGGTGAATCTAGTCTTGCTTTGGCGGGGTTTGATCTGAACAGATGTACATGAATGACGAAACAAAAATGTTTGTACGGTATAGGTGGGAGGATAGTGCATAGCGGCAATGTTTAAAGGAATTGAAGTGCATATAGATCACACAGCGGAGGGCGGACGCTTCACGAAACATAATGAAAGCGTTTGCGGAGTTTCTCCAGTAACAATTCCTTAAGTGCACAGTTCTGATCTCGCAAGATAAGAATATCTTTGACCAAGAACGTTGTGGTATTGAATGTCCACATACGTTTCTTTCTGTTTGATTGAAGCCTTTTGATATATTGTCGATCATGACATTTTCGTCTTGAAACCCTTGAGCAGATACCCTCCTGCCAATTTCCCTACCACTGCACCCGCATACATCCCACAGATGATAGTCACAGGCCACTTCTGCCATTCGCGATCCCAGTCCAAGGGGATAGGAATCGCGCCCAACCAAGCTCCTGCGCAAGCTCCTAATGACATGCCATAAACCTCATCGAAGGGTTGTTGGAGGCTCGCGAGTCGAAGCCATGCGGTGGTATCGAGGCCGTGGACGTAGTAGAGTTGGGGTGTTGTGAGGAGGGCCAGGTGGAGGGAGAGGAGGCCTGTGTGGGGGAGGTGGGAGACGAGTGGTGCGCCGAAGAGGATGAGGATGATGTAGAGGAGGGGCGCGGTGAGGAAGAAGGTGAGGACGAGGGAGAGGACGGCGGGCTGTTGGCTGTTAGCAGGGTGTTCTGGGACTTGCCAGTCGGATAAGGCATACCACGAGCTTGGCCCAGACGTCTTGAGCGGGTTTCGCAGGTTTGGTCTTTCGGCCTGGCTTCGCTTTCGCAGTTGTGGTCTGTCCGGTATGTGGGAGACAGACGACGCAGTAGATTGCTTGCAGGACGAGAGTGGTGGGTGCCAGGCCGAGCAGGGTGTTGACGGGATCTGACACCAGACTTCCAAAGGCGATTGGGATGATGGACAGCAGCAGGATCGGATGCAGATTCGCGTAGAGCTGCGAGGCCGAGTTCTGCAGAATGTCGACGGCCTTCCCGGGTGGCAGCACCGGGGGCGGCTTTGCAGTAGAAGTGGGCGCGCTCATCGTGTCATGAATCCGTGGGCATGGTTGGTTTCACTGCGATACCACTGTGCAAGACGCCCACGAGCAAGACGGAACGCGGAAAAGGCGTCGGCGGGAGTGGAGTTCGGCGCCCCTGCGCAAGCACGCGTTGCATTGCGTATGTAGGGCTGAGCGCCAACTCTCCTTTTCTGGAACGTGAAGCTCACCCACTTCGCTACGACTCCCGACGTGCATGTGCACTCCATTTCCTTCTCCCACCTGTCTTTCTACTTCTCCCTCTCCTTACCTCCCTGCACTTTGATGCGCGGTGAGCTGGTGCGCGCGTCCTGGCGAGGCAGCACAGCTCCCGACTGAAGCAGACGAGAGCTCGCATGGCAGCTGCACCAACATGTCTTCCCCACTTCGAACCTGCAGAGGCACGCTCCTGGCCACGACGATAGCGGCTGCCATTATTTTCTTCTTCTTCCGGCAGTCGCGCTCCTACAGTTCAGCTCAGATTCCGCCCATATCCTACTCCGACACAACTTCAACCAGCGGGTGGAAATTCATCGCCGATCGCGATCGCAACGACCACTCCCTTACACTCGCTCAGTGCGACCAGGCCTTTCCCGACTTATACAAGGAGATTGACCGATCGCGTGCCTATTGGCAGGACCGCCTGGGTCCAGATGGGAAGTTGACAGAGGAGAATTATGGCTTGAAGTGGAGTGGTGATGGAGGCCTGCGGGCCATGATCTACGAGGGCCAACTGTACATCATCGAGTCGCGAGGCCTGAACCACTTCTTGCACTGGAAGGAGAGATCACATGCTACATTACACAACATACACCGAGCCATTGTTAGCTCGCGGGAGAACATTCCCAACATCGAATTCAGCATCAAGATTAACGACATTATTGACTTGACTGAGGACTTTCCCAACACGACAGTGTGGAATTTCAATCGAAATATCCATGACAAGGCGATGGAGCAAGTCTGGCTCATCCCCGACTTCAACTTCTGGGCGTATCCACGTGTAGCTGGTGCATACGGAGATTTCCAACGCCAGGCAATCGACTTCTACAACGACTACAGCAAAAAGATTCCGAAATTGGTCTGGAGAGGCACGACGGATTTCAATCCGCAGATCAGAGTGGCTTTGATTGAGCAGAGCAAGGACAAGAGTTGGTCTGATGTACACAGAGTGGCCGAAGATGTAAACGACGAGGAGGCAGAGAAGTGGAGGATAGCCATGCCCGACCACTGCAAATATAAATTCGCCGTGCACACGGAAGGCACAACGTGGTCCGGCCGACTGAAGTACCTGCTGAGCTGCCACTCGACCATCATTATCCACCCTCTGACCTATACAACACATCTGTACCATCTGCTCGAGGCAGACGGACCCAATCAGAACTACGTGCGATGTGAAAGTGATTGGAAGGATCTGCCTCAGGCCATGGACTCTCTGCTGGCAGACAACAAAAAGGCAAAGCGGATCGCAGACAATGCAGCTGCGAAGTTCCGCGATCGATACTTCACGCCAGCAGCACAAACCTGCTACTTCAGGCATTTGTTCAAGGTCTGGTCAGAAATGACCCATGAGCCAAAGCCTTATATGGTGAAGCACCTTCCCGACGGCACGACTGAGAAGGTCTGGCGTGGCATGACCTACGAAGAATATTTGTAAGTTCAACGAATGAGATAGAGTTCGATTCAGGAATATGCTGACCAACCTCTCCAGATTCCACGACAAAGGATACCAAGAACGAGAATTCGACTGAGATTTGAATACGATCGTGCCATAGCTATAACCGCGACTGGCAGAAGCAGAGAGTGTCAAATGTCACAAACCCGACACTGCGAGGGCAGTCTTGTGTGGGAATGACTGAGGTCTATTGGAGATGACGGTTGGATGTTCATATCTCTCACCTTTTCTTTTGAGTGCTGCCTTACTTAGCAAGGTGTTCAGGGGTCGATGTGGACTTTGGGGCATCGAAGATGCATGTAGAAGAAAATGGAGTGAAGATGGGGAGGTGCTCAGGTCGACTTGGAGACGGAGTCTCAGAAACAGACTTTTTTTCGCATCAAAAACAAATACCCCATGTGTGCGTGAAGCGAGAATATACGTATAAAACTTGCGTAGCTTATATGTCATATGTCCAAACACATATACTTGATGCTTTTGAGTATAACAAGCGATATAAATAGAAATCGTGCCGGCGTTATGAACATCCAATCAGATTTGTGCGCCTGCTCTCCTTCCTCTTCATTTACCTCTTCGTCTCAGTGACTTCTGGCGTGGCCGATTCATGATGCACGACCTCGTTCTTGCCGACCTCTGCTTCTCTGTCGCTGTTCCCGAGTTTCTCCTCATCGCTAATGGTCGGGTTGTCTCTCAATCCGATATCTGCTTGGCCGAGCATATCAATGGGATCTCTGTATGCTGGAATGTAGTTTACGGCGAAGCAGTAAGACCAGGCGAGGACGAAGAAGGCTAGAGGGACGGACATGGCGTGGGCGGTGGACGAGGCGTCTGCTGCTCCTCCTAGAGCTGGAGGCACAACGGCTCCGCCGGCGACTCCTCCGACGATGAAACCAGAGCCGCGTTTGGAGTATTTTCCTAGGCCACGCATTCCCTAAGAGTAAGAGGTGTGAGCATTGGTTACGGATTATCAAACACATAATTATTCATTGTTCGTGGGGGCTGACTTACCAGCGCGACGATGGTTGGGAAGATGATAGATTCGAAGAAGAGGGTAAGGTATAGCATTGCAATTCCTGTGAGATATCAGCAGAAGTTCACACGTTGACCAGTTTGAAGAGATATGGGAAGAGGGGGAGTAGAATACAGACCTGCGTTTCCGTGCACACCAATCGACGGCGAGATGAATACGATGGCCCTGGGTACGTTCCGTCAGCGATCGTCGGGTCTCGCAAGATGATTTAAGAGGCAAGAAACATACAAACTGAGATAAGCTAGGAAGACCCAGCGAGCTTTGACATATTTCATGATGAAGACTCCAGCGAAGCGACCGGCGGTGAAAGCTCCTTGAGCACCTGCGAGTAGCTGGGCTGCTTGGGAGTCGTTGTAGTCTGTCGTTTCGGCAACATAATTGATGACTTTGGAGCTTCGATCAGTATCGAGGGGCGGGGCAGATGAACACTTGGACATACAGTAGCTCGCGATCGCAACTTGTGCTCCTGTGTAGCAGAATTGAGCAAAAGCGGCATGGAACAGGCGATATTGCTGCCAGAATGGTTTGACGGCAGCATTGGCGTGGGTTTCTTCGGCTTGGAATGCCATGTCTGCATCCGTAATTTCGGGTAATGCTAAAACGGAGTATTACCAGGTAAGTATGCTCCTTTGAACGATCTTTGCGGTCCTGTCACTACACTTACGGGAGCTTCGGAAGGCATTAGCAAGAACTTTCAGTAAGATCTGCGCGAACACTGGGACTTACAAGTAGAACACTACCGCGAGCAGGAAGACGAAGCAAGCGATGGCTAGATAGACCCACTGCACGCTCTTGAGGGAGTCTGTGTTATCTCCAGTATCCTATGGTCAAGACAAATCAAATCAGTGGCTTTCCCTTGACATTGACTTCATTGATGAATACCTTGAAGAAGACATAGGATCCCAGGACTGGAGCTACGACGGTGCCAATACCATTGAATGCCTGTTTCGATCAGAACGTGTTCAGAATGCAGCATGACTTGCGATTCAAATCTCCATACCTGCGAAAAGTTGATTCTGAGCTCAGAATATCTGGGAGGTCCACCTGTGAGATGAGAAGTATTAGTCTGTCCCGCCACCTGAGCATAAGCCGTTGCTCTTACAAATCGTGATGTATGGATTTGCAGCCGTTTCCAGCGAGCCGAGACCATTTCCGATGATGAAGGTTGCCGCACAGAAGCCGCCGAAGGATCGATACAGGATGCACGGCCATGCAATGAGGGCGCCCACTCCACTACCACAAGTCAGAGGCATCTAGACAACATCAGAATCTTTCTCGTACTATAAAAAAAGACCCCAGATGAAGACGATCTTGAATCCGTAATGGCGCAGAAGCCAATTTGCGTGGCCAAGGGAGGCGAGCGGATACGCTCCAAAATACGCGGCTTGCAGACTAAGTGCAGGTTCGACTGTCAGTCTGTGTACGACGATCGCAAGCGCCGTGCAAGGTAGGTACCTACCCGCTGGATCGTGCCTTTGTGATGCCAAGTGTGTTTTGGAAGTGCTGCCTTTTGTTCAGTATTTGGAAAGCTTGTGGCATGCTCACTACTGACTTTGTTGAGCGTGTCCAGTAGCCTATCAATTGCCTCAGCTGTTAGTGGCTACATCGAATATGAGCGGACGTCTCAGTGTAGCGTACCCGTAACTGAAACCCCTGTTCGACAAAGCCCCAAGTCAGTAATGTTTCTGATCTGCAACACAGCGGTGGTTCTTGCCATAGAAAGAACAAAATCGTCACCAATGCCAATGGGTAGATCGATTGCTTGAGCGTGAGCTCAGAAGCTCTTGTCCGTGTTGTGTTACCCGCGCGAAGCGAGTGCTTCTTGAAGATTGTCATAGCGACGTAAGAGTTCTGAGGTCGAGGTCAATGATGATGATATTCGATGAAACACATGGAAAGACGCGGGCAGAAGTGAAGACAGGTCGTAGAGGAGAAGGATTTAGGAAGAAGTGTAATTCCTTGCCCGCGTGCCACGTGCTGGTAACCAGCTTTCGCGAGACCACTCGCATGAGTGGCCTTATCAACTAACGCACTCGCCACATGCTCCACGATTAGGGCATGAGGTGATACATTGCCGCTCATTATCCATGTCGAAGGCCGTCTTAGCGGCATTGCATGTTACTCTCATTCGTGTACCCCGCAAAAACCCCAGTCTGGGGATGAATGCAGCTCGGCTGATGTTCTACCGAGCGCGTGTTTTGTCTAGTTTATGGCCGTGCGAGGTGGCCCTAGCTAAGCGAACTGAAGCTGTATGGTCGGCAGCAAGCAGTGTTTGAGAGACCGCAGGACAGAAAGTCAGACTTCGGCAAGTGACGGCGGTGATGGGGCTGTCAGTCCTGGTGCACGTTGCTGCGTGACAGACCAGGGTTCTCCCGATCGGACAGGTCTTGGCATCAGGCATGAGGATGTATTTGCGTGACAGTCTATAAAGACTTCTTTTGTCACATGTGGCTCATCAACCTATGCGTCGTCTTGATGCGGGCGGTGCTTGAGGGTCCGTGGCAGTGCCAGAAAGAGCATCAGCGATAATTTCACGCAGCTCACGTTGAGCTTCCTCTGTGTCAAAATCGTCTCGAGAGGCTAGTTCCTCGATGCGTCGTCTGAACTCTGGGTCGGCGGCTTCTTCTTCAGGCACCATGGTGCCGATGTTCAATTGTAGACCTTCGGGCAAGGGAGGCGGACGCAGGGCCTCGGCTCCATTTTGCACAGAATGTGGTTGAGCATTGCTGTCTTGTGCTTCAGGCCCGCTTGAGAGCTCTCGCAAATAAGCAGCCACCTCAGGTTGCTCGTCGTCGTCTGCCAGCTTCTCGGCAGCAGTTTGCCCGTCGTTATTGCGTAGGGCTCGGTCGGTGCCAAGTTCAAGAAGTTCTTTCGCCATTGCCACTTCCTCCACGCTGAACAAGGCCGTCTCCCCATCCTCATCCTTGATATTCGGATCAACGCCGAAGTCTTTGATCAAGGCTTTGAGCAAATCAGCATGCCCGTATGACGCAGATGCGTGCACCAGGCTGTAGCCATGATGGTCTTGTTTGGAAGCCAATTCCGGATGGGCCTGCAGCTTGTCCTGAACTACTTGGGGTCGTTCTGGCACCAGATTTAGCAGCACGTCAATCGATGGGGCCTGTGCCATGGCTCTGGATGTTGGCGTGTAAGTTGGAAATTTTGTTCAGGCTGTGATGGTCATTAGCATGTGAAGAAGCGGGAACGGCCGCGCGTGTTGCACTTGCTGCTGCAGGGAAGCTTGACGTGGGTTCACCTTGAACTCCACCTCATCCCCCAGCACAAGTAGCAAATCTATAGCCACGACGACATCTTGCACACCTTCATCGCCATGGCCGACTCTCCCGCATCGTCCGATCTGTCCGATCCCCCGTCTGTCGACTCTGACGCCGAAGAGAGACTCAGTACACCCGGACCATCGTCGCGACCCAGTGTCGATATCACGCACATCGACGCCGATCAGCCGCCAGCTAAACGTCGCAGGACTGGGCTTTCCTCGTTAGCGACGTTTGAAGCGGCGACACCGCACCCAGAAGAGGATGACGACAATATTAGTGTGTCCTCAGACGGCTACAGCAGCGCGCCTGGCTCGCCGAATGATAACGAGTGGACCTTGCGCGAGCAGGCGCAGACCCAATGTCTCTGGAAGGACTGTACATTTGGATCCGCAGAGAATAACGACGAGCTTGTGAAGCATGTGCAAGGGACACACTGCGCAACAGGCGGTCCAAAGAAGACCAAGTACGTTTGCGAATGGGGAGAGTGCCAGCGCAAGACGAGCAATCATCCCAGCGGATATGCGCTCAAAGCGCACATGCGAAGTCATACCAAAGAGAAGCCATACTATTGTCAACTGCCAGGTGAGTATATTCGTTCACACGTCCAGCTGTCATGGGAGACTAACTCGGCCGGTAGAATGCGACAAGGCGTTTACTCGATCCGACGCCCTGGCGAAACACATGCGCACTGTCCACGAGCCAGAACCAGCGCGGGGCTCTGCTGCCGACCCGGCTGCTTCAACGACAGGCAAAGGCAAAGGATTCAAGGCCAAGAGCAACGGCGGTGCGAAAACACAGCCCGCGCAAGATATGGGGCCTACAGTCGATGAGGACGGAAATTATGTGGACCCATCGCCCCCGAACGACAACATCACGTATATACCGGCGCATCATCCTATTACGGGACAACCGGGATTCATGATTCACTATCCGCCTGATATCCACTTCACGGCGTGGGAAAGCAGCATCTCCGCCGACCAGTTGATGCGCCTGCTACGGCGACAGGTGTATTGGGCTGAGACGGAGCGTGAAGATCTGAAGAAGCAAGTGGACGAGCTGGAGCGGCAGAAGCGCGAAGAGTGGGAATTGAAGGAGATCCTGCTCGAGGGCGTGATGGAGGCGTCACTGGCGCAAGCGGAACAAGAGCAGATGATGAGGAACGTGGAAGAGAGAGTACGAGTTGAAATGGCTCAAGACGTGGAGTCGGCAAAGCAATTGAGCTGGACGAAGGGAGAGCCCCAATGGCGAAAGAAGCCGGCCCCGGTACCGCACGATCGACCGAACTCAGAGACACCAGACAGACCTCATGCACATCGCACACCTTCGCCACCGCCGACCGGTATGTCTGGCGGCTTTGATGGGGAGGACGATCCGTACGATAACTACTTAGCCGGGCAGATGGCGGAGTATGAAAAGCGAGAGAGAATCAGGAGTATGCAGAACACACCTGCCAATGCGGCGTCAGAATAGGACTCTGGCGCTGGAAGCATCGCTATGGAGACGAGGAAGAGGCTTCGATCATTTCTAAACTTTGGAGACATATAGACTGTCTCGTTGTATTGTATACGAGTCATGAAGCCTTCCATGCTGCGGCATGCTTTACCTGAATCTTGAGGACACAGACTTCCTCTTGCTCTCCTTCTTTTTCTCGCGAGCACTCTCGGCATTTGTGAATGGAAAGTTGGATGTTCGTTTGTCCGCTCCTGTCGTTTTACTGACTCTACTTCGTTCATTGCCAAACAAGCAGGTGAAAACGCCAAAACCTGGTATAAGTTAGCGAGAGTCCAATGTAGATTGCTTTCACAAATCACTGACAAAAGAGTGCTGAGCTGAGTACCATGCCACTTCCAAACCCAAAGCTGAATCCATAGGTAATTTGGGTATACAGATAGAACGCCGAAAGGCCGTGGTAGACTGTGGCCGTTATGGCTGTTGGGTAAGCCTAAATTTGAAGTGAGTCACGTTCCACAGAGACTATGTAAACGAGGTGCGACATACGTATGGGTTATCGCTGCCTGTCGAATTGTCCGCCGATGTGGAAGGAGGTGAGACAGGCAATAGCCCACTCAGCAGCAGCGTGAATGCAGAGAGCGCTATCAGGGCAAAGCCGAGAGCCCGTAGCATATAAGTTTCGACCTCGGTGATGAGGCGAGGCTCGGATGCGAGCATATTGACAATCAGCTTGGGGCTGACCAGCAATGGCAAAGCCTGCAGCGCAAGGTAGCCAGAGGTTGCGGCATCTGGAGGAAAGTTGGATTAGTGACTGCTTCAGCCCGTTTGTTCGGTGTAGTTTTACTGTAGAGTTTGTAGGACTAGGCAGAAGTGTCAGTTCGAGTTATAGGTAAGAAGTGTAGAGCGAGCTACTTACATCCATCTTGTCCATGATGTGCTGATCTTTGGAGGGAAGAATGTAAGATTATGTTTGAAAGTAGCTCGCGTCCGCCTTTTTGACCCGAAGGAGCGGTGCTTTGGCAGGTCGACGTCACTTGGCGAAGTGAATGTGAGCTTGCCGCGTGCAATTCCATCGACGCGACCCGGTCCGCCTGATTGAAAGTTACAGCATCGCCGACAACATGATTCCTCGATAACACTACTGGATCAGAGTTCAAAACATCCCTCGACAAGATGTCGCAGTCGCACGATCTGCATCGCGCGCTTCTGCGGCCGGTCATCCTTCACACTCTGCGCGCCGCTGGCTTCCACAGCACGAAGCCATCGGTGCTCGATACCTTAACGAATCTCGCCGAAAGACATCTCGTACTGCTAGCCTCCACGACTGCGCAACATGCACTATCGAGCCACAACGACCCGGTTCCGACGCTCACAGACGTGCGGATGGCCCTCTCAGACTGCGGAGTACTAGTTCCCCTCGATGGAGCTGCAGAAGAGGCATGGAAAGAGCGCATGCGCGTACCTCTAGCAGAAATGGCGCAAATACCCAAAGGAGGCGAGAAACGCGTTGCGGCGGAGAAGAGGAAGCGTGAGGAGGAAGACACGAGAGATGTTAAGGAATTCGCCAAGTGGTACGATTCAAGTCAGTACAGAGAGATTAAGCGGGTGGCAGGACTGGAGAAAGACCTCAGCGTTCCTGGTGCTGCGCCGTTGATTGGAGTTGGCGGGAGCGTGGTCAAGGAGGATGACTTCTTCACTGCGCTCAAGAAGAAGCACAGCAAATCGGGCGATGACAGCAGGCTACAAGGGACAGTGCTTGGGAGGACAGCAGATGAAAAGGAAATTGTGATAGAGGGCGGTCCTTATCAGCACATTCGGGACTGGAGACCGAGGATGGAGAAGAGCGGACAAGTTCAAGGAGTCCAATGAGATTCACACATTGCCATGCGCTTAACACTCCCGTGCACCAGTGGTCTGCTCTGCGGTACACAGCTGTGTCGCAAAGGCGCAAAGAGGAGCATTTCTCAGAGCTAGCATGCGACTCACAAGGACTTCGAGCGATAGGGCAGGCACACCGACTTCAAATGCCACTTCTGCAGCAAGCACTCCTCTCCGGATACCAGTCACGATAGACGGTAACCCCAGCAACCATTGATGCGAATCCAAGGCCCCTGGGATTCACCTTCAGCGGGTGTGCATGGAGACTTCGTTCGCCCACCGCAGTTTCCAAACTCCGCATGCAGCTCAGTGCCAGCATCAAGACAAGATGCGATCGATACTGAGTCTTGGAAATGCACAAGATCCGGCTCCATTGGCAAGAGCATCTTCCAACCTCATCGAATCCTTCCCGTCCGCCACGACTGCCGAACGCGACGGTAAAACCTGCACATAATGTGCGAAGTCATAGGTCGCGAATTATGCAGCTTGTCTGTAGAAACATATCGATAGGCTATGTTAACAATTGCGCAGCAGTCTGTTTGCCTGCTCGTCAATCTCATGCAGGGTCCCCCGTTCGCTCAAAATTGATTACAATCATGCTGGTACATTCGTACAATCTGATCCGAGTATGCGATACAATCACTTGGCATGGCCGTTCGTCGTGCCTGCTTGTTTGGCTTCCTTTTGTGCTTTGAGCTTCTTGAGTTCCTTCTCAATAGCAGAATCGAGGCGTGACTTGAGTTCCGGGCGGTAGCCAAATGCGAAGAGAATTTCCAGCCAGACAAAGAACGGCGCCAGGAAGATCGCCTGCACTAAGTTGTCAAGAAGTGCCGGAGCTCGACCCTCAAACACGCCATGACCGACAAACTGAACCAGCCATGACGCGATATGAACTCCGATGGCGATGTAGTTGGCTTGCATCCCGTATGTTGAAGTCAAGTGGTTCGCATATGCCGTTCCGGCAAGTAACAGGGGTGCAAGCATGGCGCCTGCGACAGGCTCCATTAAAATGTATAACGATAAGTATAGAAGACAGGCAATCGTCCCTAGGTTCGGTGGCAAGTTGGGTATCGTCAACCAGTCGGGGAATGGCAGAGCTGGTGTATTTGTGCCCTATGGTTGTCAGTCGAGCCGAGCGCGTTGCCTTGTTGCAACTCACAAACAGGAACCCTGTCAGGAGCAAGATAGGCACGAAGACGATATGTATCCCCACGTTGACCTGCGACTATGAGCACATGACTTGTTGAACGTCCATGAAGTCGCCAGTCATACCGGATCATGGTGATAGGATCCATACTGCAGCATGTATCAGTATCCGGATCTCATCCTTTGCGTTAAGCTGTGCGTACGAAAAGTAGCTGTTTCTCGAGGTTGAGCGCCATGATTCCGAGATAACCGAGCCTGTTGCCCGTTGATGCGAAAAGGTGTCGGTATGAGCTCACAAATGTCGACCTGAAGCTGTAGGAAGGTGCCAGATGCCTCGCAAAACCAGTCCTGGCAATATGAAGTAAAGTGTAGAAAGAAATGAAGTGAAGTTGCCTGAGCAGCTGTCAGCTTGTTGGAAGCGATGCGGTCGGATGCCAAGCGTCAAAGCGTCCGCCGAGATGTCCCGGCTGGAAGAACTTGAGTGAGAGGAGCACAGCTTCAACCTCGTCCACCCATCAACCACCTCTCCGCTCACACTTTCATCTTTCATCTGCTGAGGGAGCAGCACTTCACATCAGCAGCGTCCCGAGCACCATCACAATGTTCAGAACCGCGCTCCGGTCGAGCGCTCGCGCGGCCGGTGCCATTTCCGCCAGCAGCAGATTTGCAGCGGTACGTACGCCCTCTCGCGCCACCAGACGAGCTCCAATGCCGCACGAAACCACCAGCGATGGGCTCAATGGGTCGGAGAATGCCCTCCTGCACCATGCGGATGCGGTTTTGGAGCTTCATTCGAGCTGCGCGGGTCGTCCAGGTACGCCCGAGGCTCTCAGGGACAGCGCGCTAACATGTCGTGTTTTGCTTGCAGCAACGAACAACCCCAGCCGTCGCCACTGCTTTCGCTCGCGGATATGCCGCAGAATCAAAGGCACAGCCCACCGAGGTGTCCTCCATCCTGGAACAGAGAATCCGTGGCGTGCAAGAGGAGTCTGGTCTCGCCGAGACTGGCCGAGTCCTCACTGTTGGGTATGCGGACAACAATGGCAGACCCATCGAGAAGCGAGGAGGATGCTAATGGGCACACAGTGACGGTATCGCCCGTGTCTACGGCTTGAACAATGTCCAGGCTGAGGAGCTGGTCGAGTATGTCCCAACCATGGAGATGTGGAGATCACGTGAGCTGGACTGACAACATGCGCTAGGTTCGCCTCTGGTGTCAAGGGCATGGCCATGAACCTCGAAGCCGGACAGGTCGGTGTCGTGCTCTTCGGTACCGACAGATTGGTCAAGGAAGGCGAGACTGTCAAGCGTACTGGAGAGATTGTCGACGTCCCAGTCGGTCCTGAGCTTCTCGGCCGCGTGGTCGACGCTCTCGGTAACCCAATCGATGGCAAGGGCCCAATCAAGACCAAGGACCGCCGCCGTGCTCAGATGAAGGCTCCTGGTATCCTTCCTCGCAAGTCTGTCAACCAGCCAGTGCAGACTGGTCTCAAGTCTGTCGACGCCATGGTGCCAATCGGCCGTGGTCAGCGTGAGTTGATCATCGGTGACCGTCAGACCGGAAAAACTGCCGTCGCCCTCGACGCCATGTTGAACCAGAAGCGCTGGAACGTTGGTAACGACGAGACCAAGAAGCTCTACTGTATCTACGTCGCCGTCGGTCAGAAGCGATCCACCGTCGCTCAACTCGTCCAGACTCTTGAAGAGCAGGACGCCATGAAGTACTGTATCATCGTGGCTGCCACCGCCTCCGAGGCCGCCCCGTTGCAGTTCATCGCACCTTTCTCTGCCTGCTCCATGGGTGAATGGTTCAGAGATAACGGTATCTTCAGACATTTCTTTTTTTTTACGACGTAAACAAATTGCTGACGATTTCTGTTTGCAGGCAAGCACGCCGTCATCATCTACGACGATCTTTCGTGAGTTTACCTCTCAAACCACTAGCAGCGAGGCATAATTACTGACAAATTCACAGCAAGCAAGCCGTCGCCTACCGTCAAATGTCTCTGCTTCTCCGTCGTCCACCAGGACGTGAGGCCTACCCTGGCGAGTAAGTGCAACAAGCGCCTGAATTCAGAGACACGACAACTAATCGTACTTCAGCGTTTTCTACCTCCACTCCCGTCTTCTCGAGCGTGCCGCCAAGATGAACAAGCACTTCGGCGAGGGTTCGCTCACTGCCCTTCCAGTGATTGAGACCCAGGGTGGTGATGTGTCCGCTTACATTCCAACCAACGTCATTTCCATCACTGATGGCCAGATCTTCTTGGAGTCCGAGTGCGTCGCCCCAAATTTCTTGCCAGCCCCTGTTCAATGCTAATATTCTCCTTAGACTTTTCTACAAGGGTATCCGTCCAGCCATCAACGTCGGTCTTTCTGTCTCCCGTGTCGGTTCCGCTGCTCAGCTCAAGGCCATGAAGCAAGTCGCTGGTTCCCTGAAGCTCTTCTTGGCCCAATACCGTGAAGTCGCTGCTTTCGCTCAATTCGGTTCCGATCTCGATGCCGCCACCAAGCAGACCCTGCAGCGTGGTGAGCGTCTCACCGAGCTGCTCAAGCAGAAGCAGTACACACCTATGGCCGTCAACGAGATGGTTCCTTTGATCTTCGCTGGTGTCAACGGTTACCTCGACAACGTTCCCGTCAACAAGATCCTGAAGTTCGAGTCTGACTTCTTGAACCACCTCAAGACCAACGAGAGCGGTCTTTTGGAGTCGATTGACAAGGAGGGTGCATTGAGCAAGGATCTCGAGGGCAAGCTCAAGGACGTTGTGACGAGCTTCCTCAAGAGCTTCTCGTAAATCTAGACTTGTCCCCGGGGCGGGGTCGTGTATAGTACAAAAGGCAAGCTTGAGCTCACAGTCAGAAGAGAAATACGGGCAACAAGATTGCTTTAGCAAGCGGGACGATGCAGTGTAGATATGCGAAGAACTTTTCCTTTGTTTCACCTACTCTTCCCTGTGTGATGACCAGATTCTGACGGGAAATGTGCTTGGGCAATGCCTCGTACAGTATCGATAACAGTTGAAACCGATGTCGTGAGCTGCACCTATGTCCCCTGGCTTTGCGTGCTCCGCCCGCCTGCGAGTCACGCTGCGTCCGGAAGTGGGAATGGGCGTAGAACGAGCAACGAGAACTGCAGAGCAACGCCCATTGATAAATCTATCGGTGGCGTGCTTGCCTACAAACATAAATTGTCAGCACATATGTCAGATATCGTCAAAAGTGAGAAGTGAGGCGCTCAAAGATCGATCGGACGGAAATGTAATCTAGGTGGTGAGCAGAGTCGACGACTTAATCACAGTGCATAGATATGCTATCTCTAGTCGTCGCCACATAATTCATCAATTGAGTCGTGTATCCATTTCCATTTTCATTTCCATACTGCATGATCCCATACTTTTGGCATTTAACCAATTGCCGTTTGTGAGGAGGAAGAATCTCATTGAGAGTGATCAATTCCTGCTCCTCGTCTCCATAACATGCTCACTAATCGTGCCCGTAGCAGACGGCACAGGAGCACCGGAATCTTTGCGTATCCCACCATCGAGGGCGTCGGGCGGTGACACATGTGCCTGACCAGGTTGCTGGTCATGCAGTTTGTCCTCCCATGGGCTGTAAGGTGCTGCGATGGCATATTCGCGTCCTTTCTCCCCGCCGGGTCCGCTTAGCGTGCCCGGCCATTTTCGTTGTTGTTCGTGTAGGTCATCGAGAGGATGGCCAACGATGCCGTACTTGTCCCAGTTGATATGTGGCATCCGCACAACATTCTGAGGAGCGGGTATTCGAGGAAACTGCTTTGGAGGGGTGTGGTTCCCGGAATCCATATCAATATCACCCGAAGCGGATTGAGAAGGCTGTGAATCTGGGATCTCAGACGGCAGCCTGACAGTTCTCTGCGAAGCCTCCCGATCCTCTTCGCGACTTGCTCCCAATACCACTTCCTCCTCATCGTCATCGTCGTCCTCCATATTGTCAAGAATGTCACGCAGGCTAGGTTTCTGCTCGCGTAGACGCCCAGCGGCTAATTCCTTGTGGAAGGTTGCTGGGTCTTCTAAAGCAAGCTGTTTGATAGTCGCTAGTGTTTTGATATCGTCTTGCGCCTTCTTCTTTTGAATCTGGAGCGTGGAAATGGCGGCGCGCAAGGCGATCGCATCGCCAGAGTCTTCGGCAGAGAAAGGCAGGTTTGCAGGTTGCGGTATGTACTCAGTCGGCGGTATTCGAGCTGGCTTGGGCGGCGGTTGTGTTTCTATTGACTTGGCCAGCGTCTGGCCTTGAGCCGGCACCATGGCTGGCACATGCTGCTGCTGTGTATGCGGAGACCCACTCGAGGTCCTCCGCTGCTGCTGCTGCTGCTGCTCCGTCACCGGAGCAAATGTGAACTCGGCGCCATGATGGGCGTTTGCGAAGGCAGGCGCGCTGTACGCCGGAAGCACCGGCTGCACCTTGGGTGTGATGGGACTGTATGCGGGGGCAATGGGCGATGCAGCGCCGCCGTGAGATGAGGACTGTTGTGAGGCGTGGTCGTAGGCGTCGGCGAAGGATGCGCTGTACGACGAGGCGCCGTCGGTGTTGTTCGCGGCGGTGGAGTGGGCGAGGTCGTGGGCCGGACGCAGCGATTCGACTGGCATGGCCAGTGCGGTCCAAGTTCTGGAAGGGCAGCACGAGACCTCACCAAGGATCGTCTTTTTGCGGGCACTCGTCTGATCGTTGACGTGGCGGCGTTTGGCAAATCTGCAAAAGTGTCGCTGCTCGATCTGCAGCTAAAACTTTGGAGGGCACGCAATTCACGCAGGGTCGCGGGGCAAAGTGGCAGTCACTGTCTGAGACGGCCTGCCCTGCTTGGTGTTGCTTGACTCGGACCCAGTTCCGGTCAGGCGGCGGCAACTGTGTTGTGCTCAAGATCAGGCTTTTCCACACTATGGCCTCTATGAGATGCACGAAATGCTTTCTGTCTCGTTGCTCTGCTGTCTCAACATTCGAATCTTCCGTTGCTCCAACCTCAACGAACGCCCGCTGAATCGCGCCGTCATGACCCTCCCCTAGTGAAATCGTACACGTTACATCCCGTCCCTCCTCGCCTATTTGGCAAAGTGGAAATCGTAGTTGAGCCACTTCCTCGCAAGCACTTGTGGGACCTCCAACCCAGGCTTGCCGTAAGTCAACGGACTGAAGAACCAGAAACTCCAGATGAGCACCGCAACGACAATGCCACTTGCTGCCCAGGTAGCCAGGAGAGTCTGACCAGCAATCCGCTCACGAATTGGCTTGCTTCGTTGTGCTGCTTGCGCTTTGCTACCCTTCTTGCCATCCACAATAGGGTTGCCCGAACCAATATTCTGGATCTCTTGGGGCTCGATGTTGAAGATGAATTCAACAATAGCGCCGGCCACAAGACACGACGCCAGGTGGGCTGGCAAGTAGTGATGGAGGAACAGCTGACGACCCATAATGAAGAATGGAAGATAGTGAGCGGCCCACAAGAGAAAGAAGAATCCTGTGCTGTTGTACAGCCGAGACCGTGTTCCTGCAAATATATGTCAGCTTTGAGTATCAGGGAAGATGGGACGATGGCTACTCACGTCTGTCAAGTGCATCCACGCCACGGCGGACAGACATTTGATCCGCGAAGATGATACCGGCAAACACAGCCAGAAGTGCAGATGCGAACCACCAGCCAATCGGGTTGCCCATGAAGTAAATCTGTCGTTTCGTGGCATTTTCAGTCCAAAAGCTGACTCCGCGGAGCAGGAACGGCCATTGGATGGGTTGTGATGCGTACGGGTGGGACGACGTGAGCGCGTTATTATGGTAGAACATGGCACGCTGCAGCTCCAGATACTTCTTCATGAATGGCATGCTCTTAGGCTTCCTGACCTCTCTCACCAAACGAGGCGAGTCGGCGGGAATTCCCTGAATGTCCTCGACATACCACGTATTTGATGTTTGGAGCGCATTCTTGTTACCATTGATCTCAGCTTGCTTGTAAGCCCAATCCGGAAGGGGCGTCGTATGAGTCCACATGGCCACCTTGGTGGGAACGTGGATAAGCTTGAATTGCGAGGATAGCGTTTTAAATTCCTGGCCAGCCTTGCCATTGTCGATCTTGATTTCAAACAAAGTGTCATTGAAACGATCACCATTGGCCTGGTCAACTGGCACAGTGGTGAATTCTTGGTTGGTCGGGAAGTAAGGGGAGGCAACATCATGCGTCAACAGCCAAGTGTCTGTGACAACGTGTCTGAAACGCACAATATCGTTGTTCTTGACGTGGTGCCCGAGGCCTTCCAACTGCTTGGCTGGAATGATTTGCCAGAGGTTGTTGGTATCGTTGTGAGGGTAGCCAGTGACCTGCTGACCTTGCGATGAGACACGGCCGTCCTCGTATCGCAGCGGGTAGCGATCGGTGTGCGAGTGAAGATATACCTTCGTGTCCTTGTGACGCATGGAAATGGCATCGAAAAAGTCGATGCCAATGGCCTTCTGTGCCATCAGGTTGTCCGAAAGAGTCTCCTGGAATTCGGGTGTCATGAAATCATCGCCTGGGCCAGAACGTGAGAGGATGGCAAAGTGGACCTGGAACCAGAACAAGTACATGAGAAATGGCACCACAGCCAGACCAATGACACGCGCTGTGAAGTGCTTGCCAAACTCAGGCAGAGTCAACGCACCCCTCTTGCGGTTGATGTCCAGCAGATCCCAGAGGTCGATCAGGACCGGCACACCGATCGAGAAGAAAGTGAAAGCTCCGACGTACTTGGTGCTGATCACACAACTCATGCAGACACCGCTCAACAATAGCCACTTCCACCACTTCCTGCTGAATGGCACATGGCGCAACTTGTAGAAGCGGATGTAGCAAAGCACACTCAATGCCATGAACAGCACAAGCGTGGCATCCAGCAAGATGAGCCTCGTCTGTCCCACGTGTGCATTGTCGAATAGCACGAGCGAAGCAGCCAGTATGCAAGCAGGAAGGCTGTATCCAGATTCCCACATGATCAAGTATGTTACAGACACCGTAAGTGCTCCCATCAATGCCGGCATTGCTCGGTATGCGACGTATGGAACATGGTTGTCGATGTACGAATCGCCAATGTTTTCAAAGAGGAAGCTGCCATCGTAGCCAACGAGCCAGCCTGCGAATGCGAACAGCAGCTTGCCGAAGGGCGGGTGGACATCGAAGAAGTAGGTTCGTTGGAGGTAGTAGCTGGCGAACTAATTGTCCTCGTTAGTGTCACGGCACGCAATACTCGACAAAGCGTCCATCGTCCAAACTTCTGCTCTGTAACTCCACCCACCTTGCCAAAGTGAACTTCATCGAAGACCACTTGATCTGGATGGCTAATGCCCCAGAACCTGGTGAGGAACCCAAGGATCGTGATGATCGTGAATGCAATACCATGATCCCAATCGTTGTTCTTCACTTCGTTGGCCTTGCCCTTGAGGCTGTCCCATGACTCTTCAACTTTGCCGTTCAGCACGGTAGCTGGATCCTTGCTCGGCGTGAGTGGTCGTTTGGCGTCCTTGGCTCCGCGCTGGCGGAGCTGCTGTTGTTGAGACATGCGGCGTCTTTGGGTTCACCCGTGCAGCGCAAGCATGGGTCGAGAAGTTCCGGATGAGAAAAGAGAAATGAAAATAAGGAACGTGAAGAAAGGAGGAGGATGGTAGCGAATTATCAGACAGCTGTACACGACGACAGCTACGAGGAAGGGGTTCTTGCTAAATTGAGTTTCGCTAAAGGGCGGCTAGCCCAGCCTTACATGTACGTCAACACGTGATCTTCAGCTTCAATGTCTGAAATTCACTTTCATTTTCACATGGTTATGGTTACTAGGACGCTTTACACGGGCGTGCACAAGATCATTGAGCACGTGGTGCTGGGTATCTTCATTACATTCGTACACAGTGCAGTGCTGCCTGCTCGCTGGCCAGCCTGTCTTTATGCCGCCACATTCGTGAGACGGATTGCTCAACCCGTTGCTATCTTCTGCCACCGCGTTCATAAAATCCCTCGTCATGTTACTGACGTCCCGCCATCTTGAGCGTGTACAAGAGGCTGGCCATAGGGCTCATGTTGTCTTCTCACCTCGGCGACTTGTCGTTGCAGTTGGCTGGTGTCAAATGTGCGCTGAGATTCAGGATGTTCTTTCAGAGGACCTCCCCCCGCTGTTCGGTAATCCTTCTCAGCTGAGCCCGGCGCCTCGATGGTGCTGGCCCCGGATATGTTGCGGAAGCCGGTGAATTCGGCCCCGTAATGCTTGTGTTTGTTCATAACGAGTGGAGATGGTTGGTTGTCTGGCAGCCTTCTGTCTATCGTAGGAGGTGCTGCCAAAGCGCTGGAGGGGGGCTCTGCAGGATCACTATTAGCTGGCACGGTGCCGGCGCTAGAGTGTTCCACCAGCGATTGCCGTTGGGGCATTGGTGTTGTGTAGCCAGGAGCTCCACCAATATTGTTAAGTAGATGCTTGGGTCCGTTGTTCGGCTCTGCCCAGTCAGGAGTGTGTGCGATGTTCGGCGTTAAATGGCTGTGGATTGGCCCTTGAGGGCGCGCCCATGCATTTTGCTCAATGAACTGCTCGTGTGCGAGACGTTCACTTTGAGGTTGCACGAGTCCGGTCCTATTCGGAAAGTACACAGGCCTCGGATGCGATGCCGGCTGGTGCACACGACGGGATATCTTCTCCTCGGTCAGCTTGCGGTCCATTGCGCGATCAGACAACGCGGTCCTACCTTCATGGCTTTCAAATCGTCTTCCAGCATATCACGATCTGCGCCAGTGATGTCTGGGGCTGCCGGGAAGCCGACGTATTTGGCGACGCCGCTCAGCACAGACACTTCTTGGTTGTATTTCGCTTGCTGTTTGATCTGGTCCGCCTTCTTTGTCGGGAATTTGTAGATGTAGTTCTCATCCTCTTGCTGGTTGCTCTGCCGCCGTTCGTTCTGTATCTTGTACCAATCGTCGCCCAGCTGTTGCATGACATCTTCGCGCAGCTGTCGAGTGTGCTGAAAGTACTGGCTGTGTATTTGGCTTCGCTCACCAAGCGTCGTTCGGCGAAGGCTCTCAAGCTTGAATCTATAGTAAGCATGTGCCTCGTTCTCTTGCTTCGCTTTTCGAGCATCAATGCAAGCCACTTGTCGCAGGTACTCGGGGTGCTTGCTGTCTGCTTGGTTGAGCAGTTCCAGCTCTGCATTGGTAGCGGCCAGCTTTTCGCTGACCATTTTTTCGCGGAAAGCAGCGAATTGCTTCGCCAATTCTTCGAATGCGGTCGTAGCTGCGGGTTTGTGCTTCATTTCCTCTTCTGCTTTCGCTGCCGCTTCCGCGCTCTGCTCTGCTGTCGGTTCTAGCGTCTCCACGCTCTCTACGCCCATGCCCTTTGTCGCGTCTTTCTTGCCTTTACCCTTTGGCTTAGGCCCACGCTTGGCCTTTCCGGAGCCTTTTACAGGCGATGTCGGAGGCTCTGGATGTTCAGGCTCCGCAGCTTCAGGTATATCATCAGCTACATCTCCGTCTGCATCTTCCACTTCCGCTGGGTCCTCTTGGCCCGCGTTATCGTCGGGCACACTATGACTTCGTTTTCGCGGCGATTCAGCCAGTGCAGAATCGGCACTGCTCAACGAACTCTCGGCGGTATCTGAGCGCTTTCGCTTTTTCCCTGCACAAAGGTATCAGCGCATAATTTCCCCAAAACTACACAATTTTGGCGCCCACTGAACTCACCAATGGTGTCTGTAGTGCCAGTACTCGACGTGGCACCCGGCCCAGTGGGCAGAGGAGAGGGAGGGTCCGACAATTCATCATCGGGCCCGGCAGCCTGGTTGAGTTTACTGGGAGTTCTGCCAGTCTCTTCCAGCTGTTTTCGGGCCTTGTGAGGTGTCTGGTCGAGTCTTTCAGTTTCCGCTTCCGAGTCCACCTCCAAGGACTGATGCGCCGTAAGCTCTTCATTCGTCGCTAGTGCCTCTGACACGCCATTTTGCTGCGCATCAACCTCCAGATCATCGTCCGGCTCGCTGAGACTGCTGGAACGGTTGTCGTCATCGTCTCGGTTCCCACTGGGAGCGTCGAGCCCATCTTCCTCTTCTCGGGTCAAAGTATCCCGCGCTGCATGATCGCGAAGCGCGACGGGCGATGCTTTGGCACTCAACGGTGATATTGATGGGCGAGGATTGTCTGATCTCGTTGGTGACGGCGGAGCGCGAGTAGAGGTGCCGGCGGCGGTGGAGCTGTGGTCGAGATTCTGGCTGGGACGCGCCGGCGGCGTCGCCATTGCTCTGTGCGGTTGCCAACGAGGTGGGGGCCGGGTCTGACAATGTCGCTCGCTGCGAGATGGCGCTACATGCGATCGCAAGTAATTTGTGAGTGTATAGGGCGTAAGTACGGTGGGCAGGGTAGCAGATGGTGTGCGGTAACAAGAGGGGAGCGGAGTTGGTGCTGGTGATGAAACCGCCCGTGCAACTTCGGTCGGCTTTTGATCGACGAACTTGAACTTTCGGAGCTTGAGCTTATTTGATATCTGCCATCCTCGACTACACCATCCTACACACCATTCGAATCTCGCCCATCATGGCTTCAGGAGACAAGAACAAAGATGCTCGAAAGGCCGAGAAACGAGAAAAGAAGGACAAGAAGGAGAAAAAGACAAAGTCTAAGCAGGAACAATCTGCGACGGCCTTTACCCTGCTTGCAGACGAGAAAAATGTCGACTCGGCCTTGTCGTCTCTCTTTGCAGTTAAGGTACGGCGCAATGTGATAGGATACAATCTCTGAGAACTTCTTACTGACCAGTGTAGCAACCTCCTGTGAAATCGAAGCCTGCCACTGCCACAATTCCTGTGAAGAAGACGGGTCCAGCCGCCGAAGACGAAGAATCCGACGATGACAACGATGCCGAACTTTCCGAGCTGGACGAGGAGATGGAAGATGATGAAGAGGATTTTAATGGAGATGTAGAGGTTGAGGATGCTTCAGAAGCTGTGGAAGAGGTTGCCGAGCCCAGGCGCAAGCGCAAACGAAAGGATGCGGAAGAGCAGATCGAGGATGCGTACATGGACCGACTGGCACGCGAGGAAGAAAAGGACGCCGAGCGCCTTGCGGCCGAGCGAGCTGCGAAGCGTGCTAAGAAGAGTGAGGAGCAGCAGGATGCGCCCGAGCAGGAAGCGGACGACAGTGAAGAGGAAGGAGACGGCGACTCTGTGGACGAGGATGACCATTACGAGACTGCCTCCGACGACGAAGGCAAATCCGCGCCACCCAAACACGAAACCGAAGAAGCGAAGGACGTAGAACTGGAAAAGGCCAACCGCACTGTATTCCTGGGCAATGTTTCTACCGCTGCCATCTCCTCGAAGTCCTCTCGCAAGGCTCTCATGAACCACCTTGCCTCATTCTTCCCCAAAATCGCTGGCGAGAAAGGAGTCTCAAGACCGAAGGTCGAATCGATCCGCTTCCGCTCGACCCCGTACGCATCCGCGATACCAAAGAAAGCTGCATACGCGAAGAAAGAACTCATGGATGCCACTGCCAAATCCACTAACGCCTACGCGGTCTACTCAACACCCGCACTCGCTCGTGAGGCATGCCAACATCTCAACGGAACAGTCGTTCTCGACCGTCACCTCCGAGTCGACTCCATCGCACATCCCGCCAAAGTCGACAACAGACGCTGTGTGTTCGTCGGCAACCTGGGCTTTGTAGACGACGAATCTAACATCCAAGAAGCCAACGAAGAAGACGGCCGTGAAAAACGCAAACGAGGTAAAGAACCCGCCGACATCGAAGAAGGCCTCTGGCGAACCTTTGGAAAATGCGGCAAAGTCGAGAGCGTGCGTGTCATCCGCGACAGCACGACCCGAGTAGGCAAAGGCATTGCATACGTCCAATTCGAAGACGAAAACGGTGTCGAAGCAGCTCTCCTGCTGAACGAGAAGAAATTCCCTCCCATGCTACCACGTAAACTCCGCGTTAGCAGAGCCAAGGCACCCAAAAAGAATGCCAAAGCGGGTAGCGGGCGGCCTTCTTTGAGACCCCAGCAAGCGGTGGGTCGAGGAGGAAGTGGTTATCAGCGGAAATTGACAGGAGAAGAAGCTTCGAAGTTGGGACGATCGGCAAAACTGCTCGGGCGGGCTGCGGCCGCGAATTTGCGGAAAGGAGGAGATGAGAATAAGTCGTCTGCCCGAGGGCCTTCAGAGCGCTCTTCCCAGACCCTGGCAGGGGGCATCAGAAAGCCAGAGAATTTTGTGTTTGAGGGCCATCGAGCAAGTGCGAGGTCAGGGAAGAGCGGGCTGAAGTTGGGAGGAGCAAAGGGCGCGAAGAACAAGAGTAAGACCAAAGTCACGAAGCGAAGCGCGTCGTTCAAGCAGAAGAAAAAGGCATAGGCATGAGCGGATGCGTGCAAATAGGTGATTCGAGCAATTGATAATTCGATTCTGTGCTCGTCATATGAATCTGCTGGTCATAATACTCCTCCTCTTCCCTTCTCCGCATTGGTCAATCTCAGTCTGTGTATCGAGGCTAGGCCATTTTTGCCTCCTCATCCCCAATGCTCATGCTCTTCCTCCATCCATCTCTGCCACCGAAAAAATGCTAGCTAGTAACACATACATGCCCCTTCTGTGCCGCCATTCGAAATGATCTCCAATGTGCGGGCCGTCTATCATGAATGAACGATAAAGCAAAGCAAAATTAAAAGAGCGGACGGCCAGTCAAGTGTGCCGCCTTACGCCCCAGTCCCACCCAGAACGCCGCGCCATTGTGTGTGTGCGAAAACCACAACCAGAAACAATCAAACAAACATGCAAAGCTTCTGCCGCATAAGTAATAGTCGTGCTTTCCAAAACTGAAGAGCCTAAATCGCCCAACTTCCTCTTCGTTGCGTAGTGGCCCAGTTTCCACCTGGCGCATCTGTCTTGTCAAAATTCTTCTCCTGCTTGGCCCACTCGTGGATGTATAATCTCAGGGCCAGCCAGCGTTTGCAGTCTTGTGTGGTAAGACCCTGTCCACCACCGCCTTCGAAATCTGATCCTAGACGGATGTAACCTCGTGGGCTCTGCTTGGCTTTGACATCGTCTTCTCGAAGTTCAGACACGGGAATGCAGCTGATCTTGGACAATTCTTCGTCAAAAGGTCGAGCTAGCGAGGGATATCCGAGCGAGAGGTAATTGTACACCTGTGTGACGAAGGAATCTGGATACTCGCGTTCGATCTGAGCGGAGAGTTCCTTCTGTGTCATGAGCATGGCGTCCAAACGGTTCAAATCAACGCTCTCCGGTGGCGTGGGTGGAGCCAATGTCATGTTCGCTCCATTGCGCTGAGCGAAAGACTGCTCGAATGGATTGCCGTTGTCGGCTCGAGGAGCAGGCGTCATGAGTCCAGTAGGTCCAGCAGGCGGAGACAGTGCTTTGGAAGAAGTGTCCTCCTTGTTAATGCAGAAACCACCCCAGAGACCTTTTGCAGCTGTGCTTTTCGATGGACTCTTACTCGGCGACGATTTCTGTTCGGTCTTGTTCGCAGGTGCAGCACACCACAGTCCGCCTTTGCAAGATTCTGCATTCGACTGTTCGTTGAGATAACACATCTGCTTACGAAGTGTCTCGCAACTCTGGGTCACGTCAAATCGAGCTGGCTCAGGTGACGGGCATCGCGGGAACACCAAGTCACGCCCCAGCATCGGCGGACGAGCGCGATCGCGCATGGACGTCAACTCGCTGTCCTGCTGATGAATTGACAGCGCAGCAGCTGGATTCCACCATGGCGAGTTGTTGTTTTCTTTCTTCTTTTCTGTTGTTTTGTTGGCGTTGCGCTCCTGCTCTAATTGCTCCGCGTGGCGCTGCATTTCAAGCTGTTCCCACGGAACTCTGCCCGTGCTTTCCCTGCGCATTGCAGCGCGATTGAAGAATTCTTCCTCGTCGAAGCCTTCCCACGTCACTGGCCGATCCTCGATCTCCATCTCCTCACTGCTGTCTTGCTCGCTGTTAACATAGTGATGAACAGGTTCGTGGAAGTCAGAGTTGGGGAAAGCCGCGAGCGCTGCCTCTTGCAAGCGACGCTGGGCCTTCTTTTGTTCCAGCTGCAACAGATAATGGCTGAAGCTCTCATCCACGCTCTCGCGCATTCGCGTAGCATGCTTGTAGAACTCTTGTGGATACGACGATTCGGATGCGGTGATCGGAGAGCCTTGGCCGGGGCTGAAGGACCTGCGTGAGGACGAGCCCGAGTCGCCTTCACTTTCAGAGCTCTCGATCGTGTCGAGTTCGGGACACCGGAACGAATGCGTTCGCTCTGGTTGCACCGCAGGGCGAGCTGGTGCACTGCCATCAAATGGAGATATTGGACGTCTCATATGTGGTGGAATTTCACGGCTTCTCGAAGACGAGGCCAATTTGCTCTCATCCTCGAGGAAAGCCTCAGGGTTGCCGACCTTTTTACCTGCATGGCGCTGATGCTCCCGTGCGTGTATTACGAAACCGTCCTCCGTCTTGTAATCTTGGTAGATCTGATCGTTGGCGTCGCCTTTTCTCCTTGATCGCTTCGCGGAAGATAACACTTCGGGCTGGAATTTACGCGACTTGGCGTGTTCGGTCGCTGCTCCAGATCCAGCGTCGCTGTGCTGACTAGTCCTGCGACTGCTGTTGCGAGACGACCGATTACTGCCGTAGCTGGTCTCTACAAGCTGTGGCTTGAAGCGTATGTGAACCCCGCTGCCACTGTCACTACGCCTGGATTCGGATTTGTCCTTGCTGCTCTTGTGCGTCGTTTCAATGGGCTGTGGGGCAAAGCGGCGTGCAGCAGGCTTTGCGTCACTCGAAGGGCTGGCAGGCTTATCTCGAGAAGACTTGGTGCTTGTCTCAATGGGCTCGGGTGCGAAGCGTCGGACCTTGGGCGGCTCCTGGTCATCGGGCGAATGCTTGCGGGCCTGCTTGGAGGATCTGGTGGTCGTCTCTACAGGCTCCGGAGCGAAACGTCGAGGTGCGTTCCGCTGCGGCGGTGGGGAGGACGACATGTCGTGTTGGCGGGCACAGGGCCCAAGCGTTGTGGAAGGACGGAGCAGTGCTCATGCGCGTGGAGGGTTCGCGGTGTGAGAGCCGACCAGGCTGGACTGGGGAAGTGCGAGCAGCGACGTCGGGCTTGGAGATTGGAGATTGTGTGCGGATGGTGTGTGCGGTGCGGTGTGCAGTGCGTGCGAGCTCCACGACGACAGGTCGACGATACTGGCGAGGCCAATGGAACAATCGCGGCTGCTCGTTGAGGATGACGATGGTCAGGTGAGATCAACAGGGTGCAGCGCAGCGCTGGAGCTCGTTTTCGCTCTAGGCGTGGCCGTGTTCCAGGAGTCAACGTCGCCGCGAAACAGATCGTGTATTTGGGTAGGATGGCTCTCGCTGGCAGAGCAATAGAGGTTCAACAGCGCCAGACAATTAATGAAGAGAATTGAAAGTATGTAAGTCTGGGCCAGGTATAAAGTGGATGAGGTGGCGCTGGTGGGCCACGCACCCCAAGCCCACACGATCGACAGCAAATGTAAATGCACGAGAACTCAGCAGCAGCAGCGGCCAGCAGAACAGAGTCGAGACGCTGAGGTGCTGCTGCTCCCTCTCCTCCACGATCGAGCTGCCTCCGATCTGACAGCGCTGCGCATAGCTGTGTGCATCAGCGGCCACTCAGCGCGCTCGGAAAGATACGGTCCAGCGCTCTCCATGCTGCTGGTGCATGCCTCTCCTGCTCTGCTGCCCACGGGCAGGCGGCACAAGCCAGATGGCGTCCACCCACCGCACCTAACGCCTGTAGGGTGAAAGTCTGCTTCAGCCACGAGTTGGAAATTGTGCGCTGAAACGAAAGCACCCGATGACGAGCCTCCTTATTCCCTCCATGTGAAGTCCTCATGCCCGGCGACCACGGAGCATCATCATCACCAGATGGAAGTGCAGCGCCCTCGCTGCCTCGGCCAGTGTCGATCACTTTCACTCCCTCTGCTGTAGTATCATACACCGACCACAGAGCTCGCCTGCTGCAATATCCACGCCTCACACCGTCTTTTCGCGTGGACAGCGGCCCATCATACTCAGCAAGTGCGCGCACGTCTCACGCGCGGCATCCTGCTCACAGTACCACGGCTTGCCTGCCTCGAACACGTGCGCGCCATCACAAACCGCCAACCACGCACGGTCATCACGTTGGCGTCGGCAAAGTCACCAGGACACCTCCTTTTACATACAAGATATCTGAAGACGCGGCATCGCGATGGCAGAAGAAGTCCGAGGTTCAAGTTCGGCGATGCTCGTCTTCATCAAAAGGATGCAAAAGTATATCTGATGCATGTGCTGTGATGCTTGTAGCTTATACATTTCGGGTCGAACCGGAATAGTCTCATGCACAGGGCGAGCTACAGCATTCTGCTCTCACAATAATGATGAATGCAGGTCGGAGGTAGGAAGGCGGAGTGCCATCTGTCGTCGAATCTGATCGTTCCCAATGGCGCCTATACGGTCCCGCCTTCATTCAAAAAATGGGCACCAACGTCGCATCGAGCTGCAGTCCCTCACCGTTCTCCTGTAGATGGGGCTGCCTTGAGAGTTGGGCGAAGCTGTGACATCTCAGTTTATTACTGTGGCCGGATACCCATTAAGTCAGTAACAGTTCGCTCCCGCGACTCGAAACACGTAAGGCGAGCAAGGCACATCGATCTTCGATGCAGCACAATTGGGTGAATGAGTGCAAGCAGCCAAGATATACTTTGCAGCGTTCCTCCCCTTTCTGGTCCTGCTATCTTGCACTGGTGTACACGTCTGAGTGCCATCGATCTTTTCAGTCCACAGCTATCGTTGACAAGCGCCTTCTAGTAGTGAAGCAACCTCGCTCAATCTTCTTGAACAGACACTCAATCACCTTTACCTACTTGCGTCCCGAATCATCGACTATCACTTGCTCGACTCGTATCCTCCACAGAATACAAACCCTTCTTCATCCAATGGCCAGGTTCCCCACACTTTCAGCGTCCGCTCCCACGTCTTCGAGAAGTCTGAAATGCAAGCCCGATGGCTGAGGACATGGGTTGACACTTAACGCGTACTTATCTCAACACTAATCAGCACAAGCTGTCTCAACATCGGAAAGTATTGTCGACTACAGATTCGAGCGCAAGGCTGCTCAATCCGGAGCATACTGCGGTCCGGTGACGAGGGAGCGAACGATGGAACGGATCTCGGAGCGGGCAGTCCGGAGGTATCCGCTAGTTACACACAGATTGCCTTCAACGGCAATTCCAATACCACAATCTATCAAGTTTGATGCCTTTGAAAATTGATCGCAAAGTATCATCTGCCTCTGCGCAACCCATCTGAGCATCGTGTACTCACCATTGTGTCAACACGGCTCGCACATCCGACTCAGAAATCCCGATATGCCACAATAACGCCTCCCCAACTCCCACTATTTGTATCCTGCGTGGCCAAAACCGTACCATTCGAATCAGAAATCATATTCAGCACAGATTTCGTATCTGCACGTGGTAGAACCAGCAACGTCAGCCATTCGTCTTTTTGGTACGGAAGACATCATCAGCAGGTGGCTTACTCAGATTGTACAACGCAACGTCGTTATCGCTTTGCAATTCATCGTCTAGCTCCACGATGTTGATTTGACAGGAACCGTTGGGACCTGCGCATGCGCCATAGTTTGGTCCATCTATGCATATAGTCAGCGTTATCGCATCTTTCGGAGTCAATTGCTGAGTGTTGAGGAATCTAACTTACTGAAGAATACCCAGAATCCCATCCCATACAGATGCAGCTCCTCGGTTTCGTCACCGAGAATGCGGAGAGCCCATTGCATGTAGCACTGAGAAACATTCTGTTGGCAATTGGAGAAGTCGGGATCGTTCCAGGTTGCTGCGTCTGGTACCCATGGAGCAGGTGCTCGGGGAGATGGCTGCCAGTATGGTGATTCGACTTGCATCAGAGCGGCGTAGACATGTTTGGCGTTCTCGAATTGGTATCTATGCAACCCGATCAGCAAGAATGTATTTTCATGTAGAAGAGTCGTGACTTACGCGTAGAAAACGTGGTGTTCCGATCCTGTACCAACTAGCCAGGTCGGACCTTGCGACACAGAGTACAGCCCTCTCCCAGTGCCAATCTGCTGATTGTAGGAATCGTCCAAATCGTGATCAGCGGTCCACAACCAACTGTTTTCGATGTAGGTTGAGCTCGTCTCTCTCAGGTGCATGATCATGAAGGTCGCTTTGCAAGGTTTGCTGATTTCCTGGCACGAGGTTTGGAGAAGTGAATCTCGCGCTCCGCCAATGCGATAGTCTGCCAGCACCGAAGTGAAACATTAGCATCACTTGTCCGTGAAGCATAGATCCGCCTTGGGCTGTACGTACGAACGTTGTGAAAAGATACGTCTCCTTGATGCTCTCCGGCCATGTTGACTTCGACTACGATGAGACCAGGTAGAACGTCTGCAACGGAGAAGAGAAGATCGCTAAATTCTGCAACACCTCTTTCACCAGGCTGTCCGACTCGCAACATGGGCTGAGGGTCACCTTCGTTGGCGAAACGATCTCCGGATGCAGTGATCACCGACAGCACTTGGCCAACGAGGCGACTGCCAGGTGGCACTATAGGTCAGCGAGCACAATATCAGCGATTGCCCATGATGTCGGCCAGCTCGTTATTGAGATATCATACCATATAATGTATCGGTCACCACGTACACGCCCTATTGCGACATTCAGTCAGCAAATCTTGAAACCGGTGCTGTAGGCTCAGGACAGCATACATGAGGGAAGAAAGTGACTTTGTTACAGTCCGCGTTTGCGAGCAGAGCCTGCTGGATAGCCTGAGTATCACTATCACGTGTCAGTTCTGTAGTACAGCAGTAATTGCCGTTAGGGAGGCAAGAGCGCATGCATCTCACTCAGTGACGCCGTCACCAGCAGCCCCGGCGTCCTTGACGGAAGCAAACGCGGACAGTGGCAAAGCTGTGTATTGTGGCTGGGTTTTGGTGAAATAGCGTCCGTTCTCGTCAACCAAACTGCCGTCTCGATGAATAGGTCGGATCAAGCTGCCGTTAGTCGCCGAAATCATGCTGCCATTCGTTCTGTCCGCATTTCCAAGAACATAACTCTTGCCCCAAAGATCTCGAATAAATTTCTCGCGTCCATCTACGCGAAGAATCGGGCCGGAACTGTATGTTTCCAGGTTCTCGAGCATGACTGAGGTACTTGCATTGACCATCACACCACATCCATCGCAGACACTGTCCAGAAGACTAATGGAGCCCCCTGGAACGTCATTGACGCCAGCGTCGACACATATTTCAACATTGGAGCAGTAGATGTCTTGCATAGTTACCGTGAAAGCGTGCTTCACAGCGATGGCTGTTTTCACGTTGTCGAATCGCAAATTCCTTAACGCGTACTATGTCTGAGTTAGCACAAATCCCGACGGAAGGTGAATAACTTTACTTGTTGGTTGTTGTATTCAAGTCCAATGAATCCGCCTGAGAAGGTCAGGTCGCCCTGAAAGAAGTCTTCGTCAGCAAGGTCGCCAGTGCAAAGCCCTTGTCCTGCAAGCACATACCATGAAGAGCCCGCTTCCACCTCCTGAACTGCCACCGTCCATATGGATACCAATATGCTGACTGTCTCTTGGCATGGTGAAGTTGACGTTCAGCAGATTTGTCGCCTGTGACACAGCCCAGTTGAGGCCGAAGATGGTCTTGTTGGACGCCACGTCCGTCGAGTCGAGGACGATGTTGCGAATGCCAATGTAGAAATTTGTGGTACTTTGCAAGGCAAAATCAAACGCCGACATGAGCTGAGTGCCATTTCTCATGATAGGCGAGGCTTTGATGACGGGGGGTTCCAGAGCATCGCCAATGATCTGTGTACCAATCCATAGCTGGACTGTGGATGATATGATGTAGGTGCCCGAAGGAATGTAGATCAATGCTGGCTGACCAGTGCTACCTACACGACTCAGTTAGTTGCTGTTGATACTTGTACTGTTCATCGCACTCGCCTGCTCTGCCCTTTCCACCTCCCATACGACTTTGGCTGCTCTAACATTAGCGAATGTCATCGCGCTCGCTGATGAGCTACGCACTCTGAGACAGCGCGATTGAAAGCGTCTGTGTCGTCTGTTTGACCATCTCCCTTTGCCCCATAGTCCTTCACATTTCTGAAAATCCGATAGTTTTCGCCATTCACCAGGAAAGGAGAACGACCATCGTCCTTTGCAGGTAGATTCGGAAGCCAATATTGCCCCGATGGATAAGACTGTGACGCAGGACAACCACCCGGCCCAGGTGCAAAATCTAGACCGGAGGAGGATGAATGGCTTCTATTCGTATCATCGTACTTGCCACCATTTTGTGTCACTGCCGCGTGCAAATGATTATGGCTGGGATGTCCCTGGCGCTGTGCTGAGACTGAATACTGCAAAAGGAACGAAGCTATGCAAACGAGCGACTGGAACGAAAGAGGAAGCATGCTGTGAGAGTAGAAAAGGAAATGCTGCGGATACAGATTGGAGAAGATCGTGGTTGCCGCAATGCCCTAGGGCGAGATTGGAGGTCAGGAACGGATCCATGGTATCCCTGTCAGTGCGCAGGCTGCGTGCGACACCGTGTTGTACGACCCGGAGACGCGTTCTTCCGTTGACGAGTATCAGCCGCGATGGACTGTCAATCCGCAGTGAGCGACGTGACTGAGGATTCCATGACATGAGTAGTTGCAGTATGGAGATGTGGTTGGCTGTCACTGCCCTGGCAAGCGTGTTCTGGTTTGGATGACAAAGAGGAAAGTGCATGGCGCAAACGCCGGCTGCTGCCGACTGTCCATCTCAATCTTTCCCTCACCTGCTTTGCCAACGACTTCTCATCCCCACAATCTCTATACACACGAGGAAAAACACCAAATCCATCAAAATGAGCACTCTATGCCGTAATCTGGCTTGGTCTGCCGCCCGTACACACGTGCCAGCCACCCACACCACACCTATTCCTGCTTGACCAGCGACGCGGGAGAGATGTACTTTTGGCGTCCTCCTCCTAGCATGTAGTATGCCAGAGCCAACAAGCAAGTCGCACCAAAAATCACCTGCGAACAGAGATGTCCCAGTTAGCATCGAAGCAGATCAGTCAGCCGCGAATGAGTCACTTACGATGGCCCAATTGAAGCTCTCGACCCACTGCTCGTTGCCGTGGATGACATCTGTCGGGAAGAAAGAGAACACGAAAACGATCACCAGAAATGCGAGTGATATGTCGTTAATCACAGCACCATAACGTCCGAGCGACCAGCGTGCCGGTAGGAGCTCCTCGCCGCGGAATCTTTTCAGCCGGATGCAACCAATGGAGACGATGTACGAGAAGCCGAGGGCAGCATTAGAAACACCGACCACGGCGTTGAACGCTGTACCCGAGCCGAAGTTGGTCGCGGAGCTGTTCACCAGGATTAGCGGAGGTTTCTTCTTGTCCACAGACATCCGGTACTCACACCACTGCAGCTACCAGCCCGACGCACAGAATCGCGTTAGTGGGAATGTCCACCCCGGGCTTCACGAAGCGGATCCATTTCGAGAACGGAAAGCCCTGCAAATCTTAGTTATGCGTCTTCACTGATTGTTTTGGCACCTACTTGATCCCTCGAGAACGCCCAGACCTGTCTCGAAGCACTAGCTGTGGTAGTTACGGTTGAGAAGAAGAGCAGTACCACCAACATTGCGCCGAGCACACAGGTCGCTGCCCTCGATCCAGTGGCATTGAGTAACACCTCGATGATGGGGAAGTCTGTATCCATGCTCACGAGTCTTTCAATATCTTGAATGCAGAAACAGAAACTGATGAGCATCGTGACGCCGAGTATGCCATTCAGTACCGTCGCCCACATCATCGCACGAGGTAGCTGCAGGGATGCATCCTTCAATTCTTCCGACATGTGCGCTCCGGCGTCAGGTCCAATGAAGCACCAGACTGGCGTAGCTAACCCGACGAGGCAAGAAAGACCAGTGCTACCCCAACCTCCGCCGTCGTGGAACTCGCCGAAGACACGTTCGGCCGGTGCGTGATCAGCCATGATCCAGAAAACCAAGAGAAAGACCTGAGTTTTGTCAGAATGGTAAGGAGTATCTCGGAAACTTGCTTACGAAGAACCCCAGAACATGGACGAATAGCAATATACCTTCCGCCAGCGGCAATTGCTGGGCGCAGAAGATGTTGAAACCGACGCAGAGAACGAGGAAGCAGTAAAGCAGCAGCGTAGCCTGATACAAGCGCGATACGTCCGCTTCAGGATGCATCAGAAGAATCATCGTTTGCACCATGCCAGCTAGCTGGACGCAACAAGAAGGCACTCCGGCGATCCAGCCAAGGCAGCAGCACCACCCAACAACGTAACTGAGTGGCTTCTGTAAAGACGGAGGAGCGAACTCGGATACCCTGGACGTGGAGGCCAGATTAGCGAAACTCGATTGCGTCAAACAGCCCGCCTTGGATGCTGGATAATTTACCAATGATACTATCCGTGAGTCAGCGTCGATAATGCAATACCGCATGCGGAGCCGACCATTCGCAAACTCACCTGTCCACCGGCTGTCGGCGCCATTGAAGCCATCTCAGCTAGTGACGCGATCATACAGAGCATCAGCAGCCATACGGCGATCGTGCACCAAATGACGCCAGCAGTGCTAACAAGTAGATGATGAAGGTAAGCGGGTGTGTCAGATGAATATCTTTGGGAGTGTATGCCACCCAATGATCAGACTCACCCGCCGTTATACAGTCCGAACCAGTTCGCGAGAAGCACGTTCTCCCACGTTGCTTGCAATATCGTCACAAAGCCGACAATTCCTGAAAAGCATAGCCAATGAGCGCTACGACCTCGACGTTTTTTTCTCGAACATACCAACGAATTTGAAGTTGCGCTCCGTCTATGTCAGCCGCATTTGAGTCAGACATTGGTCGCTGTCACTCACACGCAGTTCCTGTTTCTTACCTGCGCACGATATGGAATGTCAGCCATCACGCACCAAGCCAACGTCCCAAGTCAGATTATCGACTCACCCATCCTGGACATTTCATAGCCATCAGTTATGGTGCCGCCCTTCTTCTCGACGGCAGCAGTCTCGACTTCATGGATGCTCCGAACGGAAATTCCATCTTCTGGCTTCCTGTCTGGTGCCATCATTTTGTAGCTCTTCTTTCGATCAAAGGAATATGATAGGAAGAAGTAGCACAGCAAAAGGAAGCGGCACGAACGACGGAAGTTCAGGGACTTCTTGAATGTCGATTCACGAATCTGGATGCCGAGCAAGGTCCGTTAGCCACATGCATTTCGTACAACACATAGGCCCGTCGTTTCTTGTGGAGGGCGGAAGCGAGTTGCCGAGACCGTCACTCTTTGTACAGAGTGCCGAGCTGCAGCGGCATTGTGGCGGCCGTATTTTCCTGCTTCTTTGCGCAGATACGACAAGGCGGACAGGCGTGCGAGGTAACGCGGGCGGCACATTGCAGAGACACTTATTAATATTGCCTCATCTTTTTGCGCTTGACAGGTCGTCTGCATGGAGTAACTGCTGCCCTTGCAGATAAAACCCTGTATCACCGCCTGGGCTGGAGTCGGTTTCTGGGACTGTGCGACGTAGCACAGACATCGTCCCGCGGGCCACAGTAGCACAGAACTGCAGCTACTGCTTTCGAAGATCATCACTGCAGTAGTAGCTATGCAATCACTCTATGGCACCAGACTCATTTGTTTGCTGATAGCGTCTAGATCCGATCCGCCTTTTGGCGTTTCCATGAACATTCGAGGCCCGGCCCAAGGACATCCTTCTACTCCAACCTCTGTTGTTAGCAAGAGAGACCACGAGCAATGGGCGGCCATGCACCTCGCCGCCGTCTCGAGCAGCACAACGTTTGCCGCTTTCTGCAGTGGCCCTCCATGCTGTTACACGGCACTAGGCCGCACATTGTGACACTGAAACCCATCCATCTCCTTGACGATTGTCTCTCTCAAGAGCTCGAGAAGCCTGCAATGAACACACCTTCGGTCCACTCTCCCCTCCCAAGATCTGTCCGCTTGCTCGGTTCTCATTTGCGTTCTTTGTGCGGAGCCTTGCAATCTCAACAGCAGGTGGTCGTCTCAATCCTTGGTTCGCCCAAGCAATTGATGAAGCATGCCACGCCGTGAAGGATACCAGAACGCCGTGAGCTTCACGATCAGCATCTGTCTAGTGTTCACCACTTGCGTCGCCATTATCCGGTCTTGGATACGCAGGCATGCATATGGCTCCGACGACGCCATAATCGCAGCGGCCACAATCACTTCTCTTGGCCAAATCGGCGCAAGCTACGTGAGCTATGCAAAGGGTCTCGGCAAGCCTTGGACGAGGATCGCCGTGCAGGATGACTTGCGCAATTTGAATCAAGTACAAACCAAATAAGCCGTAGTTTGACACCATGCTGACAGATGCAGGCCTCGGTCGCTAGCTTGGTCCTGTTTCTCATTACGTTGTATCTGTCGAAAGTTGCAATGATAGCCTTCCTGACCCGTATCACAAAGGCTCCTGCTCAAATCAAGCTTTACCATGTTTGCAATGGCATTGTTGCTGCGTTCGGCTTGGCCTCGATTATTGTTGCTACGGCTGGCTGCTCGAGTGCTTCAGGCTACTACTGTGCGTATATCGATGTCTCCTTAGATGCAGTATTGGAAGGCAATCATAAAAATGCCACCATCGTAGTGGTGGTGTGCGCAGGAAAGTCAAAATGCACAACGCAGCTATGTACTAATGGCTTTGGCCTTCATCAGGGGCATTTGAAAGTAACAAGTCGACTTGTAGTTCACAGGTAATTTGTCCGATCTCGTCAAAGCGGAGCGACAGCTGACGGGACATAGCACATTCGATGGCAGATTATAACAGTCTTTGACTGCGTCACGGAAGCTCTACTCCTGGGTCTACCTGTACATTTGGTCTGGGGACTCCAGATGCGACCGTTGCGAAAGGCGATGATTGTCACTGCCTTCTGGGTCCGTTTTCCGTAAGTGATGCGAGGCTATCCTGGGTATTTCATGAGGGTGTTGACAATCTTGTGTAGTACTCTAGCTTTCTCAGTAGCGAGAAGTCACTATACCTTGCGCTTAAGTCGACGAGAATCCGATGCCGGTCTCGACAGCGCATTCGTCAACATCTGGATGGAGATAGAACTTGCCTACGCGATAGCAGCGAGGTGAGTCGACAAGTTCGGAACGGACACCGCCTCAACTGACACAATGCAATAGCACCTTGTCAGCGTTGAAGACCTTCACTGAAAGCTTCAACACTGGTTTCGGCGTCGCGCAGCTGCGTGGCAAGTCGGAAGGCAGCTATGGCGTGTCTGACGGTTCTGGATGTTCCGGAAATAAGGCCCAGCCACAGGTGGAAGAACGTACTGTGCAGCCATGCGAGCTTGCGGCAGACCAACGACAGAGCTTGAGGTCGACATTTCACCAAGATCTATCCAGTAGAGATCTTCGGGTTGAGCCATATGAGCTCGGTTGTGGGAGCAGCGCTGGAAGTACTGATCTTAGCGACGACATGGCGATACTCCGTGTGCCGGCACATTCTGTGTGAGAGTAAGGGCATGCATATCTGCAAAGTGAGGGATTTATGAGTATATTAATGTCGATACTTGTACCACACTGAAGATGTGGTCGCAGGACCTTATGAGATGTTGTGAAAGCAAGAGGACGGGCGTATCTCATCATCATTTCGAATAACCTTTCCTCTCACAATGTCGAAGCGATTGCAGTGAATGAAACAGCGGCAGTTTTAGTGAAGCACTTTGGTTACGTCACGTGACGGAGCATTCACGTCTCGTCTTCACATGCCCGCTTTGACAATTCTCTCGCGTTGTCCGACACCGTCCACACAAAGGAGCCGTCCTCCCCTCCGAACCGAGTCCCTCCTTCTGCTACCTGCACCATCTCATCGCAGAGATCTGGTCCTTCACCGAAACTCCTTGTGCGACTAAGCGCAAAAGCTTCCACTGGTGAAGTCTGCGGCAAGCTTCGATCGAGGTCGCGTCCTATCTTCGAATCGGCTCGACAGTATTCGAGGTCGCGCGCTCTGCAACCGCGGGTTGATCATTCGAACTTCCGATTGCCCTCACCTGAACCGCCAACATGTTCTTCGTTGCGCACCGAACACGCGACTGCACGCTCCATCCGTCTTTCTTCGACAACACCGCAGACAGCAGGATTCGCGAGAGGCTTTACGAAGACATGGAGGGGAAGGTTGAGGGCACGGAAATGATCATTCAAATCATCGAGATCGATGAGATCAGTGAGCCAGTGCTGGTGCCGGGCACGGGAATGGCGAAGTACACGCTCTCGTATCGTGCGATCGTATGGCGACCTTTCAGAGGTGAAGTGGTGGACGGACAGGTGACGAGCGTGGTCAACAATGGATTCTTCGTGGACGTGGGCGCGTTGAGTGTGTTTGTGAGCAAAGCGGTAAGCGGGATATGCGTATGTCTGTACACGTGCTGGCTCTGACATTGATCGCAGATGATCCCACCTGCTCTCAAATACTCAGTAGAGGGCTCGACGCCTTCTTTCACGGACAACTCAGACCAGACCATCGAGCGAGGCGCACAAGTGCGGCTACGCATCAAGGGTATTCGCGGAGAGATGGGCAGCATGTATGCCATCGGTAGCATCCGCGAGGATTACCTTGGGTGAGTTCACATCCTTATCAAAAGGGGTCCTCACTATTTACTGATTTGAAACAGGGCTCTTTTGCAGTAATTTGCATTGCGCATGGCAGTTTCTGACACAAAGAGACTTTGGGAGATGAAGAACGAACTCGGACGCATTCCTTCGCAGCAACAATTCGGGAATAGTCTGTTTTTCAGCGTGGCGTACTGGATATGAAAAACGCATGGGATGCGTGAGCGAAGACTGTCTGCATAGATCATGAGATACCCGACGAATTTGGACGTTTGCAGCGGCGTAAAATCATTGACCATGCACCTGGCACCGAGTTGGTCAACGGACAGTAGAAAACCTACGTCAGCAGTCAGAGGAAGACATGCAATGGACATTTTGACGATGTCATGGCCCATGAACGTGAGAAGGCGACCTTATCATGAAACAAATAACTTTTTGGGGCAAAGCGAAAAGGGCGTCGTTCATCATGGCAGCTCAGCGCTACGACAGGCACGGTAATCATGTGGACCTGGCCAGGCACATTCATTTTCGCGCTATGCATCATGCTATAGCGTGACGTGAGAGTGTAGACATGGCCGCAGCGCATGCACTCGGAGCCATGAATCGTTCCAAACTTTCGGACAGATGTTTCCACACCGTTTCTTGCACTTTTCCCTCCACAACAGCCAGGTGAGCGAGACGCTTAGTCGAAGAGACCGAATCCCATGTCGTCGTCGGACTCCTCCTTCTCCTCCTCCTTGGCAGCCTCTGGGGCAGCTTCGGCAGCACCGCCAGCAGCACCGCCAGCAGCTGGAGCAGCACCACCAGCGGCGGCACCACCAGATGGGACGGATGCGAGCTTTTGCGAACCCTCGGCGATCAGCTGTGATATTTGTTAGTCCAAGTTGTTCAAATGCTCTTGCGCCGAATACGGCTAATGTGTCTGCACCCACCTCGTTGATGTCCTTGCCCTCGAGCTCAGAGATGAGCTTGTTGAGGCGCTCATCGTCAGCCTCAACGCCGACAGCGCTGAGAACGCTCTTGATGTCTGCGGCGGAAGGAGACTCGTTGCCGCCGAGGCCGAGGAGGAGGTATGCTGCCAGGTGCTTCATTTTGAAAGTGTCTGTGCTAGTGTCAATGTCCTGCGGCTGTGTCGTTGGTGCAGAAGGAGGCGCGCGTACTGTTGTTGAATGTGGTGGGAGAACTAGAGAATCAATCGATTTAAGCACTTGGGTGCAGACTGATCCTTAAAGCTCAAGGAAGGGTGTCGTGTCGTGGTCGGTGGTCAAACTTGCTAGTCGCGCCCATTTGATTCTTTCCTCAGTGTGGAGTGCCAAGACTTGACATCTTATCTAAGCGGATCCCGCGCCGCAAGCGGCAACCCAGAGCGTGCTGCCCATATAACACGAACAAAGTACCCAACATCATTCTACCCACAACGTCTAACACCCGCGCGCCGGCTCTTGCACAACCTTTGGGAACATGCGCTTTTGGCCATTTCATACCTTCTCCGGATCGTAACGCGCATCTGAGGGCCTTGCGCAAATGACGGTAGGCGATATCTCCAACGGCCGCAGAGCACAGTTGTCTGACTCACTTGCAGTCCTTCACATCTCTTCTTGGATCCATCGGTGGCTCGAAGCAGAATCAGGCTCCCGCGCCAAACCCGTCAGCGACTACGAACCGACCAGGAGCGCCACCACTCACTAGGCCCCCACCTGCGACTTCCGGAGTATCGCGGCCGGTATCGCGGCCGATCGCGAACAATGTCACCGCCGGAGTGAAGCGAAAGCCGGACGAGCAACTCGCAGCGCCCCCAGCGAAGACGGTGCGGACTGAGGTCAAGGTGCCTGTGCGGCCGCCAGCCTCGAATGGTACTTCGGTGAAAACGGCGAGCGGTACTCCGAGCACGAGTGCACCGTATCGTGGCACTGCAAGACCCGCCCAAGCCAGCGAGCCTGTCAGACCATCAGCAGTTTCCGCGAAACCAGCTTCCAGTGCATCTGCCCCAGCAACAGCGTCCGCAGCGTCCGCCGCATCTTCTGCGGCAAAGCCGAAGCGAGGATTCGCCTCCCTACTGGAGAAGGCAAAGGCAGCGCAGGAAGCTGTTAAAGCTGCAGGAACAAATACAATCAAGCACAAACCGGTGGAGAGATTGACGAAGAAGGAGCGCTTGAAGCAGCATGAGGAAGCAAAACAAAAGCCTGGGCAACGGAGTGGACAAAGTACAGTGGCGAACCGGAGCCGGAGCGGTACCCCTGCGGACGGCAAAGCAACTTTACAGAAGAAGCCTGTGCCTGAGCCTGCGTACAAGGGCACTATGAAGAAGACACCCGTAGTGCCTGAGATATCATACAAAGGAACCATGAAGCGAGCAGAACCAGGAGCACCGCCTTCGAAACCTGTGGCGAAGAAGGGCCTTGGCCAAGACAAGTACGGTGGCTACGCCAGCTGGTCTGACCTGGATGAGGCGGAAGACGAGGATGAAGAAGGTTACGGATCCGACGAGTCTGATGATATGGACGCCGGTTTCGATGACATGGCTCGAGAGGAAGAGCTGGCTCTGAGAGCCGCCAGAAAGGAAGACCAGGAAGCTCTTGAGGAGGAAGAGCGGCATAGGCGTGAGAAATTGGAGCGCAAGAAGAAGCTTGAGGCATTGAGTAAGAGTGCTGCTGCTCGTAAGCGCTTTTAAGATGCCGAAGGCCCCACAGGCTGGCTTCACGAATGAATGACTTTTGGCGAAGGATGAAAATCGAGTGTTTTGGGGCTCGCTCCCTTTCCAGCACTCATGCATTGCATAGCGATATGCTTTTAAGGGCGGAGTTTTCCATGATTTTGGAGAGGCTTGGGATCAATGCTCGCTGAACATCGGCGTTGCATTCATTGTAGAATAGTAGACGACTTGTGAATATATTGTCTGGTACAACAAATTCTTCGGTGTATACGCACAAGGATGACATTGTGATTCAGGCCGTACAACACATCTTCATTCGTCCAACAAGTGAGCCGCAGTGGTGTTTCGCAGCCATATCACGTGCGGCGAGAAACCCGGCCCGCGCCGTGCGGCCACCTCTTCTTGGCACACCAGATATTCCTCGCCAGTCTGGAGAGGGACTTTGAACATCAGTCGACAACCACATCGCCAAACGACCGACCGACAACATGGCTGACGCAGACTACGTAAGTTTCCACGCTACTTGACCTGAAAATAAGCGCTGACATTGTTTGCGCAGAACGCCGAGGAGGCTGCCGGTATGCACATCGCGCGACACGATCAGGCGCTCCTCCGTCGGACGTCGCAGTGGTTAAAACCCTGTGGATAGGCCACGAAGGGGTGCTGGAAGATAGGATATCGGGCTAATACAGAATTGTCACAACAGAGCTGAAGCGCAAGAGAGCGTTCCGCAAGTTCTCTTACCGCGGCATTGATCTTGACGAGTGAGTGGGAGGCGCATACCTGTCGGCGGTGGGAGACCAGCGCGCAAGGACAACAGCTGACAGCCATGCGCAACAGGCTCCTCGACCTTTCCTCCGAGCAGCTCCGCGATGTCGTCCACGCTCGTGCCCGCAGACGGTTCAACCGTGGTCTCAAGCGCAAGCCTATGGGCCTGATCAAGAAGCTTCGCAAGGCTAAGCAGGAGGCCAAGCCAAACGAGAAGCCAGACGTCGTCAAGACTCACCTTCGTGACATGATCATCGTCCCAGAGATGATTGGCTCTGTCGTCGGTGTCTACTCTGGAAAGGAGTTCAACCAGGTCGAAATCAAGCCAGAGATGGTCGGCCACTACCTCGGAGAATTCTCCATCTCATAGTACGTTCGGCCACAATCAACACGAGATGCAAATGCTAACAGCCTCAACAGCAAGCCAGTCAAGCACGGTCGTCCAGGTATCGGTGCTACCCACTCTTCGCGTTTCATCCCATTGAAGTAGACGACGAGTACGGGTATGGTTTGGCATGGATGGCGTTTCAGTCTCGGCAATGGACAATGTCTACACGCTCTAAGTGAGCTCATGATAGTCGGGCAATAACAAAAATCGATGATACCACCACCATGTTGACGTTTCGATTCCCAATTGATGTTCTCAACGTCACTTTCGTATTCTCGAGTGTCAGACCTACTATAGCAGCATGCTCATGACAACTCCATGTGCACACTGTTTCACCAACGGCATCAGAATTTAGGATTGCGTTGCACCGTCAGGCTCCGTCGAGGTGGTAGAACTTCCATTTCGTGTCTTGTCATAGGTCTAACATCTGTACAGACAATGAAAGACTCATTGGAGGATTTCTACCAAACCCTTTTCATGTGTCTCAACATGACGATGATCCGCAAAGACCAAACTCCAAATTGAAAGAGCGATAGCGGTAGCAGCTTGCAGACGCAAAGCACCCGCTTTTTGCGCAGTTGTATTTGCTTCACTCCAACCTTACTCCGACACTACCCTGTCCTCTATCTAGTTCTCAGCAGGCGGTACTCTGTCTGTGCATTTCTTATCCAACACAACGATGGATCCTTCCCAAATCACAATTACTCTTGCTCAAAGTCTGATTCGACAATGCGAAGCGGAAAGAAAGATCGATTATTTTGGAAAGAGTTCATGGTCCACTTGGGCGACCCAAATTTTCGCGCCCACTGGGAGATATTCAAGGCAGTCACACTCTGTGCGACGGAAAAAATGATTTCATAATGCCTTTCAGACTTACAAAGTTGAAGGTGCTTCATCCTCATGACATAACACCTCCAAATTCAGAACAACGAAAAATGTCTTCCTTCACGACTATCTCAGCGGCTGCGACTGTGGCCAGGATTCCACCACCGTTCTTGATCGTGAGTTTACTGTGTCGTAATTCTAGACGTACATGTGACTGATATTTGATAGGCGTTTTCGAAGTTGACAGCGACATGTCTTTGGACTGAAAGTCAGCGTCAGGACGCGATTTCGGGCATGTTTCATCAGCTGCCATTTTCAAGCCTTCGGAGGGGACCAGTCATTCGACCTCGAGCGGACTTGCTCTGGAGAGGACCAGTCATTCGACCTCGAACGGACTTCCTCTGGAGCGGTCCAGTGATTCGACTGTGAACGGAAGTTGGAAGTGGATTGTCTACCATGACACGCATATCGAATCCAAAGGCTGTCGTCGCGTCGGAAGGAGTGCATGGTGTGTCGCAGTAGCGGAAGAGCTCAGCTTCCTTGACTTCGCATGATCGCGCCTAGATTGCAAGCGGATGCAGCCCTTGAGCCTGAGATGTGGATCTTTGGAAAGCAGGTGCTATTGGGGCACAGTTATTGAAGGAAACCTCAGTTCCTACCCATCTCAATGCCAACAACTAAGCAGTAGCGCTAGCTTTCAAGGCTTCCTCGGCTCCCCTATATCCATACGTCCTCTTCCCGAATTCAATCTGATCAAACTCTCCCGCTTGAGCTTGTTCTTCCGGCGACAGCAATCCACCCATATGCCTTGAGGACCTCGCAATATCCTGAGCGCGCGCCTTTCGGATTTGTAAGAATTTTGGTATCATTGCTTCGACGTCTTCGAATGTCTCAGCATCCTTGAGCAAGAAACCCAGCGCTTCCGCGTCTTCGAAAGCACTATTGCAACCTTGCCCAGCATGTGGCGTGACAGCATGTGCCGCATCGCCAATGAGCAGAACTCTGCCGCGATGCCATGTATCCTGCGGATCAATGTCACGAATTCGCCAGATCTCGACGGTTTCATCGCCGGAGCAATGATGGGAGAAGATATTCGTCAATGCTGAAGAGAAATCCGTAAATGCCGCTTGTACTCTCGTGGCTGGGATACCTTTGATAATCGTCGTCTTCTGTTCATCAAATTGTGCAGCAAATTCTTCTTCTTTTGCGTAGCCTACAAATTGCGCTTCACGGGGACTGATATGGTAAGCTAGAATTCTTTGCTTGTCACTTCGTCCATTTGGCGAGGACCAGCTGGCTAGCCCGAAATGTCCAGGTTCGGCGAAATATGCGAGTTCCGGTGTCGCTTCGATGGCTTCGATGGGGACTTGCGCCATGTATGCGAGAAGGTCGTGAGTTTTGGCTTCTGCTTCGAAGTTGCCTTCTCCTGATTTGGAGACTACGGCACTCCGTACGACTGAATTTATGCCGTCGGCGCCGATGATGAAGTCGGCTGTGTAGATTTTTCCTTCAGCACTGCGTACCGTGCCATTCGAGGTATCTACTTCTACGACTCGGACGCCTTCGATCACCTTGGCGGGTTTGCCGTGTAGGCTTGGACTGGTAGCAAGCCGATGGAGTTCCTTGTGCAAATGACTCCGTTTCGTCAGAACGCTTGGTGCCCCGACTGTTTTCCGCGTGTGGAAGTCCTGGGTGAAGATCTCTTGGTTTTGATAGTCGCGGACCCAGACTCTTGTCATGACTGCCATGTCGAGTTTGTTGTTATCGATTCCGGCTTTTTGGAGTAAGTTGTAGGCATTTGCAATGACGCTTATGCCGTAGTCATTTTTCGTGAAGTCGAGATGATTTCGTTCGAGAATCGTTACCTTGTGATTTTGTCGAAGGTAGGCGGCTGTGGCGAGACCGCCTAGGCCTCCTCCTACGATGAGGATGTTCAAGCCCATATTTAAGACGGTCTGTAGTTCTCTAGTGGGTGGAAGCTCGGTGGTCTGTCTTGCTGTTACGCTCTATTCCGGTTCATGCGGACAACCACGGGATTGAGGTTGCGAAGGTGGAATGCAGTGCCTGTAATTTTCTGAGCCGTCAATGGTGTTCTGTAGGTTATATGGGAAAGAATAGTGTATGTCTTGGTCGCCTGAAATCCTGCAGGATGGTAAGGTTCAGATGATGCTCCCGATTTCTCCGTGCTTACTGGTAACACTATTCAGGTACGGGGGAGAGACTTGCGCGACAGTATCATGGATGGCAGGCAGTTCGCGACAACATTGTGGCTTTCGTGGTCACTCTCCAGAATATCACAGGCAAGCGTGCGAGGTCATGTCGCGCTCAAACTTGCCAATGCCGAAGACAATGGCTGAGCATCACAGCTGAGCATCAGGGATTGTATGAATACTCGTGGTGGTCTTCGCTCCATACTGTATTCCGTAAGAGCACGTGTACCTGACACATTAGGCAGACCAGGTGTAGCAGGGTGCATCGATGTCCAAGTGTGAAGAAAGGAAGCAAGTCGGTGAAAGAAGAGTGACGAGCGTAGGTGGCAGATTGAGAACATCCATTAGCGGCCGCAATTCTCCGGCCAATCGAAGTTCAGCCAATGTATCAGAAGATGCAGTCATCGCGTGACTCCATATTTTAGTACCTCCCACCGTCATTGTCGCAAAGCACAAGTGGGCTCACAGGGTTCGGCTGGGTCAGGTACTGAAGTACCTGCAGTGTTACATGTGGCTCACATGGAGAGCTAGGAGCTTACTCGACCTTTAAAAAGAAAGCCAGTTCGTCTGGCATCGAGGGTTCGGCTTGGAATCGCATGCCTTTGACTTCTCCATCTGCGCCAATCACGAATTGAACTTTCAGTGCCTCATCTGTTATCCAGGTGCTAGGTCCCATGCATTGAAGTGCCCACCAGTAGTCACCAGAGACGTGATGGAGCGTTGCTGTAACATCAAGGTAGGCTTTGCCTGCAGGGGTGAGGTACAGCGGCACGCCGGCTTCTTCTTGGTGGCTTTGTTGCTCCATCGTAGTGTTGGGCTCAGTGCCACCACGAGCTGGTTTCGACATGGAAAGCCGGTACGCATGATAGGCGGGATGCTGGTACACGCCTTCAAATCTCTGTACCTGTAGCGAGGGCGGGACATGCGAAGACATGGCCTTTTCACCAAATAGCTTCTTGATAATCGCGTCTTCCTTTAGTTCTGCTTCTTTGTCCTTCTGAGCCTGCCGCATGTGCTTCGCCGTGTCGAAACGTTCGGCTTCTGGAGTTTGGAGGTAATCGTCTAAAAGATGTTGGACGATTATGTCGTACGCCATACTGTAGGAGTTCTGCAAGAGCATTACGGCCCATCCCGATTTCCCTTGTCCGATCTCTGCTGCTGTTGGAGGAACCATGAGCATATTCGCCATGTATCCAGCAATAGCGCCGGTGTGAGACAGAATTTCACGCCCACGATAGACTTGCGAATACAGTCCCAGGCAATATGCTTCTGGTCCGATCCAAGGTCGTTGCGGCTTCTTCTCGACCAGCATTCTAGGTTTGCGAAGCGCAGCCACTACGTTCTTGCTCAGGACATGGTTGTGGTCCTGAGGCGTCGTCATGAGGTGCTGCATCCAACGAGTGTAGTCGAGGACATTGGAGATGATCCCACCAGAGCCATGCTCAGGTGGAACATCGTCCCAGGAAACGCGCTCGTACTGGTTGCTTGCTTCATTCCACAGATGGGCTCTCGCTAGACGAGCTTTTTCGTTCTTCTCAGATAGCTTCTGGGCGTCAGCTAGATTGTACGTGGTGTTCAGCATACCCAGTGGATGAAAAATGTGGTCGCGAAGCAGTGTTCCGAAAGAAACCCCAGTTACTGTTTCCACAGCGTGTGCTACAGCCGTGTAAGGCACATTACTGTACTCCCACTTCTCTCTGAGTTCGTGATGCATCGGTAGCTAGTATTGACGGGTCAGTAATTGTTCGAGGGACAGAAGCTGCGTTGCGCACAAAACGTAGAGATCGCACAACCTCGCGGTCTGACCATGTTCCATTGATCCAGGTCTTGTCGTGTCTTGGCAGTCCTGTTCGGTGCGAGAGAGCGTCCTCTATAGTCACATGGCTCGTCGCCCATTGCCCACCAGCAGACCTTTGGTCGAGCACAAAATCATCTCGTATGAGCTCGGCCAGAGGTGTTTGCCAGGTGATCGGATGATCCGGAGATTCTACGAGACCTCCTGCTACAGCAGAAGTGAAGGATTTCGTTGTGGATGCACAGCAGAACAGTGTCTCTGGCTCAACTGGAATCTTCTCCTCGAGATCAGCGAAGCCATATCCCTTCGCCTTGACTTTGCCATTATGAAGGATCGCAATTGACAGTCCGGGACTGTGGAATTCCTCGAGGACTTCCCGCACAAGCTCATCGAGCTTTGGGTCTCTGATGTCTTCATAGTGGATCGCGGAAGCTTCTGAGTCTGAGTCGCCCATGCTGATGGTCGAGTTGGCTTATCTCGTTGGCTCGGACGGATTCACGCAGGCAGAGAAGCGCGATTGCTCCTCATGCCGCCAGCGGGTCGCCTGAGGTCCCTGCCTGATCGACATTGCGTTCAGCCGCATACGGTAGCCCCCAATAAAGTGGGACATGCCACCGGAAGCGAACACTTCGCGGTGTTTATACATATTCGTCGTGAGATGGAAGAAGATTCGTAGATCAAAGAGCAAGGCAACCCATGCGATCAAGTGTGCCTCGCTAGAAACAGTTTAGCCGAAACGAGTCCGTGGCTGATGCCTCAGGCTCACACTATTCGCTTCGGTCTGTCTGGGTCTGGGTCTGGGTCTGGGCCTGGGTCTGGGCCTGGGCTCGCTTCCTCGAATCTTGTCTGTGCCCCCGCTCCACCACCAATGCATCGATGCATCCACGGCATCCCGACACATGCTGCATCTTGTGCCGCCGACATGTCGACCAGAGCCTGTTGCAAACATCAGCAATGCCGTCAACTCCGCAGGCCGTACAGCATAGCCCGGCCAACCTGACTCAACCGGCAAGCGCAGCCCTGAGGACGACCGCAGAGCATGAGAACTAACAGCATAGCACTGCCTGCCGCTAACTTAGACACTGGTCGAACTCAGCCCTGCACAAAAGAGGCCTCTTTTCTGAAGTCTAGACCATATGGGATGGCCCGCCATCGTAGCATTGCCCAGCATGGCCGCTCATCAGCCCACAGAGACGACGTCTCACTCCAGCCGTACAAAAACCACGTGCGGCTTGCAGCACAAGCCCTCCACGTTTGACGCTTTCCTGACGCACGCGATGTTGGCGTGAGCTCATTGGTTTCAGGCGCGTCTTGCTGTACCGCGTGCTCGGAGCAAGCGACGGGCAGATGCAGTAAGTCGCAAGCCCCAGGATCGTGCACCAGCACAACTTCAACGCCGTTCGTGCCTCTGGCTTGTGGAGGCTTGTTCCAAGTGACTTCCAACAGGGCTCAATCCTTCGGCCAACATGCTTCTGGGTCAATGTTGCTTCACGTGATGCTAGCACTTGTGGCGCCTGCCGTTTTCGGAAGTTACTGGTGAAGCCCTCTCATGAGAGAAACATCGCCTACATCCGATGGCTTGGATGCCAAGCAACCATACAACGCTTCCACGAGGTTAGCAACGAGCATATGCTGCTTGGCAGCACTGCGTCGCACAGCCTGTGCCAATTGGCTTCAACCCGACTGCAGTAGAATGTTCTTTACGGCACGCGGTCGCAATGGTGAGCTGGCGGTGTTTCCGAGTTGCTGCAACGCTGACGGTCCTGGGAACACCCTACTCTATTGACTTGTCCAGACTGTATACCGTACAGGGAAAGTACCCTCTGCCACAGGGCTGTTTCGTTGCTATCTCGAGCTCGCTATCAAGACTTGGCTCATTAAGCCACGAGGCGCTTTCGCACTCGCAATACAGAGGGGAACATCAGTCTACCTTTCAGCTCGTACCTATATTACTGTAGATCTCTACCCTGTCAGTCACAGTCATCTTTCACAGACGACAGTAACACAAGCAACACAGGCTCAGCATAGCCTCGACACCATCACCAACCAACGGCAAAGCGCGAAAATATTTCACGATGACAAGTCACCCTAACGTGATGTATGCCGAGTGGTCAGCCGAAATGCCGAACGACCTTCTCGCAGAGTACCACAATTCTCAGATACAAGGCACAATGCAACCCTTCTGGCAATGGGTAGGATTTGACCCTCTCTCGTCGGTCGACATGGGTGCTGAGAAAGGTGTTTAGACATGTGAGACGACCGACTACGTGCCTTCAGAACAGTCTGGATCATCATCGCCCGAAGCATATTCCACGCTGGACCCGAATCTCTACCACGAAGACTTTCTTGACATTTCGCAAATCAGCACACCGATGTCCGCTTTTGACGACACAGCATCCGAAACAGCGCAAGGGGGTATCGTGGCCACTGGAGCCGGCGCAAACAAACGTATGCGAAGACGAGAGCAAAACCGAGCATCGTAAGCTGATCTGAGCCTGACGGTCCCGTACAATGTTGACAATGAACACAGCCAAAGAGCATATCGCGATAGACAGCGCGGCAAGATCGCTGAGCTACAAGCACGAGTGTTGGCCCTCAGAGCACAGAACGACAAGCTGCAAGCACGTAACAACATGCTCGAGGCTGCCTTCCAGCGCGACCGCTCGAAGCAGGCTGGTGAACCAAACCGGCAAGGATCAACCTGAACATACGTGGAGCGAAGCTTGTCCATTCAGACCAGCGAAATAATCCTTTTGACAAGACCGATCATACCACGGCGAAGAGAGTGATCAGTTGTGCAGATGCAATTGAGGTTGGTGTTCGGGGCTCGCGAGAACATGACCCTATCGAATATTATCCAGGACGGATGTCGATCACCGGTGCATCCGGAATCTGGAAACGACTCCTGAGAACCGGAGTCAACGGCTTCTCAAGCCGACTGGAAGTGGATGATGCACCGTAACGGCTCGGGATGCCGTGGAAGAGCTCGAGTTGGCTGAGGTGGTGAAATGAAAGGAGAATGAGCCAGGCGCACACGCACCTCCATCCAGCTGCTGTATTCTAGCTGCCCATCACGACAGAATGCAAAACTCAGAAAGAACCCATATCACACATTCAACAGCTTTCTCCACACAGTTGCAACATGTGCTCGCCGTTCAACCTCGTGAACTTGACTCACTGTTGGCGTGCTCCCCGTTTGAGCGACCGGAAGCACGCGTGCCAACGTCCGAGATGACCCTCGATGCTGTGATAGGCCTCCGTCTCATCCATCACCGCTCCAGACCCACGCCTTCAACGCCTGACAAACCTGCAAGAGCTACTTTTGTGAGCTCTAGGTCATTTCCCAGCCTCTGGAGGGGAGCTTCACATCTGGTTTGCATAACGTTTAGCCACCTCCACCATGCCCTCTTCGACGTTAGAAGCTGTTACATATACGGCACACCGACTCTCCTCATCATCGTTGTCAACGGCATAACCAAGCTTTGCCAAAATGCCTATTGCCGCCCAGAACAGCAGCATTCGTATATGAAGCATGCAAACACTGCTCAGTTGCTGATGCTTTTCCTCACTACTCATCACAGTCTTTTATTTCATGCTCAACGCTTTATGTCTTTGTCTTTCTTTTGCATACTTTCATCTACTCGTTAATGTTCTTGCCGACCATGTCCAGTTTCGTGCGCACCATGCACCTCTTATCCGCTCTTTCAGCATCACTCACTCTCGTTTCCTTATCACACGCCAGTCCGATCATATTACCAGAGCTGAATGATCCGACGTTCACTTGCCCGAGAAATCAGAACGTGGGACTATGTTGTCCCGCTGATGTCCGCTCCAATGGTGGAGTGGAAGACTGTCTTGTCGCTATACAGATGGTGCGAAGAACTCGTGAGTCAACTTCAAGCAGAAAGTGGTCGCAACCATACTGATGTTCGTGTTTCCAGGCAATCCTATTGAGAGCTTCGCACCTTCTCCCAATCATGAATGCCCGACTGGGCTATCCAGCATACCAGTATGCTGCAGATCAAGCTTCGCAACACAAGTAAGTCGTTCCGGGAAGATGCATGTCGCCATTGACTAACAGTCCTTGCAGCAAACTGGCGAAGCAACAATTAATGGCCTGAACTGCGTCAATGCCGAACTACCAAAGACCTACCTTACCCGAAGATACTCAAGAGTGGCACACCTCGAAAGACCGAGTGCGACGCTTGCATATACCAGATCGCCGCGACAAGCGGCAGAATCACGAATTGAACCACGAACAATTGAACCACGAGCGATTGAGCCGCGAAGGCTAGAACCACGAAGACTCGAGCCCCGGACGCTCGATAGTCTCACGCAATCAGAAAGCGACGAACCAAAAACAACGCCCGCAACACTAGACGACGTCGCCAAAATCGCCAAACGCCTCGAAACCATCGTACGCGACTCTCTCATGGAAGTCGACGTCAAAAGACTCGCCGACTGCGAAGACATCTCAGTAGGATTTTGCAAAGCTCGCGTACATCCAGAAGTCCGCAGTGACAGTGACAACAACGCCGAGCCAAAAGAAGAATACAAATTAATGGCACGAAAAGCCGCTCTCGATGCCCTGACTGATGGAAGGCTGCCTGAATTCGCCGAGCGCTCCGAGCTTACGAGCTCATTGGATGCTGCTGGTGGTTTGAGCGCCCGGGATGCAGGGAGGATTGCCAGCGCGGAGCGCAGGCTGAGAGTGAGACTTGATCAGGCGATTCGGGTTTCGCAGCTTGCGGAGGAGACGAAAAAGGAGGGGAAAGAAGGGAGTCAGACAGAAGATATTGAGGACGATGATCAGCCTTCTGCTGTGCTGAGAAAGAGGAGTGTGGCGTATCATGATAAAGGGCCGCATTTTGAGACTTTGTCGGAGACTGTGGCGAGGGATTTGGTTGATCCTTTGACGGAGAGGCCTCAGAGACGGCATCTTAGTGGGTTGCATGAGTTGAAGCATGCTGATGCGTGGTGGTATCCCTGAGAGATCAGATAGCAATAAATCTAAATATTCATCCTGACCTGCATGTTTGTGGTGCTGTTCTTTTTGATGCATAAGGAATAGTAGCATGTCGGTCGTCCTAGTGTCTTGCTTTCCATAAAAGTCTCATGCTACACAGTGATAGATGCAATATTTTCCGTACTGATGAAGGTGTCGTCGTGCTGAAGCAGGCAAGGAGGAAGGTTTGGTTTCACTTTCAGGCACGAAAGTGGATGCCTTACGAAAAATCTTGGCATCACGCTAGAGTTCCATCCTTGTCGCAGCTGCAGTCGCAACACCTCCTCCTAACCACTCGTCGCGTGAAGTCGACGTCTACTCTTCCAGGCTGATCTCACGCACTTGCCCGCATTGTGCGGAAAATGGCATGGCTGGCGATATGCATGCACGACGCTCACTTCAGTTGCCTCGTGCGACACCGGTATGCGCCTTCCGCGAACTGAGGACGCATACTGGCAGTGAGGCAAGATCGCCCGTCATGTGGTGGCAGGTGCAATTAGAGTGAGCGTCGATCTTGCATGTCGTATTGCAGTAGTACATTTCACTCCGCACCTCTCTCTGCCAGCTCGTGTACAAACCATAACAACGACCTCTTCCAACACGAACGACAAACCACAACACCTGATTCACGATGCTGACCTACCTCCTCCTCACGCTTGCTGCTGTTGCAGTGGCACTCGCTGCGCCTCAGTCGCCAGCTGCCTACCAGCCTCTTTCCAAGCTCATCAGCAATGGAGAATTCGGTCTCACCATGCGCATCATTGACGAGGTCGGAGAGCCCAGAGCAGTGGCTCTTGTGGCTACCAAGAACGGCACGAACGAAGAACTCGTCCTTGTCGGCCAGCCACTCGCATCAAACTCCGGAACTCCAGCTTACACGACCAACACCAACGCCAAAGATGCCAATGGCTTCGACTTCGTTGCACTGAACGTGGATGTGGACGGCACCTCCTACGGCCTGTTCGCAGCAGACGTAGTAAGTGCCCTTTTCCCACTCTGCCTGTGCTGTGAAGCCCGTCGAAACCATGAGCTAATGCACCACCACAGGGCTCCGTCTACGGCATCCAGACCACAATCACCGCTGTGAAGGGCATGCAGCAAGAAGAGTGGCTCGTCAGCGATGAGGATGATGGCGTCTACCGCAAGCTCGCTGCCGCAAACAACCAGTTTATGGGTGAGTAAGACTCCCGCAACAATACTCACTGAAACCTTTGTTTTGCCTCTTACTGACTAGGACAACTCAGCTTGCGCCGGAACTGTCAATGGTCAGCCGGCTGTTGTGCTGAGCTGGGGTATCAGAAAGTCCAATGGCGCCACGCCAGATGGATGCGATAGCACAACAGTCAAGAAAAACTGCAATGTGCCAGACAGCATGGCGAAGTGCCCAAAATTCTAGTTGCATCAACTTGAATATATCGGTGCTCTTCTCAGTCGGAGCAGTGATCGGAGGTCACAACCCCAAAAGCATAGCTGCATCACGGTGATACGCTGCTACCTTCCTCAGTTGGAGCAATGGTCACAGGCAAATCGTGTACGATACGTTGGGAGACCTTGATAAATGAATCTCAAGACCACCTTTCGGGTGCATGATATTAAAAATCTAACCGACTCGTGACGTCGTCGACGATGCGTTGTCATGACATTACTGTACAAAACTTCCTGGCCCTCATATGCCAGTCCTGATGCTCTCATAGCAACCCGTACTGTAGTGGTATCTTTTTGGTAACGCCCGCTATGCCCCATCGAACCCTTCTCCAATGATCGCGAAAACTTCCGCTCAAAAGGACTATTACTTTCTGCTCCTTCGAGACCCAACGGATGACGATCGGGAAGCAGCTTTCGCATCGTGTACAACTTTGAAGCTCTCTCTCGTGTTGATTCGGTCCAGGTCGAAAGGACTGAACTGGTACCCGACCGGCCCTCTCTGACTGGCGCGGCTCCTCGTGCTCCTCAAACTGGCCTTGGACTTTGTCTGCGTAATCGGCGCGAATCGTGGTTGATCCTCTTCGGTATCCGAAACTCCATCAATCGAATCTCGTCGAGGCTCCTCGACCTCTTCCTTAGCTGGGCCCTGTGCTTCCTGATCTGTTTCTACAGCAGTATCATCCGTATTCTCTGCGTTCTTCTCCGGATCAGATTCTGTTGACATGTCGGCACCAGATCTCCTGTCATCGTCCTTCTCGTCATCTTCTTCGTCATCGCTGAAGGCTTGGCCAGCCATTTGTTTCATGAATCGGTCGGATTCGGCGGAGTACTTGCACTTCTTGCGGATGGCGGCTCCGTATTTGTAGAACAAGAAGGGGAAGGGTACGCAGGCCAAAGCGAGGAACGCAGGCACGCTCGAAGCCCAATGGATACCAAGATTGGCGTACATCTGCGAGGTGAAAAGTGGGAACGCGGCTCCGAAAAGGGATCGCAGCACGGAGTTTCCTGCGAGAACTGATGCGGCGAAGATGGTGTAGGCATCGATGAGGTAGTTCATTAGCCCTAGGAAAATAAGAACCATGCCGAATCCGAAGGGTGCAGTCGCGATAATAGGGACCATAAAATGGATGGAGGGAGAATTTGTCCAGGCGAACCAGAAGAGACCGATTGGAACTGCGATGCCACCCAACATGACCATTGGCAGACGTGCTTCCGGTGGCGCGAATCCCTTATGTTCGTCGGAAATTCTGGCATATCTTTTGTTGTCCCAAACAGAGTACGACACCGCGCAAAGCATTCCGACGGCAACACCAAGGAAAGCCAATCCACCGATCCCAGGGCTCCATCCTCTTCCCTGCTGGAAAACGATTGGGAAAGCACCAAAGCACATGTATAGCGTTCCGTAGATGATAGCCATGTAGATGGAGAGCAGTAAGACAATTGGTTCGGTCAGAAGGAGGATCCATGGTCTCGAGAGAGAGGTTTTAAACACTTCTATGACCGATGTGTCGCCTGCTTGGATGTCGCCTCTGGTTTTGTAGACTTTACCGGTCATCTTGCTCAGTTCCTGTGCGCGAGCACGGAGCAGGACAGGTGGGTAGGTTTCTGGCACAAGGATCGTGCCAAGAATCCAAAGTGAAGCAGCGAAAAGTGCCATGACGCCTTGGTTCCATCTCCATCCCGCGTACTGGCTGGTGAAGCCGCCCACGATGGGTCCGAGGACCTGTACCAGAGTCAGTACTTGTCTTCACGCAATGATCGAGGTAAACACATACCGGGCCCATGAATGGCGCTGCTGCGAACAAAGCCATAGCCAGCCCTCGTTGCCTCGCTGGGAAAATATCTGCGATTACACCTCCTGCATTCGTGAGAGGACTTGAGCCGATAGCACCAGCGAAGAAACGTAGAATGACCAGCGTCCAGATATTTTGTGATCCAGCTGCACCTGCAGTGAATGCGGTCAAACCGGCGTAGGTAACTGTGAACCAGATCTGTCGTCCATACATCTCTGAAAGCGGCGCCCATCTGAAAGCACGTTAGTAGTGCTCCGCAGTGCAAAATCGTCGAGAATGTGCTGAAAGGCTCACAATAATGGTCCGACCGCAAATCCCAGCACATATAGCGACACTCCCAAAGTCGCTACAATCTGACTGCACTGAAATTCGCGGATGATGTCCTGAATGCCTCCCGAGTACGCACTGGAGATAAAGGCCACTGCAAGGGTGACGAGCGCGACCACGAAGGTTAGACCCCATTTTTTGCTTTCTGCGTACAACATGGGATTTCGCGGGTCATTCTCGATCCACTCGACGACATAGGGATCTTCTGCAGTTCCTGATCCATCATATTGCCAGTCTCGAACTTCTGATGTTGTGCCAGACTTGGAGAGTACTTGTCGGAAATGTGGTATCTGCTGAGGGGTCCCTGCTTCCACGTCCTTGTCGGCCATGGTTCCGCCCTGTCAGATCTCGCGGAGATCTCAGTCCCCTGCGTGATCGCGCAATTGCAGCAGGGTGTTGCGATTAGCCGACAGTGAAGGTGAATGTCGTCAATGTCGTTCGTCCTTCTCAGAAGATTTGCGCGCCGGTGGAAGAAATCCTTATTATTGTTACAGGATGGAGATGCTCTCGGATGTCGGCACCTGGCGCTCGACCCTGGTTCGAAGTGAGGAGTTGACGACGTGTGCTGGATTTCTGTACGGTCGCAGGAGATGAAACGAAGTGTATTGCCAAACAAGTTTTCGATGACGGGTGGCTGTTTGCTTTTGGGTGACTAGGCGGCCAAGTCCAGGAAGAGAAGTCTTATCGAGAAGTGCCTCGGGTGTAGTGGTATTAGTAGATCGACAGCACAGAATTGAAGATAGAATTGGAATGCTCGAGGCAAGGGATGCGAGTGGGTTTTCTTTAGATTGAAAAAAAGCCTTGTCGGCGAACCGGCAAGAGGCATTGTTAACGCCGCGCATGTCGCCACCAAAAATCCGAGTTTCGATGGTATCAGATGGACTTCATGCTCGTCTGTGGCGGCTCTAGTGCTGGAAGAAGCACCCAAGCCGTGGGTCGCCAGGTATGGGCCGTAGCCGGGCGCGTGCATAACCAAGCTCATCGTTGAGCTTAGCCAGGGAAAGGTTTGCTTACCGAGGAATCGGCCCTTGCAAACAGCGACCCCCGACCATGTTGAATCTATCGTCAGATCATGAACTTCGAGCCGACAATGGTCAATGCACTCTGTCCGCGTGGCAGCGGGGTCCAGAAATATACTCCTGCTTATGAAGAATGCGAACAGCTCGAGAATCGCAGCTGTCTCATGCTCGTGTCAGTTTTGAATGTGGTGTACATGTTTGCATAAATGCACAGCGGTCGGCATCGGCCCATTCCTGCGGTTGTTCGGCTCACAAGGTTTCTCCCACAATGACGTGTTATCGAGCTGCGCAACATCATCGCTTGGCAACGTGAAGGAGCCCACGTGCCGTGGTGTGCTTGAAGTAAGACACTGATGAGCATAGACCAATCGACCACACCTAGACTTTGCGTGCGGTGTAGGTACGGACTGGCCCTATCAACCGAGGATCACCGAACTTTCGACGCTCAACATACTGTAGTCCTAGTCCAGGTTGCAAGGAAACTGACGGAGTTTCAAGCAGCTCAGTAGTACTGCACGCCGACACCGAAGGACACCCGGACATCAGCAATGGACAGTCCAGCAGCGTCTCATGCTGGCAAGATGCCCTGGGTCGCACGCGGTATTAGCCTTGACGATTCGTGATCAGTGTCAGCCACGAGTCCCGGAGATATCAAAGTCCAGGCATGGATGAGATGAATCGTATTGTGTGGCACGTTGGCGGTACGCAAAGCAAGAACGACCTCGCTACACGCACATTGGTTAGGGCCTCAGTTCTCAGAATGGTCTCGGAGCTCGTGATGGAGACAAGCCCTGTCCGCAAATGCTGCAACGCGGATCGCAGCTCCTCAATTAGTGCCATGGAGGGTTTCATCTTTGAGCATTGTCAGCGATTGGAACATTGAGCTGCTGCTCTGTTACGGGAGAGGTGGAAGAGGCAATACCGCGAGCACTGCCACTTCGAAGATAAGGACTTACTGTATACGGCAGACAGAAAATCTGGAGACACTACAAGGCTCCCCAGCTCTGCGAGGCTGGCGGAAGTGGTTACTGATCTCACATCAGAGCCAAGCGAGTAGTTCGATCAAGGTGAGAATGTGTTCGCCGAGCCTGGTGAGGTGCTGGGTGGATCATTGCGTATGTTCTGCATCGCGGATAGCGAGTCAGGGCTTGGGTGAAGCAAGGAAAACTAAGATCCTCTGGATGTCATCGTCTAGGTGCCAAGAGCGCAAGAAGCCACTGGGGCGTGGTGAAGTGAATGTATCGTGCAAGAACTTGGAGTTGGAGCGAAGGCACGGAGTTGATGAGTCATCATGACAACCCGATCTTCCGGGTTGACTCTTTCAACTTCAACGTTCCTGCCACCACGTTGACGCGACTTCACCAGAACAGAACCTACCGTCGATCCTCGTCGAACAAGATGCATGGCAAGCAAATCTTTTGCCATAAGCTCGGCCCACAAGACGCAGCACATGAGGCATTGACGCACGTGTTCGCACTCTCGAAAAGAACTTTCGCGGCAAAAGAGGACGAACACAGGCCGTCCAATCAGCTCTCCGAGTGGCAGAAACATCTGTGTCGAGATGGATCGGCTGTGCTGTACGTCACAGATTCGGAGAATCAAGATGTTCCACTAGGTTTCGTGTTTGTCCTCTTGCGGACCGCGCCTGAGTTGGGCATTGAGCTGCCACACATATGGCTTGCAGCTGTTGATCCAGCTAGCCGTGGTTCCGGTGTCTTTGCACTCTTAATGCGACAGGCGACACAGCATGCTCAGAATGCTGATGCTCAGTCAATCACTGTATGCACTTACCCAAAAAGGTTCGAGAGAATGTACGCAGTGCTTCAACAGCATGGCTGGCAAGAAATGGCAAGAAGAGAGAATGGCGAAAAAGTGCTTATGAAGCTTGATCTGGCAGGTTAATATTGCTACAAGCTATCACAACTTTTGCCAGCGCTCTGGCTTCCACCGTGTCAAGGCGCCGATGGCTAGTACAGGGGCGGCAAAAACCGATATCTTGAGCACGAATTTGGAAAGCGCTATAACATACATGGCTCGGTGCGCCATGATGAACTGCGTGGCGTCGTTCATGCGTGGAAAATTCTCCTGCGGTACATCGTGACCTAGGAATCCGCAAAGTGGCACCCAACCATCCGAGACCTGGTAGTGGTCGAGCGTTCGCTCAGGAGGCGAAAGTCGGCGAACGAGCTCGTAATGCTCAATGAAGCGCTTGTGGGCAGGACCATTGACTGACCAGTCCGTCATCGTACCGAAGAAATTAGGCATCAAGGCGTTCGCGTGGCGCCAGAAAGGTTCGCTCAGAGCTTTGTCCCATGGAGCCAACCATTCCCATGATCTCCAGCTGAGGACTCTCCCTGCGGTGGTCTGCATGCTGTGCAACCACTTTTCTGCATCGCGCGTAGTGATTACGATCTTTGCTTCCGGATACGCCTGGATGAGCTCCTCCGCGAACGCGATGCATGGAACATCGCAGCAAGCATCGAAGTTGCCGAGAATTTTGTCAAACTCCGCTCGCCCAAAGGGCTTGCCTTTGCCTTGATACTTGGCCTCAAGGCCCTCCGCCCAGACATTGAGATTCGACTTTGGTGCCTGGACGGCTTTTGCCATGTGGTATGGGGTGTATCCCAGCGTTTCGAGGGCCGAGTACATGGACATGGTTCCTGTGCGGGAAGCGCCTAGGACGAGCACTCTCATCGGTTTGGTCCTCGTACCTGGGTGATTGTCGATCATGCGGCCTGTTTCCGGATGAGGAGTCAGGTTGTACGTCTCCTTCAACTCGTGGGGCTTGATCAAATCCGACAATTGTTTTGTGCGTGCCATTGCGACGGTGGTCCCAAGGATCCCTTCCAGAAGACGAAACTCAGATATGACTTGAAAATTGCGCGTGCGACTGCATTGCTTGTCAGCCGTGAGATCTCATATCTATATGCTGAACTCCTTTCGCAGGATGAATCATGCACTGAGGGCTGAATCAGAGCCACAAATCCTTCCACGTGCAGCTGGAGGCTTCACACAATGCGATAAGGTATTTTTGGTACGCTCTTTTCAAGAGACTTATGTGCGACGTTGATGTCCATTTTGGACCAAGTAGTGGGCCTCATGGATGTGCGTTTCATTGACAATCTCGCATTCTTCTGAACAACACCAGACATATTTGAAGAGCTGGTTGATTCAGTCGCAAGAAAGCAATGATACAGCCCTATATGGGGTCTGCCAAGGTGCCGGCCCAGATTGGCCCAAGTGGATGCTTGATAGATGAGCTGAAGAATTACAAGGTCCTCTACCCCTGCTCTTCGCGAAGTCAACAGTCCATCTTTCGAAAGCGCCAGACTCTGGCCTATCGAACAAGCTTGCCTGACCCTATGTGACATTGGCGTGATCTGAAAGGTCGTGGTAGCCGCGGTTCTCAGTTGGCGACACAGCGAATCCTTCGATACGTACGCCAAGAAACATAGCCACTGCATACACTGCCGTGCCGCAGGAAGATCAAGTACATTAGCCACAAAGATCTTCAGGCATACATCCATTTACGAATACGAAAGTTCATTCAGCCTCAGGATTCGCTTTGGAGGATCGTGGTCAGGCCTGTCCTGCGCCGCAGCATCATTGCCGACCACTTTACATAAGAATGAACTGTGAATCGCATCGAGGTATCGTGGTACCATTCTACTGCAACACACGACATTCAAACATATCCAAATTGTTTCGTGACTACGACATCTTTCACCTTCAAAGACCAACAACAACATACGATGTCCGACGCAGCAAGCCTCTCACAGTGCTCCACCAAAGTTGGCAGCGAGAAACCGGCCTCGATCGCACCCAGCACTGCAAAGCCATCAGAGCCTAAAGAGAGCAGGAATCCTTTCTCAAGACTCAAGAAGAAGGAAGAGCCGCTTCCACAATGGAAGATCGATCAGCAGAAGAGATTCAAGGACTGGGAAAAAGCTCGGTAAGCGGCCACGCATCATGTTTGGCCAGTAAGTGTCCTTACTGACTGTATCGTAGAAATAAACAGACGAGCTCTGTCGGTGCCTAGACAGACTTTTACAAGCCCAGTAAACAGAACAAGGCATTTTGGATTTGGTGGCTCTAGCCGAATGTTCATTCGGTGCTTCTGCATACTAGGTCACGGAGACCGCTTCTCATATATCTAGAGATACCCAAATACGCATTCATGATTTAATGACCTCAAAATCTGTCCAGCTTTTCTTTGATCGATTCCTATCCAGCAAACTCAATCTCTCCACAATTACTGTTTGACACAACGAAGCCAACAGTCGCGCTACCACTCCCCTTCGCGAACGTCCCGACCTCTTCAGTCGCAGAGCAGGTACCGCTGGTGCCGAATGGGAAGAAGTAGCAGACTCCAGCAGCAGGGTGCCAAGTCGAAGCTCCGCATGTGCCGCTCAATAGACACTGAACACAGCACTCATAGGCACTTGTCGCACCTGAACCGAAAGAGAAGCCGTTGTCTGGGTTGGTGGCAGCGATGTTGGCGATGCGAGTGTTGTCGACGTAGGAGACGGTGTTGCTTGGGCCACAGGCTGCGTAGTATGTTGGTTGAGGTTGGTAGATGGTGGACACAGAAGTTATGGATGTGGTTGTGGTTGATGACTCTGTGAAAGTCGTGCTTAGAGTGCTTGTGGTTGAAATTGTGATGGTAGTGGAAGCTACTGGAGGGCGGGTGATCGTGGTGCTGGTCTTTGTTGATGTGGAAGTCTAGTTGATGTTAGATTGATTTTTAATAGGAGGGAAACGGAGAATTCACCTGTGTTACAGTGCCACGAGGCGCCTGAATTGTCTTTGTGGTCTTCGCGGTCGTGGTGACAGTCTTGGTGGTTACGATTTGAACGCGTCTGTTGCAAGTGACGGAGCCTTTGTATTGTGGTGGGTCGTAGTTGATCGTGCCGTCATTACCACAGATGATCTTCTGCTGAGTCGCACGCTCTTGAATCTCGCCAGATACGGGTTCGCTGGACGCTACTTCGGCGCCTCGTCTGGCCCGCTTGGCAGCAGCGTGACCATCGGCAGCCAATGCAGACGAAATAGCAACAAAACCTGGGGAGGGCTGAATGGTGGTGGTTGTAAATGTGCTTGTGGTAGTCGAGCTCACGGAAGACGTGAGAGTACTGATCAAGGTGGTATAGGCACTGCTGGTAATCGTGAAACTAAGAGTGGTTGAGAAGGTGCTTGTGCTCTGCGGCAACGTCTGCGTGGACCACTTTGTGGTGGTGGTTTTCTTTGTGAGCGTGGTGCTGGTGGGAGTGATAGTCGCTGTTGGAGTGATCGTCTGTGTGACGGTCTTGGTCAAGTATTGGGTGGTCGATTGTGTTGTTGTCCCGCCCGAACCTTGCAAGGGCTTTAAGGCGGTCCTGCACACTTGTTGCGAATATGTGTTCACGCTGTCAGCAACAACTGAAGCTGCAAACAGCGCAGGGGCAATAAGTGGCAACAGCATCTTGACTTGCTTCAGCTTGCTCGAGGGAATGCAAAGGAATTATGTGAGGAGCAGATAGCAGTGTCGCCATTCTTATATGTTCTCTGCAGCAAGGCACCTACTTTCTTCCGGGCAATCTTCCATCCAGCAAGCGATACATAGTTCACGAAACAGGTATTGGAAACGCCTCCGGAATCTGTGAGTTCGCATTGCAGCGAGAATGATGAACGGTGGCGTTGTCTTTTCTCGAGCCGGCCACAGTCTAGATGCGAATACGGGATAGATTCGCTGGCGACATGCAGACACGAGAACGTGTCAACAGGGTAGACTATGTGGTTCCGTTCACGATAGTGCCAATCGTCTTGCCGAAAATATGTCAGCCCTTGCATCGGCTAAACATGTTCCGTAAGTCGAGATCCGTTCTGTCGCGAGGCGGAGGGCAACCCTTGCGGTATCTTGTGAAGACAGTCGAAGTCGGAGGGTTCCATCGCGTGGCTTGTGGTTTGAATGCCTCAAGAGCAGGCATCGTTTTGGTAGAGATCTTGGAATGTGCTAAGCATAAAAGCCTCCACAGAAGAAGAGTGTCAAGCACAGTCAAGCACTTCCGGAACGTCTATAATTAGTATTTGTATGCAGTGGATTCGACATCCATCGCGAAGTGCCAAGATATATGCCGCTCAAGGCTGAATTTAGTGTCCATGCAATCCTGTGAGGGAGCAAGCAGGCCGAGGGGAGCTGAATGGTTTGAGCCAGGCGACTCTCGCTTCAAGAAGTCCGAAGGATTCGTCGAAGTCCGGACCGCTTCCATGATTGCGAAAATGCACTTGATGCGTGGACTCGTGTAGACGCCGGATCGGGGATGCGAGGTTCGCCAGAAGGAGTTGGTCGTGCTCCAATCGCGTGGAAAGAATGGAGAAGGCATGATGTCTCGTCGAAACGAGATACGGCAGCGGCACACGCTGATATGCGCAAAGATCTCTCCCGTCGCGAGCAAGGCTGCTTCGGGTATATAGGAACACTGTGTCAACTTATTCTTGTGCTTGATCTATACTCAAGTACACAGCTGCACCAGGTCGCTGTCGCGCAAAGGATCATCTATCATGTGAGCCGATGCCGAGTTGGCGGACTGGACGCAGTAAAGGTATGAGCTGCACGACTCAAATGCGTGGCTGGGTATTATGGTCGTCTTGATGTCGTGAGGTGTATGATTGAGAGAGGAAGAGGAAGAGTGCTCGTCCAGCCAGGTAGGTTCGGTTGGCAGGAAACGGCTGAGTCAGCACGCGTGGTGGTCGAACGCCCGCTGCTTCCAGCTTTCTCCGCGTGTTCACAACACCACCACCACCACCACCATCACGGCGATGAACCCATCACTAGTGCTCGACCTCGCGATGCAAGGATTCTGCAGCACCACCCACCTCGTCAGCATGGAGAGACGGGCACCTATCGCCGCTCCTCCCGCCAGCAGGAGTGAAAAGGTGGAAGACGAGCAGTGATAGGACGCAGCTGCATGCAGATACCCCACCACAGCGCTTAATAGCCTCTCAGCCCTGGACCCGCGTGCGACTACAACGCCCGCGGCGAGTGGCAGCTCGACGTGGCGGGCGCCTACAATCTGACTGTATGGCACAACCTGCTCGAGAATAGCTGGAATGACGAGTCCTCTCCCACGCGGCGCGCCTACAGTTGAACTTTGTAGCGGCACATCCGTTGCTGGCACATCCCAACTCCCAACTTTCTTTCCTCGTCCCTGCGCCTCCAGGCTGATCACTCTGCGGGTGGCGTGCCGCAGGCCTCTTCGACGACCGCGAACATGAACAGCATCCTCTTGATTTTCCTGGTAGCCCTCCAGCTGGTCTGGGCCGGCAACAAGGACGAGATCAAATCTGCGGGAATCGACGACCATGCAAAGGCCGCTTACTTCGTCCTGGCGAGTTCGGGTTACGTCTTCGCTCTGAACGTGGCCGAGAATGGAGACGTCTATTTCCACATGAATGCGCCTGCTTCGCACTCATGGATGGGCGTCGGGTTCGGGAGTAGCATGAAAGACACCAGGATGATCATCTCTTACATCGGCGACGATGGCCACACGCTGATTAACAGTCCGCGCATGTCTAAAGGGCACTCCGAGCCAGAGTGGGAAAAGGACATCCGAATCGACAACGTGCGCAACGATACCTACGCACCATTCTCCAACACGTTGAGCCCAGATGGCATTATGATTTCGCACGCTGTTTGCAGGAACTGCTCGTCGTGGGCGACTGGAAGTATCGATACGACCAGCAAGACTCAGCCGTTTATCTTCGCTCTCGGCCCGAATGTTACTCTCCACTCGGACGACCTAAATGCACCTCTGCATATTCACGAGTTTCATGGTGTTTTCCAGCTTGATATGACTGTCGCAACTAACAGCACTGGATGGTATGGAAGAGTTCCTGCGCCACAAGACCCCGGCCTCCAGGTCGGCGACTCATACTGGGCTTTTGCGAATTACTTCAGCTCGAATGTCTACAACACTGGTCGCGACTCGGAGTGGGCACAAATTGTGCATGCGGTTTTCATGTCTTTGGCTTTCCTTCTGGTCTTCCCCCTCGGAGCCATCAGTCTGAGGCTCTTGAGAAGAGCCCCGCTTCATGCAGGATTTCAGGTGGTCGGCCTTGGTCTAGTTGTCATTGGCTTAGGGCTCGGCGTATATGCGTCGCAACTGTACAACAAGGTTCGTTGAGCGTTTGAATTCCCAATAGAAGCTCGCTAACAATTCGCAGTCGAAGCACTTCAAGTCTGCGCATCAAATTCTCGGGTTGTTCATTTTCGCTGGAATCCTGCTGCAGATCGGCCTAGGACTCAGTCATCATATCATCTTCCTGCGCTCTGGCACACCGACTGTACTAGGCAAGATTCACCGCTTCCTCGGCATATCAATCATGATACTAGGTGTCATCAACGGTGGCCTCGGCCTCGATTTTGCTGGAAGCTCGATCGTGGGCTACAGTGTGGCAGTGGCCGTCATGGCCGTTATTTATGGAGGACTATCAGCCGCCATCTACTTCTACAACAAAAAGCATATGTACAAACCGGAAGGTGAAGACTTCGGGCGGAAAGAGTTCGGAGTTGAACCTCCGGATGAATACGAAATGCACCAGACTCCGTTTGCGGCAATGGGTCAGACTGGCTATGTGCAGACTCCAAGGACTCCACATGTGAAGAGAGCCAACTGGGACGATGACCCGAACGACTACAGAACATATCTGCAACGAGGAGGGGACCGAGGCACTGAAGCGAAGCCAACTCTCTACCGTCAAGAGAGCCTGTATACTGATACTCCTGCATCGGACAGGGAGAACCCATTCAAGGCGAAATGGGAGGCAGTGCCTATACGGTGACCAGCGCCCAGCTTTCGTAATCATAATTAGACGCGCCTGCATAGCGAGCATTTAGACAGCATTGTCAGGCGTGTACAGACATTTCACATTCGCGGTCACAACTCTTAGCATTGCAGCCCTGATCCCCGCCGGGTCGCACCAACAAACGTGATCTTCATTCCTGCATGGTAATTCATCACGAAGCCCAAGAAGAGCGCATCTGTCTCGCCCTCAACAAGTCACGAAGAACTTCTGATCGACTGACGCAATAGAGTCCCGTTCGCTCGAGCGAGCAGGACCCGAAAGTTATTTGCAAATAGAAACCTGGTTCCGGCGGCCGCTCTGGTCTTCCGTTAGCTTGTTCATACTTCCGGCCAATGAACATCGTCTCTCACAAAGAGTGTCGTGGTTGGCTCTGGACCCCCCACACCAAAGTGACAGACATTGGCTCTTGTGTACAGGACGCTAGTGGAAGTACTGAACCGCCCACCCAGGCTCATGACTCTTGTGCTGTCAACTTGCTTCCTTACCTTCCACTAGCACACGAGGAGGTATATGTGATGGGCTTATTGCAGCTTCGTGCTGCTGCAGAGCATCGATGAGTGGGATGTTCACTAATCCTCACAGCCTTTCCTTCGGACTAGAACATCTCGAACTGTATGTCTGGAGCACAACTTAAGCGCTTCTCGCGTTCTCAGCGTTGCGATGTGCCCAAACTATTGTGAGAAGAGCTTCTACACCCACATATCCGAAATGTACCACGCATTCTCCCGGATGAACGGAATCATGTATTACTGCCGGAGAAGGCGGACTGTCGTTCATCTGAATTCCGCACAAAGGAGATTGGGGCCGGGAAACAAAGCACAAGCGAAATTAATGACCTTTCAAGCGACGAAGGATAGCCCACGTTCCGTCACTCTTTGACCGAGAGGTAAAGTACAAGCTTCTGAAAGTACTGTAGGAAAATGAGCAATGGCAACGCATCACTCATACGCTACTGAAAGATCTCAATTTCTGGGTGCTGGATAAAAATTCGCGGTCCTAACCACATCACCACATCTCTACCGTTGAAGCAGGCTCTCAAAGCGCTGCATCACCTCCTGCGTCGTAATCTCCCTTATAATCCTCCCAGCCAGTCCCTCACAACTCGTAACCGGAAAGCTGATATTCCTCGCAGTATGGCAACTGACCAGCGCAGCCAGATCCAAATCTTTCAGAGTCAAAATAACATCGCGCGAATTCCTTTTTTCCAATTCCAAAATGCCGCCAAGCACAGCTTCCTCCCAAGAAAAACCGTTCTCGACATATGTATTATCGCAAAAGAATCGCTCACCATATTTCGCGCCATCGGACGCGAAAGCGATGGCGTGCATTAATTCGTGTAGTAGGATTTGGACCAGTTCGAGGTAGCATAGTAGTAAAGAGTCTAGACTTTTGGATTGGGGGTTGACATCGTTTACTCGTTCCAGTGAGAATTGAATCTCGCTCTGAACGCCGGGTCCGCATCCAGCTATTGCTTTCTTCGGTTCTGTCACGGCGCAGATGTTGCGTGGCCATTTCACAGGCGCTAAACGAACATGAGGAACTAGCCTCTCCAGCGCTTCTTCATATCTCCTCTGCGCGGCAGGTCGAAGTGGTTGTTCGATATCTTCGCAAAGCCATTTGAAAGCTTTTCGCGGTTTTCCTAGGTTGTCGAATTTTATGCTTGTGGGGCAGTAGATCAACGCATTGATGAAATTGGATGTCAAGGGCTCGGTGAGCATGTGCGATGCTAGTGCTAATGCAGGCAAGATGGAAAGATATTGCTCTTTGGTAATATTCTTCCATTGTTTCCAGGCGAGGAGAGGATGGATAGAATTGTTGGTGGACTCGTTGGTGTAGACGCGGCGGAGAAAATGGACGACGTGCGGGTCTGTGGTGCTCGAAGTCACTAGCGCCAGCGCTGTCTCGACTTCGGTCTGCACGCGGCGGGTTTCCTCCAGGGAAGTAGAAGACATAGGGAATGGAAAATTAAAATGACAGGAAAGGAGAAGGAAAATATTGTGAGGAAGGACGCGAAAGCAGAAGCGAGCGGTTTCTGAGGCGGCGTAGCCGATATGGTTATATTGCGCGCCCCAAGTTCATTGTGTGAGTGTGCAGACAAAGCCGATTATTAGTGGCGTGTCGTTCCAATTTTGGTACAAAGAAAGTACGCCATTCTGTTGATGGCGTTCGCTACTGCTGAGTAGGTGCACACAGTAAGTCATCGTCGGTTGTCGTTCCTTGGACGTCGTCGCAAGCTACAACTTCGCCTTGGTCTTGATGATGCCGTAGCATGGCCCACCCTTGCCGAACATGGCAATGAGATCCTTCACGATCTCCTCTGGAATCTCGTGAGCTGCAAAGTGTCCGCCCTTCTTCTTGAAGTCCTCGTAGACGACAGGGCCAAGAGTCCTCGCCCACGTGCTCGGGACAAGCGTTATTTCTCGAGGGCTATGGCACAAGCCTAGCTTCACATTCGGGATCCAGTCATGAGTTCTGTCTCGATGAACATTGTTGAGGCCGGACAAATGTGTCGCTTCGTAATATATGCGGAGTGAAGCAGCAGGCCCAGCAGTGGAGAAGTAGTAGATCGAGACCCAGGTCAGTATCTCGTCGTCGGTCCAGGGGTAGTTGTCGGTCCAATCATGTAGCTTCTCGTAGATCCAGGCAAGTAAAGCTATTGGAGAGTCATGCAGGCCATAGCCAGGAGTCTGCGGCTTGGTGGCTTGTATCGATCGATAGCCGGACCCTTCGTTGAGGAACCACTGTGAGCGTGCGAAGCCGTCCTTCGTGGTTTGACTGTATGGCGTGAGGTTATGTCGTAGAGTCAAAATAGGGTTCTTGAGCCAAGTCGGAGGATTGGCGCGGATCATGTTGATGTGGGAAGCTAGGCAGCGTTGTGGATAGCGAAGTCCAATCACCCGGGTGATCATGAAGCCCCCTTGATTCGTCAGTATGCTTACTCTTCTGATAATATGGTTTATGTCCCCTTACAGTCGCCGCCCTGAGTCACGTATTGGTTGTAGCCTAGTGACTGCATGAGTTGATCGCATGTCTCAGCGTACTGCGCAGGTCCGAATCCTGTTCGTGAAATGCCTTGGGACCAGCCGAAGTTTGGTAGGGATGGCGCTACAACGTGGAATGCGACTCCATTGCTACCATTTCGCAGAGCAGGCAACATTTTGACCACTTCAAGGTAGCTGCCCGGCCTGTAGGAGATCAGCTCAGGCTTCCAATTCTCAATGCTCTACTTACCATCCGTGGACGAAGAGGAGTGGAATAGCATTGGGATTCTCCGAAGGCTGATGAAGGTAGTGAATGTCGATATCGCCAAAGCCTTCAACTTTCACGCTTCGCTGGTAGTTGGGCAACTCATTGAGCTTTGCTTCTTGCAGTCTCCTTCAGGTGAGCACGCTGGGTTAGTAGGAGGACATTGCATGACATTCTGGGGTCTGTACCAATCGAACTTCTTCTGCCAGTGCTTTGCAAGACGCTTCACGTCCGCCAGTGGAGCTCCATAGTCCCACTCTGCACCTTCAAGCTGATCCTTGAGTCAGTTGCCGAGCAGTGTGTGGCTGAGAGAGGATGCTCGCCTCGTCCGGAAATTCTGCCTGAGCAAGCTTGATCTTGAGAGTGATCAGCTTCTCCTCCGGTACAGCGACCCTGTAGCTCGACATGGCGATGCTGATGCTGGGCTTCACCAGATCAGCTCGAAGCAATGAAGCAGAGCCCGTGAGATGTTCGTGTCAAATGGTAGGGCGTGGGTAGTATTCCTTGCAAGTGGAGAACCGGTAGTCTTTCGAACTCGGAAACGTCCCTCCTACCTTCGCGTTGTCTTCCTATGCGAGATTGGTTCTCGTTATCATCGCGTCGAGCTGAGATGGTCTGTAGAGCTGGGCATGTTGGTGGTACCCGAGGAAGGGATGTCGTCACTGCGAGATCCGAGCGCTGGCTTACTCAGCAGCACTTTCCTGGTCGCTCATCTCCGCAACGCCCTTCTCCCCTAACTTCACTTCTTTTCAAATATTGTCTGTCAACACAAACGCGCCTTGGGTGAAGTGAGCGAGCGAGATGGAACGTCCGGCGCAGCAGCAGTCACGTCGAGCATTCCCGTATCCGTGCACACGCCCGACCGTGTCAAGCACGCGTAGACGGTACCAGACAAGATCTTGATCGGCAGCATCGTGTCAAGCCGTGAATCTTAAACAGCGGGCCTGCCTCCGATCCGACTGAGCTTTCTTGCGGCTCTTTGGAAGGAATATAATCAAGCACCTCGTAAGCGGCTTCGCGCACCGCGTGCTAGTCTGACGATGACAGTGTCATCAGCAAGCAGACTGCCTTTTCGAGACAATACACTCCGGCAATCTTGCTGATGAGCGCTACGCATCGCGAGTCAGCTCTCAATGCTCAGGAAATTTGTGCTGGAACGTGGCACGACACAGAGTGCTGCGGCAGTCCACGTACATGCTTCCGGACTACCTCCCTCTGCGACAGCGGCAGCGTCCACGAGGTCACCAACTGATGTGATACCTGATGCCACGCAGCCAACCCTCGGGGAGACCAGTTCACACCAGTTCACACCAGCACACCCAGTGGAGTTCACATTGCTGGATTGATTGCGACGCGGGCGTATCTCCAGAGCGTGAGCGATGCATCATAGTCATAGGGTTGCGGCTCAGCTTCAGACGCCGTCGGGTGCACTGCCGGTGCTAGTGTGGACGATCTGTGTCAACAACTCATAGCAGTCTTGGACAGGTAAGGTTAAATTTACGGCAATGCTATTTGGTGCATCTCATCCTTGCATCCTCAGCATATTTTCTTCCGGCTCATGTTGTCAAACGGTGGTTCACACGCTTCACACTGTTGCAAAAATGCGTTCGACTGTGCTACTCGGGCTTGCTGCCTCTCTGCTTCCTCAAATACAGGCCGTGCCAACGCCGACAGCGCAGGACGGAGACCTCAATCCTTTCCCGGAAAATCCAGTCGAGCTGGCGGTCAAGAATTTGAACAATTTGGTCAACGAGACGCTACGAAATCCTCCAACGAACGGGCTCTTCGACAGACTTATTGAGGACTTTCAATTGGTCACCGCTACTGCAGTGCCAGTGAGCATTCCAGCTGCCGCGGATGCTTTAAAAGAGATTCTCGTTTCAGCACCAGAGCCATCGAACCTCTTTGGCTATGCTGGAAGCCTTGCGGCAGCCGGTCTGAGTAAAGACAACGTTCCTGACTTGCTCAATTTCGCGAAGGGTGCCATTGGTCCAGAGAACAGCTTCAGAAATGTCAACCTGCGGAGATCATCGATCAAAGTCTTTCCCAAAGCCGACCCGAAGGACGCACCCTTCTCTCTGTCAGAGGCCGACCTTCGTGCTGCGATCCATATTCCGTCAAGCTTCAAGTACGGCGCGAGAGGAGCGCCGAACCCAATTATCCTCGTGCCAGGTACTGGTGCAACAGGTAAGCGTCGCCCGAAACTTTCAGTCAGTATATGGTCTAACTCAGGGACAGGATACACAACATTCGTTGGCAACTACATTCCTCTACTGCAAGGATCGAACATCGCAGATCCAGTATGGCTGAACATTCCCGGCTTCCTCCTGGGTGACGCACAAGTACATGCAGAATATGTTGCATACGCAGTCAACTACATTCACGGCATCAGCAACAAGCGAAAGGTCTCAGTCGCTGCGTGGTCACAGGGCAGCATCGATGGACAGTGGGCATTCAAATACTGGCCTTCGGCACGAGCTAAAGTCACAGACTTCATCACATTCTCTGGCGACTATGCGGGGACGATCAATGCCAACTTTCTCGCCACACCAGGCATTCCTCTGCCACCAGCAGTGCTCCAGCAAGAAGCCGGTTCGAACTTCATCAAGACTCTCCGCGCCAATGGAGGAGACTCCGCTTACGTCCCAACAACGAGTGTCTACTCAAGCTTCTTCGACGAAATCGTCCAACCGCAAGCCGGCACTGCAGCATCGGCATTCATCAAAGATGCTCGACGAGTCGGTGTCTCAAATAATGAAGTCCAACAAATCTGCCCCGGAGCACCAGCAGGTAGCTTCTTCACTCATGAAGGAGTACTATACAACGCAATCGGATTCGCTTTGTTGAAAGATGCTCTTTCGCACGAAGGTCCTGGCAAAGTCTCCCGGATCCCGGGCCTCGATTCGCTATGCACGAATTTTCTGAGTCCTGGCCTTGACCTCTCAGACTTCTTGTTGACGGAGAATGCGATTCTGATAGCGGCGTTGACGATTGTGACATATCCGGAGAAAGTCACGACTGAGCCGGCGATTAAAGGTGAGATTGACATCATGATGCGGAGAGGAGAATGTGCTTATACTGACCGACTCGCAGCATATGCTTCCAGACACCAAGGATACTATTGAGCGCTGAAAGATTACTGAACGCATGACGTGGAAATATATTAAAGATATTGAAGATTACTGAACGCTTTGATGCACGATAGATGAAAGACGCATGGGATGGGATGATGCATAAAAACTATACGAATAGTGAAATTGTAATGTCATATGAAGTCAAGAAATGAAGCTAAGGCATGATGCTGCCGTGCATACATGTGCGCTAGGTAACTTGGCCCCCACATGTCTTGTTTCAATTGCGTCTGGGCCTTCGATGGTAGTTATGTGTCTTGCATAATTCGATACAATCTATGTCCTGTGAACGCCCAGCCCGGAGTAGCGAAAGATTCATTCCCGTGCAGACTCTGCCGGCTAATTCTGTCAGGTCATTGCTATTGCCCCTGGTGCGTGTCTTCGTACAGCAGCTGCGCCCTTCCCAATGCTTTCGCTTCGCTCAATCAATCGCTCATCTCACACTCTCTGCTCTTCGTGAAACAATATTCTCAATCTCAATCCTTCTTCGCAGGACTCAACTCCACCATAAGCGGCTTCTTCTCCCAAATAATATAAATCTTCTGCTCATTCCACCCTTCACTCTCCTCACAAAGCTTCAAATCAAACTGATACAACACCGTCGTCAAAATCAATCTCATCTCATGCCAAGCGAGATTCTTTCCTAGACAATTTCTAGGTCCGTAAGAAAATGGCTCAAGACTATTGAGATCATCGTCTTTGTAAACAGGATCTCCAAGCCATCGTTCTGGTCGGAACTCATAAGGGCTCTTGAAATTCGCTTCGTTGCGGTAAGTTGAGAGTTGATGGACGCCGATCTGGGTTCCTTCGGGGACGAATCCATCGCAGATGATGGCGCCGCCTTTGGGTGTTATGCGGGGCAGACGGGCGGGGACGGGAGGGTAGATTCGGAGGGATTCTTGGAGGACGGCGTGGAGGTATTTGAGACGTTGGACGGATTCGATGTTGATTTCTTCGTAGCTGGAGAAGGCTTCGCGGATCTCCTTGGTGAGTTTGGAGAGATATTCTGGGTTGCGGAGGAGGTTGTAGGTGGCGCCGGAGAGTAGCGTGGCGGTGGTCTAGGTTAGAGTTAGTGGACGGGCTTGTCGCTACGTTCTTCGTGTGAGCATACCTCTGTTCCGGCTATCATAAACAATGATGCGTTGCTTTCATGCTCTCCGTAAGTGAGACCTTTTCCGCCTTCGCCCTTTTCAATGATCTTCGTCCACAAGTCTGGTGTTTCGGGAGTCCTCTCAAGTCTTCGAGCAACCCTCTCGGCAGAATAGTTCCAGTGCTCTGCACGCGACTTGGCAACTTTTGGGTTCCTGGAGATAAATCTCTCGAAGATCCAGTCTGTGACTGCATTCAATTCCCGGAAAGTGCGCAGTTTGGTACCGATTTTGATGCCGTTGAATATGGTCTTGACCCATGGCGAGTAGTCGCCATTGTCAAGCATGCCCAGACTTTCGCTGAATGTCAAATCACCCTAGATGTTGTTAAAATTGTTGTACATCGCTCGAAGATTTTCGCAGACATACCATGATATCGAAAGTCGTGCCTAAAATGCTGATCAGTAGCTGTTTCGTGGATAGCTGTAGCGTTGGATGTGATTCACTCACAGTTGTAGTACTTGAGAAGATCGACCTTCTCTCCGCTCTGCGCGTAACCGTCCAGTCTGTCCTTCATCTTCGTGACCCAGCGCATGAGCAATGGCTCGAGATCCTTCAGTGTTCGATCCGCGAATGAATGCGAGACCACTCTGCGTTGTCGAGTGTGGTCGGCATCATCAGCAGTAATCAAATGATCGACACCGTTGAAATTTTGACCATAAAATGGTCGGTACTTGTCATTGCTGGCTTGGCCTTGCTTGCGGTGTCCGTAGATGTCCTTCCACGCCTGAGCTCCTCTGAAGACACAATCAGATCAGGTAAGCGTGCGCCCAGCAGCCTGAGGAAATTTTGTGTGACAACTTACCCAGCATAAGATAGCTGCTTTGGCGCGACTCTGACCACCGGCCCGTATTTCTTGTGAAGTTCCACGTTGATAAGATCCTCATCGCCTCGTGCAGTCGCGCGCAGCAGTGGAATGTTCGTTAGAGCGCGGAGTGGCGGACCTGGATATTTGCGAAGCGGTCCCAGATAGGCCGTGTAGAATGCTGCTGCCACATGGTAGAGGAGGTAGAGTAGGACACAAGAACCAGATATTTTGGCGATTTCATTTGGAGACAGACTCCCAATTACGGGAAGATCGTGGACCAACATTGTGCGGCTGTCACTTCAAAAATGCTTATTCTGGCAGGATCGAGCATAGGAGGAGCTGGCCATCCTTTATATGACTTTTTTCTTTCCAGACACACGCACCATTCCATGATGCTTTCAGGGCGGGCACTACGTTGCCGATTTTATGCAGAGCATAATTTGGCTCGAAGTCAAACTTCCCTGGCCAACGAGCACGGCGTAGCCTGCTTTAGAGTGTTTGATGGGGTGCCTGATCGGCGGGCGTACGTGTGTCTTGGCGAATCGGAACGAAACATTGTCTGCTTAGGCAGATGGAGCTGTTGGGGTTCCCCACCACCGCATGTCGATTCATCTGTGATCCTGGCAGTTGAGACGCGTGCGAGCATGCGCCATCGTCACGGCATGTGGTCGCACGTGAAGGTGACATGTCGACTAGTCGTAGGTCAGCGTCACACACCACATCCTCTGCACTCCTGCGAAGGCCTCTGTGTGAGTCTTCTCGAGCATCGCCAGCTGACGAAGGAGTCTGACGCAAATCGTTGCTTTGGCAGCCCTAAGCTAACTCAACGAAGGGCAGATCATCCCTGGAGCAATACGGCCAGTGCAGCAGCGCGAGGTAGTGGCAAGAGTACAGCGTAGGGTTACCTCATATCCGCAGGCTGAAGTGTGCTCTGGTGCGACACAGGACAAGCAGTCGACGTAACGTTGCGGCGATGATCTTTGCCAAGACCGGCATGTCGGTCTCTGCCGCCTCCGTCTCCGTCTCCACACCCTTTCGCAGCATGAATTGGAAGGTACAGACTGGTAGATTGACATTCTCACAACAGGCAGTGCCAGGCTTCCATCATCAATTTGACCTGCATACACGTCGTCCTCCGATCCACCAGCCACTCGCCGCGTTCTTGCCGTGGCGGACAGCTACAACGGCGTGCAACGAGCGGAAAACGGCGACCGAACGGCAAACGGGAGGTATTTCTGCTGCCGATTCCGTTTCTCATACGTCCCGCGTGGGTAAAAGAGCAAGAGCCTAGTCTGGATATGCGCTGTGCATTCGGGAAGAAACGCGCAAAGCATGATCATCGAACCTTGCTTGCCACGATTTGTGCAGGAGGCCGTGCAGACATTTACCCGATGGCTGTGCGGCTTCCATTCAGCAGCGCTGTCGAAGTGCGTGGTGGAGGTCTCGCTGGGATAGCCTGACGCGCCTCTCGACAGTACCCAAGTATGTTGGCACGCCGATGCGTCAAGGCAATCTATACTCTGGGGCGCGACACGTCAACTGCTCGGCCGTCGCTGCCGCCGCGAGATGTGCAAGTGCTCTGAGCGATGATGCGTGGTCAGGCGTGCATGTACATTACCCTCACAGCTGTGACAGCTTCGCCAAAGCTCGAGACAAGCGACAGGTTTGAGCATTATTGATCCTACTGACAATCCTACTGACGAGGCTAATGCGAGATCCGGACCAGGCCGCTTTCGGCTCCTCCAGCCTTTGGTTCTTGATTGCTGCAACATGCTGTCATTGCAGGTCTAACCAGGCGTCCAGGCCAGAATTCAGAGTACTTGGAAGACCGAGAGCCGACCATCAGGAAGCGTGTCTTGATCAGTTGTCCATCTGCTAACATCCGAGCCACTCTGCAGGCTTGTCACCATTCGTTGAGTGGGCATGATCGAGAGAAAATGCAGGCTGCCATCGACACCACTGACTGCAGACCAGGTCCCTTTGCAGCGCCAGGAGAGTCTCCGCCTACTGCCTCTCATTCGCCAAGAGCACTCTGTCGAGCCGAGTTCTCATGTGGGATATGCGACCTCATACTGCAGCAGCTCGTCAGGCAACTCATCATAACTTGCACCCTCTTTCGTCCACCAAGCCTCGAGCATCGCAGTATGCTCCTCTGGAACATCCGAATTGATCTTGAACCATCGGATGCCGTCGATGGTAATGATATTTGCCTTTCTGGGGGCCGCATGTGAGGGCGGCCACCAAGCGAGACCATCAGCATACATAACTTTCTGGTTTGCCTCTCCATCCTCCTTTTCTTTCGCTGCGACAGGCCTATTTCAAACGCCCGGCTCGAGCTTGAAATGCGCTGTGAGCTGATTGCTATCGCATTCGGTACACTTGTCCTGAGGCTCTCCCTGCGCACCGTCGCAACAGGACAGCTGAGGCATGTCGAAGCAGACGCGGTCGCGACTCTGAAATCTGGCCTGTTGCCATTGGTCCGAAGGCTTGATGTTGATCGCCTGTTGAGGGCCGAGACCTCCAGAGTCGTCTTCAGGAAGCAGTACTGATCCAACAAGGACGATGTTGAGACTGCTTACCGCGGCGAAAACCGTAATGAAGTGAAGCGTGTTCGAGGGGAAAAGCAGCATGGTCGAGGAGCTTGTTTGATTGCGAAAATTACAACTTGTCACCAGCTGGCGGTTCTTATTATCCTGTCTCGCTTCCAAAGCCTTTCGTTGGTCGAACACGGAGCTCCAGTTCGCGGCACAGCAAAGTAACTTTTGAGAGTTGACTTGGCAAGTGGCATACCAAAGTTAGTTTACTGTGCCGCGTACTCTCCTCCACGGAGCACGCTGCGTGCGAGCGTGCAACGCTCGATCTTCTGCAGATGCACGTCGTAATATGCAGGTTTTCGGTTATTAGCCTGGCGTGTAGGCCAACTGCCGGAGACAACTTGTTGGCGAGCATTGCAATGCCCAAAGACGTTGTGCTATTGATTGTGCTGGACCACCATGCGAGGTTGGTCAACGAGAAGCAAGCTTCCCCACTCATGCAGTGTGGCTACAGCAACAAGAAGGGTATCCTTCAATGGAATATGCGAAACATCTTTGCGTGAATGAGGGGAAGGTCATTCGCGTTCCTGAGACGCTGCTCCTCTGAGACACAGTTGGACTGACTAGCGCGGCCGACCACGTCAATGGCGCCGGTTTGGACCGGGTACTGGAGAAGACGCGACAAGTTCGCCTCTCTTGTCAAGACAGCGCCTCTCTTTGCCGCCTCGCTGTCTATCCTGATCATACTGGATCTATCCTGACTTTCACAATGCTGAAGATGGGCGAGACCGGGCAAGCGCCGATCCAAACATATCGAGGCAACTGCCATTGTACAGCGTTCATCTTCGAGATCGATCTGCCACGGATTCAAACAGTCACGGAGTGCAACTGTAGCATTTGCTTTCAAAAGGGCTATCTGTGGGTCCCTTCAAGTCGCAAGGATCTGAAAGTTGAAAAGGGTGATATGAAATCTCTCAGCAGCTATACCTTTGGTCCAGAGAAGCTGGCACACAAAGTCGGTGCCATATTCATATCCCAAGCTCTGCTTGCAGCGATAGTGACAACGATTAGTTCTGTTCGACTTGTGCTTCGATTGTCATGGCAGAAGAAACCGCAGGGGATGCCCTTTATCTCAATGTAAGAAAACTGGATCGAGCGGCGCAGGTCTATTCTAATTCAAATTGCTAGGTTCGTGTTCTCCAAGATCTTGACATCTGGGCGCTGAAGAGGCAGCAGTGAGTATTTCTCGCCCAAATTGCTTGCCAATCGCAGTGTTGACACACCCCACAAGACATGATGGGGCTGCCGAAGGAGGTGACTACGCACCGCCAGAATATGAAGGCAAAGTCCCAACTGCAGCCAAAGGACAGCAATTATACACTGGCTCCTGCCATTGTGGTGGGTTCGGTCTAGCTCTTATGAGCAAAACTCTTGATGATACTTACAGCAGCCGCATCGCAGAGTGCACATGCAGCGTCTGCGTCCGGGTACAGCACACATCACCTATTCGATCAGCTCTTGCTGACCACTTTGAATAGAATGCTTATATCTGGATATACCCTCAAGCCAAACAAGTCGTGCTCTCCGCAGCCGAGTCCGGAAACATCGGCCGCTACAGCTTCAGTCACCACGTGCTCAACAAAACATTCTGCACAATCTGCGGCGTGTGCATGACGAATGAATACGCCCACCGATCGAAAGAGGAGCTCAAGTATCTGGGTGCAGTACCAACACGAGGTTTTGCACAGTCGATGAAGAACTCACATCCTTTGAATTTGCGAGTACTCAATGACATTGACCGGGACAAGCTACCGAAACCGATGCGAAATAATGGCGCGCGGAAGATCTCGCCCAGGTACAAGAACCCGTGAGGTTGTTCGAAGTGTAACATGAAAGCTGCTATCAGCGATTTCTTCGCATTTCCCGGCGTATGATCATGTTCAGCTGCCTCTGCATGCTCAGCAACTTGCGGAGAATCGAGACTGTTGAGACATGCACTTGCACAACAACTGTGTCTGTTCACCGCCGCACCGAGCTCGGCTAACGGACAGCATGCAGTTGTGCAACACTAAGCCAAATACAAAAGTGAATCTTGTAGGAGGTAACGCGAAGCTGATCGAAGCGTTCGATGGCGTGCCGTCACCTCGTGAAAGAAACTTCCTGAAGGGGAAATAATTGTTTAGGCTATGCTTGGCTCATGCCTCAGGCACTGTGCACTCCACAGACTACGAATCTGAGCATGAACCCAGCCTCGACAGCTGCGACAGCTTTATGCCATCAGTGCCTTCAGGTGGAGCCGTGCCTACGCTCAAAAGCTCACAAAGTCCCCAAAGGATACGCTTCCCGACCCACATCATCCACATTCGGTTCAACAATCGGCACACGCTCATAGTCCTTGCTCTCAACCACCTCCAACGCCCATATCGGGCTCCTCCTCACTCTTCCCAGCTTATTCTCGATCTGCCACGCAATCTTCAACAACTCTTTATCTGTCCACGGCAGTCCCAGAATTTCCATTCCAATCGGCACACCCTCGGGCGCCGTTTCCGTTGCGGGACTGAATCCTACAGGAACCGTGACCACGGGAGTCCCTGTCAGAGCTGCCAAAATTCCATTTCTGCCGCTTTGAGAAGGAGAGCCGATTTTGACAACGAGATTCTTCTGCTCGGGGTAGATGATTGCATCGAGATTATGCTGTTTGACGGTGCTTTTGAGTGCGAGTGTCAGGTTCTGGACCCCGGTCAGGATGGTGTCGTATGATGGTTTTGTGAGGTTCCCGGAGGAATATGTTGCATTGGCCGTCGAGCTAACAAGTGCTGTGTTGACATACTCGTACTGCGCCGGGATAACGACGAAATCACCGCTCTGGTAGAGTTCTGAAGTCGTGTTCGGATGAGAGCCTTCCAGTGTAGGTCGCTGTAGGTAGGCGTCCAATAGTTCGCGAAATTCGTAGCGCTGTGTGTCGAGGTTTGCGAGCGTAGAAGTATCGTACATGTCATCAGCGATTGAGACGATTGCTGCGCCTGCAGCTTGTAATTTCTCTGTGGTGTTCGCCATCGCTTCATTGACAGGATCCGTCTCGGCAGATGGGGTACGATTAAAGAAACCCTCAAGGAGCCCCAGTCGCAACCCTTGAAGTGATCCAGTTGCGAGTCCTTCGACAAAATTAGTGCCCTTAATCCCAGCTGGAGCAAGAGCTGTGGCATTATCTGCTGCATCATAGGGCGTCCCGGCCATCACAGTCAACGCAGTCGCTACGTCTTCCACGCATCGGCCAATTGGTCCTAACACGTCCTGTGTGTAACTGATAGGTATCACTCCACTCCGAGATATCAGTCCTCGCGTCGGTCTGCAGCTGAACAAGCTATTGGCACTGGCCGGCGATCGTAGGCTGTTGACGGTGTCTGTCCCGGTACCCCAGACTGCAAAACTGGCTGCTACAGCTGCCCCAGTTCCACCTGAGCTACCACCAGGCGTTCGAGTGCTGTCATAGGGATTGATAGTCTGTCCGCCCAGAGAAGAGACGCTGAGGCCCTCAAGAGCTAGTTCGTGAAGGTTAGCTTTTCCGAGGATAAGTGCATCAGCCTTCTTCAAGGCCTTAACGACAGGTGCATCCTCAGTCGGCCGGGAGTCTCGGAGAGCCTGGCTGCCACCTGTAGTTGGCATTTCTGACGTGTCATAATTATCCTTGAGGAGTGTGGCAATGCAGAACAAGGCGCCATACGAGCCATTATTGGCTTTTAAGCGTTCATCGAAGGCATCCGCGATAGCCAGAGCCCTCGGGTTAAGAGATAATATAGCGTTCGTCTTGTTGTTGAAAGATTCTATGCGAGTGATGAATGACGACACGACTTCTCTGCATGTTGACAGGCCCGTGAACAACGCGTGATGAGTCGATGAAATGGTGGCTTCTCTTGCATCAAAAACGGCCGATGCGGCTGGGAGGGCGGCGACGAGTAGCAGTTCGGGGCGCATCGTGAACTTTCATACAGCATGTTCGCGGAGAACACGTTTAGAGTCTTTCGCAAAGAGAATAGGAAGAAACAAGATAGCATGGGCCCACTCGGCCATGAAGTTGGCCGAAGCGGCGGATAAGCATGCGGGCAATGTCTGGGCATTCAAATCGATCAAAATGGGAATTCCTGCGAGATGGCTCAGTATTTCACGACGTGATATTTGAAGCGACGTATGAGATGTGACCTCTGGTGTCCGTCTCAAAGAGCAGTTGTAGTCGCAGGCACCTTGCACTGGCTGTGCCGCAGACTGTCCGTCTCAATCTTCCCGTGGCTCTCACATTCATCTCTTACTGTGTTGTCGGTGCAAAACAGGACCTTACACTGAAATATGAGGCGCTTTGTGGATGCTGGAATCGTGCCGCAAAGGTAGCTTCCATATCCGCGATTGCCAAGGCAGATCTCATCACGAAGTCTTTTCCATATCTCCAGCAGAGTCGATATGGTGGTGCCGTTTGCTCAACCAGTGCTTCCGGTCAAGCCTTGCTCAACACCTTGAGCGCCTTCTAGGCTCTCCAGTCCCTTCGCGTGCACCACGTCCAGATCAAGCTCTTCCATGGTCTGCATGACAGTGCCTAGCGACTCGAAGAAGCCATTGACCGACACTCGCAACATGCGATTTGTGGTAGCCTTATACTCAGTCTTCAACACCGTCTTTCTTTCATCATCCTGACTACTGGCACTCTTCACGATGCTCGACGGTGCTTCTGTGGACTGTGCGGGCGGCGTGTCCCATAGTGAAGCCTCGAATGGAGTCTTTGAGGGATCGCGCTGAATGTTGGAGACTGGTTCGACCAGACTGAAATGTCGTTTGACGAGCGGTGATAGTTCCTGGTCGACGGAGAGTGTCCGCAGAGCGGCCAGAGCCAAGCGATTTGTAGGGAATGGAATGTGTACCGTCCTGTCCGCCTCTCAGCCAAATGCGGTGCGCTCGTGCTGGAGAAGGAAGGCGTACAATGAGCATGGGAACTCGGGGTCTTCGACTGCGGCCGCCATGGTGTCTCGCGCAGGCTGTCGTCTGGTCGTGAGAGTGATGTTTGCAGATGAGTTGGCGCGAGCGAGATTTGAGCCTCACTTGCATCTGGCGCTAGTCAAAAGCCAATCGGCATTTGGATGACGAGCCGTTGCACATGTGCGCAGTGTGCGGCACCCGCAGTCATGATTTCATCACCACGCGCCTAGCAACCACATGTTCAGCGTAACCGAGCCCATCACGATGGCCTTTGTGTAACTGGTAAGCTGCTGTACAGTCTTTCACGTCTGCACGCACGTCTGTCCTTTCACCACTTCACGCCGTGTTCTGCGATCACAAAACAGCCATGTCTTCACCATCCGAGTTCCTCACCTTCTACCGCACTGCCACTCGCGCAAGTGCCCTACGTGCTAGCACGGTCTCAAGAACGGTAGCCCGAACGCGACCTTTCAGCTCTACGGTATCATCGTTGGCAGGCTCGACTGGAGAGAAGGGCGACTTGCACAAATCTGATGTAGGAGGGCCGAGAGAGAACAAGAAGCATATCTTGGAGAAAGACCACGAACCAAATGTGCAAGCATATGAGAGCAAGGCAGGGAGGAGGTGAGTTCTATATCACGCTCAGAATCTCGACCACTACTGATGTAAGATGGCAGTGCTCGAGCAAATGACACTGGCGGCGTTGCCACTGAGCAGAAAGATGAGGGATCCAAAGCGAAGGCCAAGAAGGAGTTCCCAGAGTCACCGGTGCAGATTGGATTCGAGGACGAGCGAGGCGGAAAAGGGCGCTAAATTCGCTTGAAGTAAAGTAATGGAATCGTCGAGCGCCATGTGTATAGTAGCCAGCGATCACATGTAATACCATGTCGGCCTGAGCTCCAGCTCTCGGGCATTGTTCAAGTCAGGATGGATCAATCACAAGGCGGAGCAGTAAATCTGCTTTGATGCTCTTCGCTTTCTTCGAACGAATGTCCAGCGGCTCAGCAGCGTGGATAGCTGATGGACAGGAAATATTCCACCTCCAAAGACTGCGATCACATAGTAGTGTAGCCTGGTGCATTTTGTGTAGTGCACGGGGATCCCTTCAATGTTTCACAGAGGATGCACATCTGCCAAGACCCCAAGCTGCTCGACTGATAAGGTACCTTACCTTTCGCAGATCACCTTGTCTTCCAACCCTTCGCATCTAAGCCTCCCAGAGCGTTGCTACCTTCAATGGCCAGTAGACCTGTATGTTCCAGATGACACGCTCCGAGCCACGTACACCCGTCGACCGAGCTCTCTCCAAAGCAAAGCCCGACGGCCATCACCCGCTCAGCATAAGTATTCTTAATTTTCCCTTATCTTCCAACTCACCTACAGTTCCCATCACAATGCAACCCTACCGAGCACCCCCTCAAGCAACACCCAATCCCTGGATCTACGTCGGACACGCCTCTGCAATCGAAGACATAACCCCAACAGAAGGCAAACACAACACCAAACTCTCCTCGACAAAACCTCCCGCCGATCCCGAAGACATCTTCGCCTCCCCCACCATCACAACACCCTGCAAGATCCTTCAACTCGCCGGTCCAGGCTCTTCCTCCGCAGAAGAGCTGACTCCCGACGTCGCCCAAACGACCCTCGGCATTCAGCCCCAGATCCTCGTATTCCGATATCGAGACAAGATCCACGCGATAGATCACTCGTGTCCGCATCAGAACTACCCACTATCGCGAGCTAGTCTATACGATATTGAAGATTTTGGAATTGTGCTTAGTGCGGGGATTGAGTGTCCGAAACATGGCTGGAGTTTTGATGTGAATACTGGACAGAGTGACCGGGGAAACTACAAGTTGGGAGTGTGGGACGTAGAGATTAGGAGTGGGGAGAATGGATTTGGGGAAACGGAAGAGGAAGTTTGGGTTAGGAGGAAGGAGAAGAAGAGGATTGGGTGACGCAGCATAGGCGAACACTTGCACGAGCTGTCGCTCGAGGAGTAACTCAGCCACGATTGTTGAAGAGCTCGTGGAAAGTGGACTATATCCGTTTACTGGAAGCTGCGCCAGCCAGCTATAGGCATGAGAAACCGGTCGGGACATCTGCTGGAGTACAGGTTACTAACTGCCTGACCCGGTACTGCCGCCATGAGGAAACAGAGTTATCTTTTGGCTTGGACTTGAGATCCAGTTCTGTGGCACTGCCGTTCCTGCCAAGTCACTGTCTAGACGCGACAGATATGTGAGGTTCAAGCAGCCCGCAGCAGACTAGCTTGTGAGGAGAGTATCTCAAGGTCGACGCTCAGAGCTCCGCCTTTCCCGCATCGACCATGAGCTGAGCTGAGCAGACCAGAGCCTGTAGACTTCCAATCCATAGAGGCAGCATATGATTTATACACTAGCCTACAGTCGTATTCATTTCATGAAAGCATAAACATCATATACAGCTAAATAGCACTCGTGTTCCATATCCATTTTCCACCTCATAGCCCATTTCCTTCCCTCACATGACTCTAGATCTCAACACCCTCGCCTCTGCTATAATAAGTCTTTCCCTCTCCGCTCTGCCCCTTGGGCACACCCTCGCTGTTGCTCTGACGCCTCTGAGCACTTGCAGCACCTTCCTGCTGCATACCCTCGCATCCAACGGCTTTACCCGCAAGCTCTTCGACTTTACCCATACCTTGCGCGTTGGGATCGCGTTCCGCGGAAGCAGCCTTCATAGCTGCGACACCGGCGGATTTGTCGTGGTCGGCGGATCGTTGCCAGGCAGAGTTGCCGGTTACGGCGGCGACACCGGCCTAGAAGTGCGGAGGCACGAGTTAGCTAGGTTTCGTCTTGTATGATGACTGATGACGAGGACTGCTGTAAAGAGTGACTGCAGTGCTGAGCGACAGAGTCACCAAGACCTCGTTTGTGTGTTCGCTTCAGCATAGCTGGCGATCAGACGAAGAAGAGTCATGGCGAGGTTGTTCGCTCGTGCATCGTCTTCTTCAGGCCGGCTTGTCGTGGCTGTTGCATGGATGTCGAAGAACGTACCTCTCCCAAACCCTTGACATACTGTGCGTGGCCTCCAACCAACGAAGGGTGGTTTCCCTTGTGGGCGTTCTCGTTCTGCTGAGACATTGTGATGGTTCGATTTCTCGGAGGTCTAGCAAGCTTGCGTTCTGCTCAATGTGATCGTTGCAGCAAAGTGCGTCCGATCTCGTGCGTGAAAGAGAATTCCTGATTTCTCTGTAGGATGAGGGGGCGAACAAGGGAAGTGAGGTGTCAGAGAGCTTCACGAAAAGTATGCTAAGAGTGTGGAAAGTGCTTTTGCCAGGACAGCTAAGAAGTCGCCTCGTGCTGTGGTTCAGGTTGAGGCGGTAAGCTCATGCTCGATGACTTCATCGGCAGATCCGTTTTCAGGGCGCTGCGGCAGTTTCGTGGTGGCGTGGTGTGCGCGTAACCATGGCGAGACTTGCGCGACGGTGTGCTGCGCGTCAGACGTTCAAGCGTTTTGTACTTGTTCACATGATGCATCGACGTGCTGTGAATGGGGAAGACGTGTGTTTCAGCGAGGTAATGCCGACGGTCAGCTTGGCGGGCAGCTGAGCAGGTGAAGTTAGATTCCCAACATGAACGGGCACCAGCGAACACGGTTTAGATGTTCTTAATGCTGCCATCTCACTTGAGAGACATAGAGTGCAGCTTCAGACATACAATTCGACGGAAACCGCAGACCATCGTGGTCATGCTATTACTGCATTGCATTTGGGGTATCATTACTTTCGTCATGAATCGGGAGAATCTTCATCTTCATGTTCCTCGCTGTCACTGTCTCCAGCATGGATTGTTGCACCACCTTCATCGGCGCTCTCCTCACCTTCATCCTCTTCCCCATTCTCATCGAATCCCTCAAAATCTTCACCGTCCTCGTCTTCATCCTCATCATCCTCCTGCTCCGCCTGCATCTCACCCAGCTTCCTCTTGTGCGTGATGCCCAGCTTCTCGTCCCTGCTCCCTTCCTTCTTGCTCTCCAAAGCCTCCTCACCTTCTGCTTTGGGCGGCGCACTGAACCAAGGGATCTTGCCTCTCAAGAAGTCGTTCAACACCATCTTTGCCACACCATCCATATCAGCCTCACCTCCTTTCAATAATCGCCCGCCTTTTCGCGCGAGCATTTCCAGGAACTCAATCGATTCAGTCACTCGCTCCTTCTCGGATTTCTCTTCAAAGGGCCGGGAGTCTTCGGTCCAGTTCTTGATCTGGTATGTTCGTTCGAGATGATGTCGTTTGCAGCGGCCGAGGACGGCAGGAATATATTGTGCTGGATTTTCAACGTTTTCCACGCGAACAACGCCTCGGAGGAGGATGTCTTCGGGTGTGTCGGTAATGCTGGGTGGCACGATTCCGGGACAATCGATAAGGTAGATACGCTTCATAAGAGTGATGTATTGCCAGACCTTGGTCTCTCCGGGGATAGGCGCTGTGGTGCAGACCTTCTTCTTGCGAAGTGTGTTGATGATGGAGGATTTCCCTGTGTTGGGATAGCCGATGAAACCCACGGATATTTGTTTGCGGGAGCTGTGGAGCGAAGAAAATTGCCGGAGTAGAGAAATCAAGGAGCCTTTGCCAAATGAGTTTGTCATGCTGGCGTGGAAAGCAAGAGTTGGGTATTCGCGGGAAAGGATCTTTACCCATTTGGCCTAGCAATGCTATGTCAGTACTTTTGATCCGACTTTTCGATCGCCCAGAATTCCGCAGATGAGGTGAGTTAATGTACGTCCCGTTACTAAGCTGTCCATCACGGGAATGAAGCATGAAGCTATCCGGATCGCTACTCAAACAAGACACAAATGCTCCGAGGTGATCATGCCAAAACGGCAGAGGATCGGGTGGAGCTGGGGTTCAATCTGCCATCGCTGTAACAGGTCTGCTTCATCGAACTGCCTGGAGTGGCGGAAGCAAACCTTGACTTGAGCAATGGCGGACACGTGTAGAATGGGATACGAAGAAATGATCAGACTTACCGCGACTGTGGTTGGCACCAGATCGCACTTGTTGAGAAGGAACACCAAGTGCTTGTGAGGTGCCTCTTCTCTCATGTACTTTTCCACACTGCGACACCGAGTGCCTTCTGGATCTCGACAGTCGATCACATGGATGATCACGTCTGAGCTGTCGATGACCTTGTACAGTTCGTTCCATATTCGTTTGCTCTGGCCTTTTGAAAAGACGGGTTCTTTTGCTGTTGTGAGCTCGCCGTTCTTGTAGTCTTCGCCACCAGTAAACCCGGTATCGGCTTCCACATCTCCTGCGCCTGACAACAAGCGGGCCTCTTCTAACCGTTGTTCGTAGGTATCAAAGTCTTTACCAGATGCATTTGCGAGATCTTCGATATTCGAGACCGCCAGTCGAGGTCGTTTTCGCTGCGCCTTGGGCCCAAATGTGTCGCCGAACTTTTCGCTCTCTATCCGAATCTTGGCCTTGTGTTGTATGAGACCGTCTTTTCGTTCTTTGTCCTTGTTGTCGTTGATCAAGCTCATTGGAAGCTTGTTCTGTTTCAGCAAGTAGCTGTATGGGTCTTTACTCTGTGCCTCTACCGCCCCACGGAATTTGTCAAGCGCATCTTGAGAGATCACTCGAGTGTTGGTAAACCATTTCCTGTTCGGCTCGACTCGCGCGCTGGGCTTTTCTTTGCTCTGATACGAAGCAGCCTGCACAATGTCTCCTTTGGCGTTGCGCACAGCCTTGCCCTCCTTGTACATGTTCAGCGTCTTGACCCGCTTCGCGCTACGGTAGAAGTTCTCGCCCTTCGTCTTGACGTTGGCCATGCCATCGCCGGTCTTGCCCTGCCGCTCCTTGCGGGCGGCTTCCTTCTTTCCCGAACCCATGGCGACTGTTTACTCAAAGCGTCGCGGGCAAGGCGGTGGTGTAAGTTATTGTGTGAGAGGCGGTGGAAGGAAAGAGTGGCTGGACTTTGCAGCAGCGAAACTTTTTGAGGGTCGCGTTGCCAAGATTTCAGTTGAGCCTCAAGCCCGCTCGGGGGTCCGCAGAGACACATCGAGCAGCCATCTCACATTGCGCTGTACAATCATCCACAATGCCGCCCCGGGCCTCATTATCGACGCTATCAGCGTGGAAGTGCCCGCAATGTACCGCTCGACCATTCTCAACCACCACTCGACAGCTGGCCGTCGGCCCTGAACATCCTCGCTTCGTGGAGATTCCTGAGCCACCACAGCAAACCGTGCCATACAACCCACCAGTGAAAGGAGTCCTGCCAGTCCCTCGCAATGTCTTCGCCGGAACACCGAAAGATCTTTCATCAGACGAGCAGATCGCTCTTGCTACGAAGCCGCCAGCGCGAGAAAAGAAAGTTGCTCCTCGCAGCAGAGAAGAATGGAAAGTCAAGATGAGCGAGCTCCGACGACAAAATCTGCGCGAAGGTCTGAAGAGCTTGAAGGCGCGCCAGCAAAGCGAGGAGCAGCGCGTCGCTGCCCGATCGCGAGCCAAGCAAGCAGAACGAATGAAACAATTGAACATGCCCGAACGCGAAGACGAACGCTTGACAGCACCAAGCAACAACCTCGATCTGGACGCTCTTTTCAACAAACCAATCCCTGACCCTACCCGCGAAGAACGACTCGAGAGGAAGCGTCTAAATCTCGAAGCAGATCTCCTTCGGAGACAGGAAGAACGCATGGATGCCCTACATTCGCTCTACATGAATGCGCGTGACTTCATCGTCACTCCGCAACAGCTGGACAAGGCAGTCGATGCGGCATTTGGTACACCCGAGAAGCCCGTCGGATTTGGTGCCAGCATGGGCGCGTGGGATAGTGTAGGAACAGGGAAGTCCATTTGGGCAGAAGGGAGGCCAGCTCGTGTACAGGATATGCTCAGGAGGGCGAAGAATGCCCCATCGGATAGAGCAATGGACGATGCGGCTGGATATAGCGGTATCAACAAGGACAGAATCAGGAGAATTGCTGAGTCGCTCACGGGGGGCAAGATGGACAAGGAAGCGAGACAGTAAGAGACTCGCCATTTCTGCAAATGTACATATATGCTGTATGATTGTCACCGAGAGCCTTTCAGTGCGAGCCGAAGGAGCTTATTGGAACACCAGAAATGGTGCGGCAGATGGCTTGCATGGGTCTCCTGCCACTGCGATGCCTTACGCACGAGTCGAAGCCGCGAGGCGTGAATTCAATGGCCTTGCGGCCTGTGGCACTCTGTTCCAGAGGTTGAATCCAATTACATGTACTTCTTTCTACTGATTACTGATCAGCGAAGCCAACCGCGACCCAGGGTTCAAACCACAGCTACCTCGGACCTCTGCTTCGCAACATGATTACTCTACAGCTCACAGACACATATACGTGCTTGCGACAGTAGTTCAGTACACTCTCTCTTTCAGCATTCAGTAGGTCTGCATACTCTTCATTGCTCAAACTCTCGTCAGCGTCACAGACACAGATCCTAGCAGAGAAGCTCCAAAGGCATGGCCCCAAACCAACCCGTCGCTCTCGTGATTGGCGCCTCAAGAGGTATAGGACGACAAGTCGCAATAGACCTCGCAAAGAATGGATATGCTGGTAAGAGAAGAATGAAGAGTACTATCGACTGCGCGGCTAAATCTTCCACCATAGTAATCGTCTCCGCCAAATCGACCTCTTCTCCCTCCTCCAATGCTCCCTTCCCACCCGACCCCAACTCCTCCGACTCCACAATCACCACAGTCGCCCGCGAGATCTCCAATCTAGGCCACGAATCCCTCGCAATCGCCTGCGACAACCGCTTCCCAGATCAAATCCAAACCCTCATCACCAAATCCTTTGCATGGAAGCAACGTCTCGATGTCGTGGTCTACAACTCCGGTGCAATCTGGTGGAGTTCAGTCGACAAAACCGACCTGAAGCGTTTCCAATTAATGCAAAAGATCAACCCCGAAGGTTTATACGCCGTAGTTCAAGAAGTTCTCAAAGTCTGGAATGATGGGAAAGACAATGCACACAGAAGGATCGTGGTCGTGAGTCCACCGATCTATTCAAGATTCGTGAAAGGAAAGACGGCATATGCGAGTGAGTATCTTCCTCCCTCTTCCTTCAGTAGACAGGACAAAACGAAGCAAAAGACAGAAGCCAGCTGACTTCACAATCACAGTGGGCAAATTCGGCATGTCAACCCTCACAATGGGTCTAGCAGTCGACTTCGAACGACAAGGGAAATCCAACATGGCCATAACCAGTATCTGGCCAGCCGCAGCAATCGACTCCGCCGCAACCCAAGCGAACCGCACACGCGAAGCCCGTAGCGCCCTTCGCAAACCCGAGATCTTTTCCGATGCGATTCTCGCTATAATTCGCTCGCCTGCGAAAGATGTCAATGGGAAACTCGTTCTTGATGAGGATTTCCTTCGCGATCACGAGGGAGTTACAAATTTTGATAAATATGCGTTGGTGCAAGGCACGGAGCCTAGACGAATCATGCCGAGGAAGATGCCAGATTTGAGTGTCGAGGAGCAGGACGATGAGGGCGTGAGAGTGGATAGTACGGAGATCAGGAAGGATAGAGGTGCGAAGTTGTAGCATAGACGATATCATCAGCACATACAGAGCGTTGAATGATCACGATAACGTTATAAGAACAGGAAAAGTGGAGGCAAAGCAGAAGATTAACAAGTCTCTGATTTCAGAACTGCTAATACTGTTGATACAGAAAAAGTCGTCACTCAAATTCCCCATGATGCATGCCAAATGCCTCTTTTTGTGCATCACCCAAAAGAGGACACAGAAAAAAACGCCGTTTTGCCTGATCTTTGTCTCTAAGCCGTTATGCCTTCTTCAATTCGCGCGTGAACCCATGACACATTACAATTGACTATACACACATCTATGCATCTAGTCAACCTCCTCCATGGCGCTCTCGGTGGCGCCCTCGGTAGGAGCTGGTGCGGCAGCCTCTGCCTCGGTCTCGACGTCCTCATCGACGTTGAGGCCGAGCGACACGAGCTTGTGGATGCGCTCGGCGAAGTCGGCTGGCTCATCGATAGTGAAGCCAGAGACAAGCAGCGAGGTCTCGTAGAGAAGAGTGGTGATGCTCTTGACAGTGCGGTCGCTCTCGCCATCTGTCTCAACCTTCTTCTTCAACTCCTTGATGATTGGGTTGGCAGGCGAGATCTCGAAGGTCTTCTTGGAGCTCATGTAGCTGGACATGGAGGTGTCACGGAGGGCCTGGGCCTTCATGATACGCTCCATGTTGGCAGACCAACCGAATTGGCCGGTACGGATGGCGCAAGGAGCACCGACGAGCTTGTGGCTGACAACAACCTTCTCGACCTTGTCACCAAGGACGTTCTTGAGTGACTTGGCAAGAGATTCAAACTCCTTCTCCTCCTCCTCGCGCTTCTTCTTCTCGTCCTCAGTCTCCTCGAGCTCGAAGTCCTTGGTGATGTCCACGAGCTTCTTTCCTTCGAACTCCTTGAGCTGAGTGAAGGCGTACTCGTCAATAGGGTCAACGAGGAAGAGCACTTCGAAGTTCTTGGCCTTGAGGGCGTCGAGGAATGGCGACTTCTCAACAGCCTTGATGGACTCGCCGGTGATGTAGTACATCTGCTTCTGGTGCTCTGGCATGCGGGTGACGTAGTCCTGGAGAGAGGTGGTCTCCTCGCCAGACTTGGTGGACTGGTAGCGGAGGAGCTTGGCAAGAGCAGAGCGGTTCTGGCTGTCCTCGTGAATACCGAGCTTGATGTTCTTGCTGAAGGCAGTGTAGAACTTGTCGAAGTTCTCCTTGTCCTCGGCAATCTCCTGGAACAGCTCAAGAGTCTTCTTGACGATGTTCTTCTTGATGACCTTCATGATCTTGTTCTGCTGGAGAGTCTCACGGGACAGGTTGAGTGGGAGATCCTCAGAATCGACGACACCCTTGACGAAAGAGAGCCACTCTGGAATGAGGTCGGTGGCATCGTCGGTGATGAAGACACGGCGGACGTAGAGCTTGATGTTGTTCTTGGTCTTCTTGGTCTCGAAGAGGTCGAATGGTGCACGCTTTGGCACGAAGAGGATGGCGCGGAATTCGAGCTGACCCTCGACAGAGAAGTGCTTGACGGCAAGGTGGTCTTCCCAGTCGTTGGAGAGCGACTTGTAGAAGGCACCGTACTCCTCTTGTGAGATGTCTTGTGGGTTGCGAGTCCAGATTGGCTTGGTCTTGTTGAGCTCCTCTTCCTCGATCTTGCTCTCCTTGACCTTCTTGGTCTTCTTCTCTTTCTTCTCTTCCTCCTCGTCGTCGACCTCCTCGACTTTTGGCTTGTTGTCGGAGTCTTCCTCCTTCGTCTCTTCGGCGTCCTCGTCTGGGACCTCCTTCTCGGTCTCCTTCAGCACGTGAAGGTAGATGGGGTAGGAAATGAACTCGGAGTGCTTCTTGACAACCTCCTTGATCTTGCTCTCGCCAAGGTAGTCAGTCTGCTCATCCTTGAGGTGGAGAACAATCTGGGTACCACGGCCGAGCTGCTCGCCCTCGGTGTCTTGCGAGATGGTGAAAGTGCCACCGGCGCTCGACTCCCAGGTGTACTGCTCGTCGTCGTTGTGCTTCGATGTAACAGTCACGCGGTCGGCAACGAGATATGCCGAGTAGAAACCAACACCGAACTGGCCAATCATGGACACGTCGGCACCTGCTGAGAGGGCCTCCATGAACTGCTTGGTGCCAGAGCGCGCGATGGTACCAAGGTTGTTGACGAGGTCAGCCTTGGTCATGCCGATACCGGTGTCGCGGATGGTCAGCGTCTTGTTCTCCTTGTCGGGGATGATGTCAATGCGCAGGTCTTTCGCTGAGTCGAGCTTTGAGGGATCTGAGAGAGCCTCGTAGCGGATCTTGTCGAGGGCATCGGAAGCGTTGGAGATGAGTTCTCGCAGGAAGATCTCCTTGTTGCTGTAGACGGTGTTGATGATGAGCGACAGGAGCTGCGAGATCTCCGCCTGGAACTCGAACGTCTCGCCCGACATGATCGCGGTGGTGTGATGTGACTGATGGAGGTGCGCTGGATGTCTTTGTGTGGTGGTCAGTGGATGTTCGTGGGAGCAAACAGCAAGAGCTGCGAGCGCGGGCTTAGATCGCCTATAGCAACGGTGGCGTCGAGAGACTCACAGTCTAGTCAAAGTGTGTGTGTCGTGTGGAGGGTGATTTGATCAAAGAGCGCGGGAAATGTGAAGCGCAATGGGGTATCTCAGTTGCAGAGAAGAAGGTGAGGTGCGTGTAGCTGTGAAGAAATAGTTTGGAGCTCGGCCATGCGCACCTGCCTCCACTGAAACTCCAGCGATTTCTCGTACCTTCCATAACACTTTCCAGCTGCACTAGTTAGCGCCGGCTACTGCCGCTCTCGAACTGAGCAGAGCAGAGCGGACAGCAGCTTTTTACATCGCCGAGCAGTAGTCAGAGCGGTGCACAGTTCCATCGAAACGTCTACGGGAATCTGGTCGATGATGAGTTTCGATGGTCTGGTGGGACACCGGCGCTGGCAGAGGACATGGCGGTGATCAAAGTCTCGGCGGTTGAGCGCGGAACCACTCTTGCATCTCTTTCCATCCACCTCTCGTCCTCCCCTCATTGCACTCTTCGACCTACCATTCTGCCGACAAGAAGAACATTCGCAGCGTCAGGCAGCATTGTGTCCCTGACTGTTCAATGGAGCCACATCACAGTCAGGATTGACCGGCGTCCCGCAGTGGGCGGCCCTTCGGTTCAGCCGACGCGCAGCAGCTCAGAAGGCGCAGGCAGGCAGCGATGCCAGCTGAACATCACCGCACGCCGCTGCATGTGTACACCGTTTATTTCTGACTCACTGCAGCACCACGCCGCAATGCTCACTCGCTCGCCTGCCTGCGGTCCTGCATAAGGCTCGTATGCCAGACTTCGCCTCAGGTAACCTATTTTCAACCATCTGCCATATTCTCCTACATCCCTTCTTCTCCTTCCTCAGCATGCTCCATAGCAATACAACTGAAGGCAAACATCTGCCTTTGCTTGACCCGGACCCACATTCAACGACTACGATTATTACTCCTGCCTTTCACAAGCTTCCCGAGGCCGCGTGCTTGCCTGGCACATCTTGTGCATTTCGAAAATACCTTATCACAAGCCTCTCCACACTCGATCGTAACCACCACTCCACTCTAAATTACCATTTCCACGGCCATCCTCTGGCATAAGTGATCAAGCACCCAGTCGAACGGCATCGGCAGCACCGTCGCAACCATGCCTGCCCCGTCGACGCCGATGCCGATCCACCTGTCCCTCTCCTTGTTCGAAGTGGCCACAGGCCTTCGCTCCGGGACTGCAGAGATCTTCGACCTCAATGCTGAGAAGGTTTGCAAAAATGCCTTGCGCATAGTTCAACGGCGGTCGCCGTTCCTCGCAAAGGCCATTTCCACGCTGGTACCAATCGCCTTCCTCGGATATGGATCCTACCTCTATCTCTGGAAACCTCTGCGTCTGCAAACCGCGATCAACTACGTCACGTCGTTCTTCTTCGCTGAGGTTGTGGTTGAGGGCAGCGATACCGTCCGTCAACACGTCAAGGACTGGATCGCTGATCAAACTTCCTCGCTTCAAGGCCGCTCCGTCACATTGGTCCGGGAGGGCACATACGGACGCTCCTCAGAAACGCCATACAAGTACATTTCAAGTGCTCAGACCTCCTGGTTCAAATACGATGGCCGATGGCTTCGCTTCGAAGATCAAGAAGTGGCCGAGAAGCCCGCCGAATCGGATGACTATGGCCGGAGAGGTCGCTCTTTGCCCGCGAAACCAGATCTGAAAATCTCTTGCCTGTCGCTTACTGGAAACAACGGACCCCTGCGAGACTTTCTTGAGCACATCCAAGACGATAACAAGGACGAGTCGTACACCTATATCTATCGTGTGTCGCGCTATTCCTGCGACAACGATGTCTGGGATCAACCAATCTCTCGCCCTGTACGGACTCTCGATACTGTCGCAATGGAGGTGGACACTAGGAAAGCCATCATTGCGAGCGTGGAGAAGTACTTGGCACCGGAGACAAGCAATTGGTATGCACAACGCGGTCTCCCTTTGCGCAAAGGTATCTTACTGCACGGGCCGCCTGGCACGGGCAAGACCTCGTTCAGCACAGCGCTCGCCGGCCATTTCGGTCTTGACCTCTATATTCTCTCCTTCACGAGCACCGAGATGGATGACGGTAAACTCGCTACTCTATTCGCGGAGCTCCCAACACAGTGTGTTGTCCTCATGGAAGATGTCGATTCTGCTGGTGTTGAACGCGAAAACATTGTGAAGCCCAGCAGTGACCTTTTAACCCCGAAGAAACGCGTGACTCTTTCCGGCCTCTTGAACGTTATTGACGGCGCCGGCGCTGCAGAAGGTCGCCTGCTGATCATGACCTCTAATTCAGCCAACAGCCTAGACCCTGCTCTCGTCCGCCCCGGCCGCATCGATCACAAAATCTTCATGGGAAATGCCAGTCAAGAAGTTGCCAACATCCTCTTCACTCAGATCTACACGGACCTCGATGAAGAATTTGACGACAGCGAGACGGTGCTCGATTCGCAGCCAGATATTGACGTGCTGGCCAAGGCATTCGCAGCAAAGGTCGAAGCCAACTTGTTCACACCCGCTGAGATCCAGGCATTCCTCCTCTCGCACCGAGAGTCTCCAGAAGAGGCACTTGACTGCGTGGACGAATGGGCGGAGAAACTCAAAGACATCAAAGTTGCGGGCCACAATGTGAAGGAGTCGTACTCTGCCGCTGCCAGTCAAGCCTCAACGATAGCCGCAAACGATTTCGAGGAGCGCAAAGAACAGCTGCAACACGGGCGGCCCATCTCAAGGCGACACAGCTGGTCGCACGTGGACGCCACTTCGGAGGCGTATGACTGAACGTGGTTGATGGCTTGATGACTCAATGATGCGGGAGACTTGACTACCTAAAAATTGCGAGGATGGATTTACGATTAGCATCTGAAGGTGCGATTCATGACACTACAGCGGATGACTCTACAGTATAGAAACGGCATATGCCGCCACATGGTCGAACGCCATGTTTACGAGTGCGAGCAAAAGATTACGAGGAAGAGCATATATCAGAGTATGCATCCAGTAGGTAGTCATGGGTGAGAAACGCCTGCTCCTCGTGACGGTGAATTGCATCGGCTCGAATAGACTCTCAAACACGAGATCAACAATTAAAAGTATATTCTGCCACTACATCCAACAGAAACACCTACTGTCCACTTTTCTTCTCATCCGCACCACTATCAATCGACGTCTCGTCCCCTTCCGGCTCCCGATCCTTAACATGGAAGCTAAAATCAATGACTCCAACCAAAGTCTTGACATGCCTGTGAGAAAGCACAAAAGTCAGCAAACCATCACGACTACCAAAAGATCGTTCTAGCACAAGAAAGAAAAGAAGCTCACCTCGTAATTTTCACCACATCATCATTAATACACTGCGCACAAATCTGAATCACCGCAAAAGCGGAATATTCTGGCTCATCAATATGTCTCACACTCAAAATCTCTTTATCAATTTTTTCCATACGTTGCACATATTTCGCGTGTTGCGGGATTTCCAAATATGGAGGCAAAGCTCTGGCGTCGGTGATGCTGGAAGATAGCAGAGACAGCAGAGAGGTGAGCTTGTGTGAGGTGGCGTTGACGGACGTGAGTAATTTCCGGAAATCCTGCGACCAGGCGGTATGTCGTGAGGAGGATTCGTTGTCTTCCGGGTGGGAGAAAGTTCGCGACGCGTAGGATATGAGAGTAATGTATTGCATCACGCGTTGAACGCTGGATATTAGGCCAGTGTATTCTTCATGAGGAAAGCGGCCGCCGACGCGGATTTGGAATTTGGAAAAGGCGGAGTTTTGTTCGAGGGTGGTGAGGAGGGTCAGAGTTTTGGTGAACACCAAATTACGCGCTTTTTCGAGGTGGAAGGCGCGGGTGCCTTTGGTGGCTTCGTCGCCGGCGATATTCTGGAGTCGGGCGCGGACGAGTTCGTTCACGACGGAGTTGAGGTTTGCGAGCATGTAGAGGGCGGCGCCGACGTCTTTGCGGAGTTCAGTCGATTCGCTGACGGGGTAGGGGAAGATGGTCCAGATGTAGGCTACGGCGAGACCACCACAGACAGTAGCGAGACGGTAAGGGGCGAGGAGGTAAGTTTCGTAGTAAGGTTGGCCGTTGGATTCGCTCGCTTCGATGCCCACGACGCGGGTCTGGAGTTCGTAACCGATGATGAGGATAGCGGTAACAGCCTATCCGATTGTTAGCAAGTCTCTCTGGCGCATGGGTGACGACGGAGCTCACAGAGATGATGCCCGCAATGAGCAGTGTTTTCTGCTTCAGCAGAATATAAAAGGCCAAGAACAGCCAGAACCACAAGAAAACGATCACACCAGCTGTTTTGCCGTCCACGATGTACCAGATGATGTACGCCGCAATCATCGCGATTGCGGTCCCCATAATTCTCAGCGCAAAAGACCATGTCGACTGTCCGGCTGTCCTTGTCATACTGATTGGCACCATGATCATCGCCCACAGGATCCGGTGCCTCAGAAACCATGCTTGTGAATCGTGCAGGAAGCAGATAATGGCCACTGTCATCGTGGCACACGCGACACGGAATCCAAAAGCCGAGGCATCACTTCTGAGCGCTCGCGGAATTAATCTGATCGTCTCTCCAATCTTCTCCCAAGCGTTTCGGGGCGGCAGATGTTCTGGATCCTTCGATTTGCCAAAGGATTCTCCTAGATCTAGAGCACGGCCAGTGGAGACATCAGCTGTCAGGAGATTTTCATCGTGAAGGTCGTCTTTGCCGAAGCAAGAGAAAAGCCATTTCTTGAACGTCTTGAGCCCAGGGACAATAAGGCGGGATCTCTGCAATGTGCCAGACGCTTTGCGCTCGTCTGCAAAGAGAACCAACTCGAGGGCAGCTTCGCCGGCTTTGTGGAGAAGATGGTGAACATAGAGAGCGAAGAAGAGATGTCGTTGGTCTCGTTCGCGTGCATGCTCAGAACGATCATCGGTCCATTCTTCTGGTCGCTCAAAGGTAGGTTCGAAGAAGTCGTCCGGAATGTCGAATCCATGCTGATGGCACCATTCTTCGACGGAATGCTTCTTAGAGTGGTAGAATTCGTCCAGTTGTTTTCGAAATCCTTCCGCATATGTGGCTGTTCCGGGTATTGGTCCAGTGTCGGCACTCTCTTCATCACCGGACTTCTTCTTGGGTGGCTTCGCGAGCTCCAATGTATGGAGAACATGCTGGAAGGCGGAATCGAGATGCGCACCCTGAGTGACTAACGGCTCGTGCAAAGACTTCATAAGCTCGTGTAGATCGTCAATTTGTCTTCTCTTTGAGCGCTCGTCTGCCTCGTTGTTGTTCGACTTCTCCCAACCCGCTTCCTCAGCTCGTCGCTGCAAGATATCCAGCACTGAGTTCAACCCAATGACGGGCACCAGTATGAACCTCATCCGCTTCCATGTCTCGGTAATATCCTTTGGCGAAAGTTTTCCGATCGCAATTTCCTTCTTCGCGAAGGAGATGTCCGTGGGCAGCTTCGTATGTAGCTCGAGTATTTTCTGCATAGCTGCCTTCGTTTTTCTACCAGGTTCAGTCATTAGTAATGGTGCTGGCCCCTTCTGCTTCCTGTCGTTGTATTTATCCATTCCTGGTTTCTCGCTGTCATTCTCTGGTTCCCAGGTTTCCAAGCTTGCAAGGTAGGCGCCTTGAAGTTTCAATAGACCACTCATGCCTTTGAGATATCCTTCCATCTCTTTAAACACAACCTTTCTCGAGCTCATAGGAAAGACGAAGAATGAGACTCCCACTGCCAGAGCGAAGCCTGTTAAGAAAGTTTGAATGAGCCGTTGCATGAAACTAAGGGCGTAGTCCATTGTAGGGAACTGTGTGCCTGTAGAGCATTAGATGATTCGTCGTTTAAGGAGGCATATCTCCTACCGTATGTCATTGACACCGAAATGAATATTGAGAAAATGATGACAGGGAACTGCATCTGAGGTAGAGCAGCTCGCAGAACGTTGGCAAGATAGACAAAGAAGAAGAGCCACACTGCCAACACAGCAGAAGCGCTCGAATTGTACCCAGTCGGGGGAGCACCCGCTGGTGTTGTGTGTAATCGTGCTTGGATGGCAGAGTACAATGCGAGAAGACACATTGCACCACCAATGCATACACCCAGAACATTCAGAGTGCTAATGACATGTTAGTAGTCGGTACAGGACGAGCTGAGATTGATAAAAGTTCTGCTCCTTTCAATTGGACGTAGTAACGTGTTGACCATGCGAAAAGACAGCAAAGAAAGAGTTCGGCGTCACTCACATCGTTTGCACAAACATAGCCCTTGGCATGATGCACATGCCCAGAACTGAAGTGATAGCGATCAGGTAACCCAGCGTGGTATATTCTCTCGCGACTGCGGGGCTCTGATACATTGCGACCGCAATTGTAGGCGGCAAAGATGCCTTGAACATCAGCATGACGGTCGGCACGTCGAGATCAAGCTTTTGCCAAAGCTTCTTGAACATGTTTGGCTTCTTTGTCGATTCCGAGTTTGGAGGCGAAGAAGCAGCAGAACGCTGCTCCTGGTCCGCTGCTTTCATCGTCGCGTCGTTGTCTGTTGAGACGTCCGCAGACGGATCGTCAGGACGAACATCGTGTTGCTGAGCCGCCATGACGCGGGAAGAGTGGACGTGCTGAAGCAGCCAAAATCGCTCTGGAAGCGCGACCAGAGGAGGCGTCCGGTCAAGTACTGTATCAATGTGTAGTGCTAGGGATTAAGAACCCAATGATACGGATCCGAGAGGATCAATCGCCCAAATGTCGGTGGCAGCAAGGGTGCGTGAACTGGAGGTGGAGACATAGCTGTCAATGCGGTAAACCTACAACGATGGTGGCGCTGAAACTGGATCACCATAGGTCCGAAAGTCCACAGCTCGGGTAACTTTGGAAAGAACGCCCGGCCCGGCACACGCAAACTCACGAATATCCGATGTCCGTATGGCAGTCGCAGTGGTCTTGGCTATGGATATACATTTCTTCTCTCCGATGTTTACTCCACTGTCGACTGTCCACTGTCTGTTGTCGTACACGTGAGGCTTTGAAGGCGTATTGCGAGCCGATCTTGGTGCAATTACTAGCTGATCTCGCAGCTGCACGCAGGCCCCGAATATTGCACAAATGAGGAAGAACAGCCCATTCTCTGCACTTGGCCTTCAGCACTTATTGAACCTTTGTCGGCAGTTTCCCCTTCATCATTAGCCCTTCTTGAAATACGTCAACAGCGTGTTCTTTTGCTTCGCAGGACTTTCCTTCGTCTTGTTTTTGCTCGGACTGCTGTCATTGGCCTTTTTCACGCCGACCTCCATGCGTCTCATCAGCTCTTCAAAGTCCTCAGTTGCGACGATACCACCACTGGCCTGCACGTGCCCACGCGCAAAGTTCTCCCCCATTCTTTCCAACAAAGTTGGATTCGTCGTTACCGCCGAAGGCGGCTCTTCCGTGGTAGCACCCCCTTCTACAGGAACAATCTCTGGCAGATTGGCATACGCCTTCAGAATTTCGATGATGTTCACTGGGCTCTCTCTGCCTCGTGCACATCGAGCTATGCGGCAGCTGAAATTCACTTTGCCTTCCAGATATCCTTCGTTCGCAACCATCACAATTTCAAGCTTGTTTGATTGGAGATGACCTGCCCATCGAGTGGCGATAACTGGATGGACCTGTGCTTCGCTCTTGATTCGAAAAACGGCAACCTTGCCATCAGACGAGAATTTGGGTGCAGCATGGGTGCAGCGCTCTACTTCGGCATTGACTTCAGCTCGAGCATCGAGGAGGCGGGGGTTCTTCAGAACGCTGGCAGGATCATCAGTCCCACTGAGCGCTTCCCAAGCTGATCTGACATCATCTGTGAAGGACATCAGTCAATGTCACTTGTTGACTCATGCTATCGCTGTGACTTACACGTTGCTGTCCTTCGTGGGGCGTTTACCAAGCTCACCACGTCGTTCAGCACCTTCTTTTTATATTTCTTGAAGGCACTGTTCATGTCTGGAAAGGGGTGCGACCACTTCAATGTGGTTCCCAGATCGCCATGCGTGCCTACTACGCAAAGCCAGTCACATTTCGAAGCGACTTCAGGATGTAGCGTTTCGCAGATGTGGTACGTTAACAGCGCAGATGTAGCAACTGGCGGGGAGTGACACGCGGTCACGTAGTTAGAGCCTTCTGGAAAGTCGGAGGGAGTAGCGAAATGGTGGTCAATCACTAGGCCCGTGTGAGGAGAATCCACAATTGGAGGCCCAGGTCGAGAGCCTTGATCTATGACAAAGACATATTCAGGATTGAAGGAGGCGAGGCGCTGCCTTTCAACATCACTGTGCACTGTATTTCCTTTGGTCAACAAATGAGTTTTGATTCTCTCTGGCGACACTCCCAATAGTAACAAGGTGTGCTGCAGTATTGCTCCAGCGGATAAGCCATCAGCGTCCTTATCCGGCACGAGCACGATGTTGCTCTTCGCTTCGGCAGATTCTAAGATGATGCTGCGGGCCTTGTCGATTTGTGAACGCGGGGCGGGCCATTGAATGCTTCCGTCGTCCTCCTTGACACTAGGAGTCGTGTGATATTCTGGGATGTCGGGCTTTGGACGCTTCTTAGCGGGTGTGCTGCTTTGGTTTGGAGGCGCTTTCCGCTTGGAGGAGATCATCTGCCGCGCACAACCGGTCCCTAGGGCCAGTGGGAGAATGGGGCTGTGTCGCGAGGGCAAGTCGAGCTTGGGAGCAGTCCGAATGAGGAATGTGCAACTCGGCAGCCAGAGACGCCTTCTCAGCAGCATCAGTGGGGTATGCGTATGCTAGACGGGCAGCAGCAAACAAAGGAGATGTTCTCGAATGCGCATCGTGGCTGGACCGCCGTCCCTGTGCTCGTCATCGATCATCATCTGCATCAGCCCTACGCGTGGTTGGACGTATCTGTGCATGGCGGCTGTGGAGGCTCATGTCGCATTCAAAACATACCACACGCACCGCACTGCAACTTGTCTCGCACAGGTTGCCTGGAGCAGTCTAGCAGACGTGTGCATGGCTGCCGTGACGATGGAGGGAACCCTGCTTCCGCACCGCAGAGCGTGCTGTCCGCAAAATGGCGAACGCGGAAAGCGGCTTAGCTCCAGCCTCGCACGCCCGGCACCTTCCACGCTCTCACTCGCTCGAGGACAGTACAACACATCGTATTCTCCAGTCACCACCGTCAGCTTACACGCTCCGCGACGCGGCGCAAACAACCACAGCGGTATCGCGCTCACCTGGCCGCCGGGCGGACGACCGCCAGCAGCGCTGCTTCGTGCTCGATCGCCGCGCGCGAGAACGTGAGGCTCCCATCGAGCGCCCCCACAGCTTGCTTGCTGTTCCCTTTTATGCTCGGACGACGTCTGCGTGGCTGGAGGTGCGGGTGGTGATCGGACGTTCTAGGCCCACACCACGACATCTCTGCCGAGCTGCTGGTCTTTTGGCAGCTACGAGGCTTCATTATTTGGCGAGACATATCGCACGCGCAACACGCTGCAAGCACACCTATTCTTCTGCGACGGATCCGCCTGCTCTGCCGCGCACTCGCCAAACTGGGACAACGCAACGTCATCGCGGCTGAGAGGCATGGTGCCTAGGTACGTCGACCAGCCCCGGTATCCATGCGCCGTACATGTTCTCGACAACTCGACTTCGCAGAACCTGCTCAGCCGCCGGGTCATATCGCGGCCCATCCGACATCTCCCAGCACGCTTCCCTTAATGCATTCGCAGCTTGCTCTCGTGGTTGCCGCCAGAGCTTGAGCCGCATCACCCAACTTCATTGCTTGCGCCGGCCTGTGCGACCAGCATGTTCAGCCGGCAAACCGTACTGACTCGTTCACAGGAAGCCCCAAGCTGACCTACGGACGATTGCAGCGCACTGGATGGACTCGAACTCGGCCTCCGAACGTTGACAGTCATATTGTATGACCACGAACGGTATTCCTAGCCTACTGCTTACGAAGATACCATTTCTTCTGATTTGAGCCCGGTTGCCCACACGACCGCGAGTGCCTCGACGCGGCACACATCCTGGGATTGAGTTCGCTGCCCATTCGAAAGTCAGTCGCGTATCATTTGTCACTGCACAGCACCGGACGTGACAGCACGAGAAATCCAAGGCCATCGGGAAGCACCGGTCTCAATTCATCCTGCATTCACTCACATCCGTGAAGTCTGCAGCAGTATAGATCTGCGAGCCTCACCTACGGCAGAGTGGGCCATCTCCGGCACCAACCCTGGCCGCTCTCTTCCATTCTCCACGCGGAACACAATGTCCGACAAGTCGTCATCTAATGCGGCCGCCGGGAGACCTTATATTGTGAAAGCTGGACCCGACTTGCCTGAGCAACTGAGCTCGCACAATGATGCTGGCGAAAAGCACAGCAACAGCACCAGTGATGCCTTGAAGGCCACTGCTGCTGCCGCGATGCAGGAGAGCGACCGGGCGTCGCAACCTCAGCAAGAAATGAAAAGTCTCGTGGAGCGGACTAGAATCGATTCAGCACAGAACAGTGCCGATAGCGTACCCCAATTGCCATCGCAAAAGTCCCAGGATAGCGATGTGCTCGTTCCTCTCGAGCTCAGGACCTCTCCTGCACTGGACCAAGTGCCAAATCGAGCTTCTCGAGATTCAATTGCCAACTCTCCCACATTGCGCAAACATGCCATACCAGTCGAGGAGGGCACTGCGAACACTCTGCCTATTGTGCAGCCTTCGTCTCCCAGCAGGGAAACTACTGCAGCATCGCCGACCGGTCAGAGCTTGCCTTCCTTCCGGCAGTTGACCGGACAGCTAGGCCAACTGACAGAGCTGGCCGAAGCAGCAACCCAACAAGACTCTCGGGTAGCACAAGCCGCTCATCATCACAGTCAATCTTTCAGCTCCGCCACATCAAAGTCTCCCATGATGCCCTTTTTCCCGCCGTACGCAAACAGTGCACAGACATCGCCAACCGCATTTTATCCTCCCGGGCCACGGTCCCCGACAAGTGGTGCCGGTGAAAGCCATCATTACGGATCGCCAAAGCAATATGCCGTATCAGCTTATTACACAGATCGAAGGCGATCGTCAGTAGCCACTGAGGCAAACCCCAACTTCCCACCGCCGATACCTTCATTACCAACAATACCAACCAATTCCTCTTCAGGCGAAAGTCATGGGCAGACTAGTTCAAGCACGGACGGATACAGCACCGCGCAGACGACGCCAACCGAAGGACCTATACCGACAGAAGGAGTTCAGAGACCGATTTTGCCGCCACCTCCGGGAATGACCATTGTCCCGATAGGTGGCTTCAAGTGCGATTATCCTGGATGTACGGCGATGCCCTTCCAGACACAATATCTTCTCAGGTGTGTCTAGATTCTAGTGTAGTTCTGGACGAAGGCTGACCCCATATAGCTCGCACAGAAATGTGCACTCGCAGAATCGACCGCACTACTGCCCCGTGAAAGACTGCCCACGCAGTGAGGGTGGCAAAGGCTTCAAACGCAAAAATGAAATGATTCGGCATGGACTTGTGCATAACAGTCCTGGCTACATTTGCCCTTTCTGTCCCGACCGCGAGCACAGATATCCCAGGCCTGACAACTTACAAAGGTGAGGCAGGGCTCGCGCGGCTTTCAAGATCACAATTCTAACAAGTCTTAGACATGTCCGTGTCCATCACGTTGACAGGGATCGCGATGATCCGGCGCTTCGGGAGGTGCTTGCGCAGCGGCAAGAGGGGGTTGGCAAGCAACGAAGAAGACGAACACAGTCTTCGGTGCCTGAGCCATCGTAGTGCGATATACCACGACCTACTGTAAATGTAATGCTTATACTGAAAGCGGAGGTGCTATAAGGCAACCTCAGGTAGCGCGGCGTTCTGGAACGGCGTCCATGAGCGTTTTGGGACGATGGAGCATACGAGTGCTCGGCGATGTCTTGTAAGAAATGAGGAGAGAGCGACACGATCGCGTCTTGATCACTTGGTTGTGTCCTAATCCCAATGGGAAGGAATTCAGCAATCACCCATGCCGCTGCATGCCATGGACGAGATTAAAATGTTAAAATCGAGTATGCACGCGCATTGTGCGTGGCGCAGAATGAGCCTCTGCTTCATATTGCATTTACATCACTGTCGCGTGATGCCGACCAGGGTATCGCGTGAACCACATGCCAACTCCACAATGACAGCAGAGATGGCTGGTTTCCTCGACAGCGAAGATGCTGTCTTCGTCAACCGTGTGATTGTGAGTCGCGATGGTGCATCCCGGTCACGATTGGTTTGTGCGTTGTCTCAGAGCGGCCGTTACTTACCGCTGCGATGTTGAGAGACAAGACAGGAGTAGCGAGCGACAAGAGGTCAAAGGTGCCAACGGTAAGCTTGTTGGTGCAAGCTGAATACTGGCGCTGCGGAGGGCCTTGCGATCACGGTTGCGTAAGCGCAAGAAGTTGGTGCAACATGTGCAACGATAGCATGCACGCGAGTGAGATGCTAAAAAGAATCCACGCGGAGGACTAGTTAGCCGCATGCATACATCGCAGCGAATCCAAGGCATGCATGCAGGCAGGTAGGCAGGCCAGCTTCTTCTTTCAGCCGCGCGCGCGCTGGGCCGATAAGGTGAGATGTGTGTGAAGAGGATGGCATGTCAGCGCATCAGCTCACCACTGCAGCTGCAGCTCTCTGCCCATGTGTCGCTGCTGCTGCGGTGAGTGAGTCCGGCCGAACTCTCGAGCGTTGGAAGGTTCTGTTAGGCGAGCGTGCGCGCGCGAACAGGAAAGCGAGGTAGCTGGTTCGGCAAGTCTCTGGGCGTGCATGAGACAGGACTGGGTTGCAGCCGGACGGGCTCCAGAACCGCTCCAGATGGTGAGATGCTTGGTGGCTTTGTACTCTACCAATGTATCTCGCGGATTAGTATGCATTGCGTTGCTCAGCGTGGGCGGACTTGCGCGATGGAAGCAAGCAGGCGAGGAAGGATTGGATTGGATTGGGTGCGATGAGGAATGCGTCGCTGACCGAGGAGACGAAGATGTGCGCAAACGTGAGAGGCAGAATCCGCGGCCCTGCAGAATGCTGCTTCGCGAGACCTGCAGGGTCCAGTGTTCTTGTGATTGACGGTGCGTGGTGGCAGTTAGCTTGCGATTGGCGCCAAGTTGAGTCGTTACGGACCCGGTCTTCAGCAGGCTTTGCCCGTGGCGTTTCTAGATCATCGCCTGTCCACGAGTGCACATGCGCACGCGGGACGGCGGAGAGGGGACGGTAGCGTCTTTGTGCTGCTCGTACATGTCTCTCTGCACCTCCTCCTTCTCACCATCCAACCTACCAATATTCACCAACAAATCTGCGACCCGTTCACTAACGCACGCGGCACTGTGTTAAGACCACCAGACCTGGATCTGCTCCTACCGATTTTAGCCCGGCGGGACACGGTCTATACACACTGACACCCATCTCCGACGACTGCCTTCTTCTCTCAAAACGCACGCATCTGGCGCCCAAAAGCAGAGTCAAGAGCGACGACATCATTGTGATCGCAAACCGGGAACACCGCCGACATTACTCGATGCGGATCCAGCTCGGGCAGCTCTAGCGTCGGAAGCCGATGACATACCGACGACTGAAGATCCTCATGATTTGGGCTTGAGAGGCATTGGCTTGGGTATTAGAAGCTGCGAACTTCACCACTGCGCTTGCCTTTCTTGTGTGAGAGCGCAAAAAAACAGGAAATCATGGCCATGGCGTCGACACTGGGGGAGCTGCGGAGGAGAGTTACATCGGACGGTGCCGAGCTTGCCAGACCAGCTACCACCCAGGATCACCAGCATCAGCCTGCTGAACAAGCTCGGCCAGGAAGACCGCGGCGAGCGACAAGCTATTACAACACCTTCCAAACAAAATGCGACGTCTCGAACGACACACCACCAACCTACGCCGCCGCTGCACGAACTCCTGCGCGACCGTTACGAACGTCGCAGGATGGCAGAGAACAGCTGCCCAGCTACACTTGCACGGTGGGCGGAGAGGCCAAAGTTTTATTGAACCTGGAGTCGATGAACCCACTGCATGGGTGTTGCGAGGGCGAGTGGAGCGAAGTTTACGTGGTGGTACGTGGGACCATGATCAATTTCCACAGAGTCAAGGACGGAAAGGCTGGGAAGCTGCTCAAATCCTACACATTGCAACACGCTGAAGTCGGACTGGCGACTGATACCGAACACATGATTTTGGTCCCGCAGTCGAGATTTGCGCATTTGATTCCTTCTTCAGCGAGAAGGAGGGCGTGGCAAAAAGACCCGGACCTGTACAAGCCCGTGCCCCAGATAATTATGCGTTTGCGGCTGGAGACGGATCAAATTCTACTGGCTGACAGTTGCGAGGAGCTCATTTTCCAGCTGGTCCACATCATCAGCGCAGGAATTGACATTTCGTATGCTATCGACGAGCGAAGTATACCGAGGCAATGCACTGTACCACGGAGGAGAAGACGCAATCGGCCGCATTACAACGGCAACATGGCGGATCCCGGCTTTCTGGCCGAACAGGAGCGTCTCTTCCGGCAAATGTACCCAGCTTTCGCCGCGATGAATCCCACACGGCCTGAACTTCCACGAATGGACACACAGACCACGATGCCGCCTACGCCTGGGCGCGAAGAAGACGAAGTGGATTTGTCGATGATTCGCGAAGACTTTGCTGCTCCCGCGCCTGCCAGCGGACGTACTGCGGATGCTGCAACGCGTCCACCAAACGTGAGGCAGACAACGAGCACCACTATCAATTCACTGCTAGGCACGGATATGATGTATGCGACGCCCAGCACCAATTTCAACGAAGACGGGAAATGGCAGCCTCCGCATTTGCGCACGCCGCAGCAAACGCTGAGGTATATTCGAAGATGCATGCCCATCCTCAACGCTGATGCTCCACGCGCAAGCGATGTCATGGTCGTCGACGGCCGACGCATGAAACTGAACTGGCGAATGGAGCTCCTTGAGCAGTGGGAACTACAGCCACCAACCTACAAAGCCCACAACTTCAGCAATGGTACAACGAACGAGCTACAACGAGCAACTTCTCAACGCTCGTCTTCAGCCTCCGCAGGCCAGAGTGCAGAACCGCAATGTTCTAGCTCCATGCTCGAGGGTTGTGATCAAATTCTCCCTCTGGAGACTTCAATGGATGCGCTGCAACTCACAAAGCTGGTTTCCAACATGACGCACGCCGGAGACAAAGGTACCGCACACACGGCACAATCTCCTACTACCATTAATGAAGAAGAATCAAAATCGCATCGCATGCAACAGACAACGTCAGCGGGCACCAGTCCAACAGACGTGCATGGCGTGGTGTTTTGTTTTTGAGCATCGAGCCTGGGAAATGAGACTACAGATCTCACGCATCAGCAACCCGCTGAAACCCTTACGAAGTGCCCTCACACGAGCACCACAACTACGACTTTAATGAGACCCACGATGCATCACAGCAAAAAGGCATCTGAGCATTAGCATTCGCTCTTTTCTTTTTATCTTTTTCTTCATCTCTCATCAAAAACGGCGCATTCAGGGGCCCTACCACGACGACGATGACAATCGCTGGACGCGAAAGGAGAGTGGCATGCATCACCCATCTGCATTTTCTTGATAGCTGTTTCTTATCCATTACATCATTACCGCGATCCCAACGGAGCAGGAGAAAACGAGATTCTCAGTAACCCTGATTCTGACTGCATTTCCAATCTCTGAGATACCACTTCTAGCTCTCATGTGCATACTGTCGGAGGAGAAATGGCGAAAAAGGGAAGGTGCGGAAGTTTCGAGATGGAAGTTTTGTATATATATCGAGGAAAGAATGAAAGACTTCATCAAATCTCATATCATCAACTACTCGATCCAATCTTGGTTCGTTGCGTTTTTCTATCTCTCCAAAACTGATGAGCTTTCTTGCCTCCAGATACGGAGAATTAAGCTCCTGATGTGAGTTTATCTGGACATCGAAATATAGCAAGAGTTGGTCAAATTTAGGTATCGGATTATACTTCGTAGTTGCAGCCGCGGAGCTTTTGTTCGAGCGCGTGTGCCATGTGAGTTGGCGAGGCTTTGAACGATGCGGTGCAGTTCGGTGCCGGGATGAAGTGGATAATTTCTAGCACAGAGCTTACAATAGTGTTTCGATGGGGCGTGCAGTAGGTCAGTAGTAGACTTCGATAGGTGTGAGCTTTGCGACAGTACCATGTCGCGCGTGCACTCTCGTTGTGCTCCGAGCAGGTAGGCAGCTAGGGCTTTCCACTGGCACCTACGGCAGATGCGGTCGTCACTAAAGACAGAGTTTGTGACGAAGATGACGCCTGTGATGTGAGGGATGTGATGTCGAAGGGAAAAAGGTACATCGAGAGCTTCGTTATCAATAGATAGTAATACTTATTATTAATACTTCATATGATCTATATGAAAGTAGTCATGCCGTTGCTAGAATGATGTGAACAAGTAAGCACACATATGCAAAAATTTGGAAACAGCAGTGTTCCGTTGTCATCCACACAAATCCTCTGCTGCCTTCGTCTCTCTCTCTCTCTCTCTCGTTTTCCTATCTGTCTCGGTGCGCTGTCGCTTTTTACACTAGATGCAATAAATATGATTGAAAGTATCGGTTCCGCCGAAGAAGAGTCTTTCTGATCCAGTACGCCGCGCTAAATATCAAAATCCAATTTTTCGGTGGTCGAAATGGAAAGTAGAAGAGTCGTCTGTCGTTGCCATGTACCATACCATGCAAATGCATCTCGATTCTCACTCCCCCTTGTCAGTGGAAGATCAGCGCTTGATCTTCTCCGCTCAACTTTGTTTCGTCTCCGCTCGATCCGCCGCTTTGCTTTTTATCCAACAAAGCTCAACAACAAAGTCAAAATAGTGACGAGGAATGCCAGAGGCTGCAGTGTGGACTGCATTGATCCGGAGCCAGAATTCTGTACCGTGGCTTGAACAAAAGTAGGTCCACAGTTCATCTGAATCTGTGACGCAGCAGAATGGTAATCCCCGTTGAGAGGTTGAGTATGGTTGCTCGCTGTCTGAGCGAAAATGGCCATGGTGTTCTGGAGACACGTTGTGCAAGCGGGCCGTGAACCTCCGGGTAGTTGAACGCCAAGGGGAAGGTAGTAAATGTAGCTGCTCGTCGGGGATGATGAATTGGTGACGGCGTTGGCGTAACAGTAACGTCCACTGTCATCGTTGAGGCATCCGGCGTGGTACAAGGTGTCGTAAGCTAGGAAGCCATTGTATGCTTGCACGACACTCGGGTTGCCCATGGCGAGGTCAGAGCCGCAATTGGCGGTCTGCTTGACTTGTTGGGCATAGCTGGCCATCAAGGCCGAGCATGTTGGAAAATCGACGTTACATGTGCTGTCGAGAATGGTCGTGAGTCGTACGAGAGATCGTGAAGCTGTGAAGAAGCCACTGGATGTCTGGCGCATGTTGTTAGTGATGCTCTTTCTCTGAGAAATACTTTCTCACATACCTGGAGAAGTAATGATAGAGGTAAACAAGATGCGAAAGCTTGGTCGTTTAGAAAACGCTCAAAGAAAGTGGGGCAGGTGCTTGTTGTGAAGTTGTTGCCCAAGTTCGAATCGAATGGTCTGGGCAATGTCGTTGCAGTCTCCGTCGCCACTTGTATATCGCCAGTAGCCGTAGCAGAGCCACTGGGTCGGATGGTGGTCGATGCTAGCACGGATGCCTCATCTCTCACCTCGAGATGCATCCGAGGTGGCGGTGGCGGTGCTCTTCGGTCGTAGAGCAGCTCCTTTGGAAGAATGTCGTCCTGGCCCAGTAGTTGATGGGCATGAGATGCGCGACATAGCAAGAGTAAACAGAAAAGTAACGAGACGGTAAATTTCTGTACGAGATTTGCTTTTCCTGGTATTCGATAAGGGCTTCGTGATTGCTGCCGTCTTTGTCGGATCGTTGAAGCTCGTTGTGTGTTACAATGTGCCAGATTGAATCCATTCCTGACCGGTTCCTGATGCCGACCGCGCCATGTTGGCTGCACAGCAGCGAGTGGAGAAGTAGTTGAGCTGCGGGACGAGAAGGCACATGTGGCCGTTGTCATCGCACTGGATTCCATACGCCGTGCTGCCGTCGCATGTCCAGTCTGCAGGTCCAGTCCTGCGAAAAGAGAAATGGAGCAGACCAAGATCAATTGTTGTGGTCTGAACGCAAAAAAAGGTCAAGCGTCTTGGAATAGGTGTAACACGTGCGCGAGTCGGAAAAGGCCTAGAACGGCGTTTAATGGGATCCCTTGCAGCCTCGTGTGTCGGTCGACGGTCCGGATGTTTCGTTCGGGCAGATCCCTGGAGGGTGTGCCCGCGTCCACAGGTGTTGTCGAAGAAGCTGACCAGAAGAAACGACGATCAGAAAGAGATGATGATTGTCGCGAAGTGCCGTTGTTATGAAAGTGCGCGGAGGGCTCGCCTTGGGCGCATGAACCATCTTCGGTTACTGTAAATGGTCGGAGCAATAACACTATCACCAGCTAATGCAGCCTACGGGCGCCTGAAAATCAATACCACGCGGCTGTGGTGCACGCCAGCGGCAGGGATCGAGCCAGGCTCTTTGTGTGAAGAGCAAAAGGCATCGCGGACTGTGCGCCATTCTGCTGATTGGGGCTCTCATTCGTTGGAAGTGCATTCACGGCCATCGCGAAATGCCAGGAGACAGTCGTCAGGGCTGCGCGTTTCCCATTGCGGTCCGCATAGTATCGCGCTGGCAAGAACCCTGTCGGCCCATGTCCTCCCCCAACGACGTGCCCTATCGAGCCTCTCTGCGGGCGAGTTCCTCAGCTGGCGCGCTCCAGCTGCACTCCAGCTCCTACACTATCGAATGATCTCGGGCTGCTGGATCTGATCATGCAAGGGCGCATCGCGGTGGATTTGGATGCACGCTGTCTTCGACAGACGCCACTTCGCGTGATTGGTTGAGCAGCAGATCCACTCATCTCGCAGCCAATATTTCCGCCACAATGCAGCCTCCCGCCCGCAGCGCGGAGCCACGCAGATGTGTGGTGTGAAGGGGCCGCTTTGCAGCATGTTCTTGCAGCAGTGGTAGTGAGAGAAGCCGTATGTCCAGACTCAGGTTGCGAAAGAAACAGAGCGACTGGCCGACAAGCCATGGAGCTTTTCTCGAGGAACATGGATGACGGGGCAAGTCGTCGCACGCACGGGCTGGCCGAAAAGCAGTCTCCCAATCTCCCAGCAGGCGCGAGCTGAGCCCACCGGGTCTGGTCGCGTGGAGTGGGCGGCAGCCACCAAATCAGCCCTCAGATATAGTGACAATCAAATCAATGACCACTCGGTGTAATGCTGTCTTCCTTCTCCCTTTTACGCCGGTCAGCCATGCATCGTTCATCTTGCTGGACCCGAGCAGTGCAGTATGAGGGCGAGAGAATTGTCCGGGTGAAGCTGTGAAAGCACGACGGGGAGAAGGCCGGTGTGATAGAATCTCAGCCTGATGAGCTTGGCTGATGCCTCAGGGCACGTCCCTGTCAGAGCTCTTGCTCTAGCTTCCGTTGCCGATCGCCGCTGGAGGCAGAGCTTCCAGAAAGCGTCATGAACACCACTTCGACACATCCTCTTGACTACGCGAGGAAGCCCGTCAACTGATATTAACCCGACAAAGCACATTGACAGCACCTCCGCCAGCATGTCCGCTCCGCAGCAGAAGCAAGTCCACACCACAAAGCCGCAGCCTAACGACCACCAGCTAACATCACCGTCTCCTACAGCGTGTGGCAGACCCGAAGCGCCAACTTCCGNCAACAACAACAACAACAACAACAACAACAACAACAACAACAACAACAACAATCAGAATCCTGCCTCGCGCAATGCACCTCAAAGCAATAGCAACCGCTCCAGCGCCGTAGCCTCACCGACCCAGACCTCCAATCCTACACAACCCCCAGCACAACAACCAAAGCCCCAAGAAACGAGCAACCCACCACCACGTAACATCTGGCTCTCCAAACAGCAAGAACGCGCTGCTTCGAACGGCCCATCCCCCGTTAACAGCACATCACCTACAGTGCCGCAGCCCGCGCAGCAACAGACCAGCAATTTCAACATCGAAGACGCCAAAGCCTTACTGATCAACAGAAAGCCTGCTGCGGCGCCATACAAACCAGCCTCGGGCTCCCCATCCTCAGGAGGCGGGAAAGCTGCAGGAGACAAGATGGCCAACGGACAGCCCTTCTTTGCAACGCTGGCGAAGCAGGTTGCGAATTTGGAGGCGGGCGGTTGAGTGATCGAAGATAGACTAGGTTCTATTTCCACGGAGAAGAGGACATGATGGGGGAAGAAAGACGCTAGGCACGAAGATCGAATCGAACATCAGGATACGCGCTTATTGGGTGTACATCCACCATGAAGCGACGCGTGAGGTGGGGAGGAGGAGTAAGAACGAGGATTTCAGCAGCATGTCCGCCGCTTGCAATACTCCAGAAGTGTTTACAAGGAAGAACGAGGTGCAAGCTACAAGTATCAGATGGGAACAGCTGGGTAAGAGTCTCTGAGGAGACATACGCCGATGAAGGAGCAAGAATGAGGCTATGAGGGGCATACCGCCTTGCAGACAGATAATCGGGTGCTGTGTGACCCCCATCTACCGCAGAACTATCTGCCTCAGCAACCTTGTATACTCATACAGAATCCTGTGCCAAAACATGTTCTCGCTCCTGAGCAAGTCAGCATCTCACACTCTGAGGTCCGCGCAAATAAATCATCAGAAGGTCCCTCCAACTCCAGCGCTAGTATCATCTGCTTGCAATCCTGGTCTATCATATACAAATACGTGTGTGCTGGCTCCCGCTATGCCTTCGTCCTTCGTTCATCTTCCGCGTCGCATTCACTTCAACGAGACCAATGCGAACGCTTCGGCCTCTTCTTCCTATTGCTATTAGCTCGAGCCCTCGTACCAGAACCCGAAACAGATGAAGACGCTGCATGAGAGCCACCATTGACCTTCTCATTCGGCGTAGCATCCGTGCTCATGCCTGCGAGTTCCCCTAGAGTATCCTCATCCATGTCCGAGAGTTCTTCGGACATGGCACGTAAGACGGCTCGGCCTGTATATCGCTCCTCGTGAATCGTGGTGCCGATGGGATCAAATGGCTCGAGGTACCACGGAACACCGCCTTGAGCGAAGACATCGTGATTCTCGCCATTCGCATTGCTAGACTCGCCGCTCGCAGAAGCGGGTGCGCCTGACGGGCGTGAGGAGGACCGCGAGATGGGCGGAGACAAAGGTTCGGTCGTCGGCTTGTCGCTGCGAGTCTTACTCGACATATTGAGGTTGGAAGATGCATGGCTGGCAGCTTTCGAAGCTGGTGTGTGGGTATCGTTGGCGAATGGAAGCATACTGTCCTTGGCGATGGCCGGCTCGACCTCTTGTTCCACAGCTCCAGCATCTGGCATATCGGTGTCGACATTGTCTTGCTCTTCAGCACCTGCCACAACCGAAATATCAGAACCTGTCCTACGATGTGTCTGTGGTGTTTGAAATTCGTCCTCACCATCTGCGTCGCCGGATTTGGATGTCGCTGAAGCAAAGATCCCCATCGAGTCCAGCTTCCTGAGCTGTTCTTCCAGTTCGAGGCCTCTCAATTCGGCTTCCTTCTTCATGGCCGCTTCCAAAGGCTCCTTGACCGCCTTGACGATTCGTTTGGCGAGGCGTTTCAGGTCCTTTTGTTCTTGTGTCAGAGCCATATGTGCAGCACTGCCGACCTTGACTTCATTCAGCTGGTTGTGAATAGCCTCAATGTCAGCCTCACTTGGCTCTCCAGAAGTGCCGACGGCTGCCAGAGCTTCTGCAAAGATTTTTGACAGGTCACGGGAGAAGTCAGATACAGAAGTGTAGTAACGCTCTCGCAGCCTTTGCGCAAGCATGTCGAAGCCTGTTCGGAAAGACCGCGTCTTCTCGTCCAACCTGTGTTCTAGTCAGTAAACAGCTTTTGTAGTTTTGTCATCGCTCGACTCACTTCTGTGCTCGTAGTAGTATTGGCCGCAGCAGAGGAGGGATGGGAAAGTATACAGTGTCGACCAGTTCTCGCAAAAGCTCGACCTCCCTCAGGCGAAGTTCTTCTCGTTGCTTGACCTGAGCGGTGAGATCTTTCAGGAAGCTCATGTCTTTCTGCAACATCTCAGCAAAATCGATACGCCTCTGAAGCCTGGGACCACCAGCAGCACCCATGCCGGCAAAGCTGCGACGTGTGACTTCCATACTAGAGAAGCCTTCCAGTTGCAGCTGTAACCGTTTCAGCAGAGCTGCACCACGCCTTGCCTCTCGCTTCAGTGTCCAGTACCGGCACACTTTCTCAACGAATTCCTTCTTCTTGCGAATCGTGAAGCGCGTAAGACTCGCTTCGACTGTGGTGTAGACTACCTGAGGCACAACCGGCGCGCCCGAAGCAAGACGCCAACTGCATTTCTGGTCCTTCTTGTTGCGTCGCTTGGAGACAGCAATAGTGTCTTCGGTGCCGTGCGCATCACCCCCTAAACCGCCGTCTGGTGTGGGAGGGGCTCCAAGTTCAAGAGCAGCCGTCTGGCTATCTGCCCACTTTCGGTCCTTGAAAGCGTGCTTGTACCACCGCTTGGCCTCAATAGTAGCATTGTCAGTGTCGTTGTTGCGCCGCCATTCCTGCGGGACATGCTTGTCGCAAAAGGCTTTAAGTGCACTAGTGTCAATCCCGCCCTGAGTCTGCGATTTCATCTTCAGGAATAATCTCGCCCGACGAGCGCAAGTAACATGAAATGCCTGATAGCAATTCTTGTTCCCGCACTGAATGCAAGCGCCCATCTTCTGGTTGCAAATATAGCAGCTCAATTTCCATCGTCCTTTCGGCACTTTGTCGACATCCTGGATCGGCTCCATAAAAGTCATGTTAGCAATGTTTACTTCAGGGATCCAGATGGCGCACAACAGATGGCTCCAGCGTAACGTGCTCGTCTGTTTGAAGGCACCGTCCACATTCGGGCAGAAGATGCAGGTAGGAGTGCCGCGACCTATCTCCTTGCACTTCCGACAGAACCACTGCCCCTCCGGGATGAAAGGCACGCCATAACATTCCTGATGAACTGCCAGGTCACAGCCGTCACAGAATATTATCGCATTGGCGTTCTCGCAGTCCCCATCGTCACAGATCGAGCATTTGCTATCCGGCTCATCTCCCGGGGGATTAGGATCTCCGTTCACTGCAGCTTGCGAACTGGATCGTGGTCGATGCGTCTGCGCGTGCCGGGGCTGAGGCTTAGGTATGCGCTTCTCGAGCGCATGGTATTCCTTCTCGATCTGAGTCATGGTGATTTCGAAGATTGCTGGCTTGATCGCTGGCAGCTCCTCGGCTTTGCGGTGTTCGTTGAGCTCTTCCAGCCAAGCCACATCCTGCTCGTCCATGTCATATTCCACCTTGCCAACAACTGGATGTCCCAAACCGACTTCCGCAGGTCCATCGCTCGCTAACCTCAAGCTGACATCTGCTTCATCTTCCACATGTTGATTCTCGGCCAAGCGTATCAGCACGTTCGGAGGCAGCTCGAACCGATCACTTTCTTGATATCCCACACCAGCCATCGTGCGGTCCACGTAGTTGACCTTGTTTTGTAATTGGTCTTCCTCGTATTGCAGAAAGTGGTTGTAGTGTCTGTAGGACGGCTTCGGAAGATTAAGACGTTCCTTGGGATTGTGTGTCGCCAGTGGCTGTATGCGTGGTGCTGGCGGAGAACCTAGGCCGCTCAACATGGACTCTGGCCTCCTCGGTGGCCGTCCAGGTCTGCGTCTGTTGGGTGTGCCATTTCGACCGGACCTCTCATCGTCTGAGGCGTCTTGCATATCTACGTCTCCATTGACCTCCAGTCCGTTCAATTTCAAGTTCTGTAGCTTCGGATCATGTTTGCTTGTCCTCCCATCTACCTCGTCTGCGGAGAAGACCATAAGCCCTGCTGCCAGATCAAGCTCTGGGTGGAATTCATCCCAACTCCTCTCTTCTCGCGGCTTGTATCCATCGCTAGCCTGGCTGGCAGCTGCCGCAGCTGCAGCATTGCTATATCGGGGGCGTGGTGTGGTCGGAGGTGGGGCATATCGTTCCGGTCGTTCGCGGCGCGGTCTCGTGGTCATGGACGGGCGCGTTACCGAAGGGGTGTGGCCATCTGTAGCAGCCGAAGTGCGATGCTTGGGCGCTTTGGCGACTATGTTAGGCCTCGCACCTACTGGCCTCCTCGAGCGACTTCTTGGCGCGCTGGAGATGAGGCCGCGCTCGACGGCTTCGGCGCGTGTCATCTCGTTGCCCTGCTCATCGATGTAACGTCCTCCTCCGCCTGGTCCTCCTGGCTCGAAGCGCAATCGCTGCTTCTTCTGCGCGGGCTCCGTGGTGGGCTCGATTGACGCTAGGGCGCGTGGAGTGCGAACAGCGCGTCGCGGAGAGGTGTCGGAGCCCGCCATTTTGGCCGTCGTTGGTGCTGTCACTAAAGCGCGGGTGAACGTGCTTCTGCCGCTTGTTGGCTGCTCCACTGCTGCGCATGCGCTGGCGCTACAGGTCCGACTATCAAGTCGAAAGCGATCATCGAGGCATCGACGCGTAGGAGAGTGTTCGAATGGCGAGTTCGTGAAATTGGCGATAGCCTTCCCCCATGGGCGAGCGAGATACGCGTAGATGCGATGAAGTGGAGAGTCACTTTCAGGCGGCCCGAGCTAAGGCCAGGCACGACTGAGCAAGGATCCGACCGTCTCCACATCGGGGTCACGGGATTCTTGCTCACAGAACGCGTGCTGGTTCTTCTCAACACATGGGCGATGACGGAATGCGTTAGTCTGCAGGCGTGAGATATGGCGTTTCCTCCTCTTCACCAGGCGATAGCGAGCTCTCCGTAGACAGTCTCGCACGCACTCTCACAGTCGTCGGCGGCGCGAGGACAGCATTACGACGAGATGGCATCTGGCGAGCTTACTCACTTCGCGCATATCATTTCTTGGTACACGAAAGTATAAATCGCGCCTCTGATCTGTTCTAACGGCGACTAGGATTTTCGGCTGGGTCTACTTCACAGCCTGGACGATCTCGTTCTTCCCACAAGCTGTTCTGAACTGGCGCCGACAAACGACCCATGGATTGATGCCAGATTTCCCTCTGCTCAACTGCTTTGGATTCTCGTGCTACACTATCAGCACCATCCTTTTCCTGTACTCGCCCACGATCCGCCACCAGTATGCCGCACGACATCCTGCGTCTCCGGAGCCAACAGTCCGCTTCAACGACCTCGCCTTTGGGTTGCTTGCTCTGGTAATGAGCTTTGTGACATATTCACAATTCTGGCCTCGACTCTGGGGTTGGAACCCAAAAGCTACAATTCACCGACATGTCACGAAGGTCACTCTTGGCCTGATATATGGCGGCTTCCTAGCTTTGACCATTCTATTTCTCATCGTTGTGAGTAAAGGTGGCGACCAGGGTGGCCGCGGATGGGCATGGATCGATGTGGTATACGGTTTGGAGTACATCAAGCTCATGTACACCATTTTCAAATACGTCCCGCAAGTTGTGTCAAACTTCCGCAGAAGGTCAACATTAGGATGGTCTATCGAACAGCAGTTACTGGATTTCACTGGTGGCACCCTCAGCCTTGCACAACTGGTCATCGACAGTAGCCTTCAATCGGATTGGAGTGGTTTGACGGGGAACCCTCTCAAATTCGGCCTGGCGAATATTTCACTCGTCTTTGACATCATCTTCATATTGCAACACTTTGTGCTCTTCGGACCTGTCGAAGAAACTCCAATACCCGATGATTCAGCGAGGGAGCGGTCTGAAGCTGAAGCGGAAGCCTTGTTGCCCGACGGACGCAGATGACACGGCACAACTGTGATAGACCTGGTTAGACATGTAGTTGAGGAAGCAAGATACCGACACCGAAACGATAGCCAGCTTCGAGACTAGATATCATGGCGGCCATAAAGTTTCGGCATGTTTCACGTTGTGCTCGCCGCACGGCGTGCTTACAAAGTCATTTTTCCAGTGACACCGTGCGTCAGGATGGCAGACGATTAGACAGTGCGCCAATAGCAGTAAAATGATTGAATGCCGCGGGTGAACCGGTTTTTTGTACGCCTGGAAATTGGAAGGTTCGAAAAAGGTTCAATGGAGATTTCCTTTCATGCGGATGATATGCATACAGAGGGTGTCTTGCCTCGTCGCGAGCCTGCCTCCGATGTACCTCTCTGTATATGCGGAGTAGGGAGGGTCCGACTGTCCAAGCATGTGAAGCCCGAGGACAAGCATAGCGTATGAGGCGGCCAATTGTAGTGTGCTCTCAGTGACCCAGGCCCCCTTATGCTGTCCTCTGTTGCACGGACTGCAGCATGCAGAGCAGTCGCCCAGCTCCCACGATTCAGACAACCATGTACCAGGATAAGCTGCGCGGCAGATGGCTGGAAGCTGTTGTCCACGTTTTCTGTGACAGATGCCCGCGAGCACGCGCCAGGCAGTTTCGAACGTGCTGCACAAAGCACAACGAAGTCGAACGCACTTCGTACATCGAGCATCGGCTTTTGGAGGCGTCCCGGAAACCTGATTGGGGCATGGACAGTGCACGCTGGGTTGGTGATTTTCGTTAGCTGCAAGCCGGATCGTCAGCCAGCATTGCGTCGCATCGCAGCGCATCGCACGGCTGTTCCTCGCGTACTTCTGCACCGGCCGCGCTGTTGCGCAAGGGAGCTGCAGCAGCGAGCACTTCACCTCTTCCCTCGATACCATCCGGCTGCTGATGTGCCCAACGTGCGGCGAGTAATGCCATGCGCCCGCTGGAGCTGCGCGCACGAGTCAATGGGGTGGAAAGACCTCCCCAGACGACGTGCGCCGCCGCCCGGCCGCCACTGAGCAACGCAGGACCAAACTCTGTTCTGCTCCCTTCGTGTGCGGAACGCGTCGCTACTGGCCATGGTCGTCCTCGCAGTGGCACTTGCGCAGGCCACCGCTCTAGTCTGTCAACGGTCGCCTCGCTCCACGCAGGAACGCGGTGCTCTGGCCGCAGATCTGCGTGCGCGAGCAACGGTGCACGCCCACCATGCAGCTGGACGCAACAGCAAGGAGGATCGATCACTCGCCGTGGGTTACGAGACGCCCAGATATAGAGCAATGGCCAACCCTGCAGGCGGGCGTTGCGCGAGACCTTGTCGCATCTTTTCTTGCTGCTCTGCATTATCGGCCCTGTCAGCCTCGAACCGGACCACCGACCGACCCAACGGGACATGCTCGAATGACCGATGCACTCCTCGCGCGCCTCGGTGACGCAGCAAGTCCTGCCACTGCCGTTAATACTCGGCCGGAATGAGAGCAGCGCTTCGAAGGCGTCCAGCACCAAACGCGATTCCGCCATCGGCCTGGGAGGCTTCGTCCGCAAGATATCCTTGAAACGACCAACTTCGCAGTCGCCGAGTCACGAAACGATGGCTCCGGTCTACAGATTGGTAAGATACGTCACCATATTCGCTGTCCTCAGCCTTGCCTATACGAGACTCGACTAGCCCACGCGGCACTCTATTTCACTTTCTGCTGTGCGACCCTACCGCACACACCATCCGTCATCCTCCACTGCTCCGATCGAGTTTCATCACCACCCCAGTCGCCGTCCGAGATATACTTCTCGCAGCTGCATGGGCACCAAAGCAGCTGTGTCGCGTCCGGGATCGATTTCAGCCGCTTGCGCGAGCGATAACTCATCACTTTCTTGCTGCGTTCCTGCATATTTGGACCGCACTCCCCGCACCACCGATTTCCAACGCTCGCGCACGAGCGCCAATGCCTTTCAAACCAACGCGCGAGATTCGTCTAAAGGCGTTCAGTTCCGCTTACGAGTATGTGAAACAGTACCCGCAACAGTCGTCCAGCGGTCGGCGAGAACTGCGCGCAATGGAGAAGGAGAACCAGAAGGATCGCCCGCAGGCCGGCACATCGCTCTCTCGCGACCGCAGTAAGATGAACAGTGTCGACACTGTTGACACTGCCATCTACTCACCGGCAGTACTCAACGACCTGGCCAATGGCACCACCAGTCAGGATGCTGGGCACGCGCGACGTTCGCTGGCACGGAGCTCGACTCAGTCAGACGGCACTGCAGCGCAATCAAAGAGCATTCACAGCGTCGACACGGATTTGCCACAATCGCCAAACTTCGATATGGACGACGCGCCTGGCATGGCCGCCGCGCCAGCTGAGCTCAGTAAACGAGGCATCCATATTCCCACCAGAACCAGGTATGTCCCTGCATGTATAGTAACAAGTAACTGACGAGGGGCACACCGTGCTGATACCCTGCGATGTAGCAGCAGTAATGACAAATCGACCATTGTACAGCCATTCCAGCCTACGCCAGCGAAGCCAGCGACATGGCAAGATGCAAATCACGAAGTCGTCCCACCTTCGCCCGACACCCCAGACGAGCCGGTTTATGATGCTGGGGCACGTAGCAGTGCAGGCTCCATGTTCTCACAGGAAACAGCAGCGACATCAGTTCATACCCTTCCGCCCCTGCAAACCAAAGGACCCGACAATGCTGATCCCACGTATCTGGAGCCGGTGATGGAAGACGATCCGAGATCGTGGGATCTCGTGGCACCTATCGAAGAAGGTCAAGAAGAAGAGCAATACGGTCTTGAGAAGCGAGCAGATCAATTGTTCAGCGCTGAGCATCTAAGAATTATCTTTGAAGACCCGCGCCTGCTTCTCAGATTCACGGGGTATTTGAACTCACACCGACCGCAAAGCATTCCTGTATTGATATATTACCTGGATGCGCTGAAGGCCTTGAGAGCGATCAATTACGCCAACGCAATCTCGGAAGCGTTGGAACCAATCAAGGGCCAGAGCTTCACTGACGAGCCTTCGAAGCCAACACTCAACGCCACACTGGAAGAGAAGGCAAATCGCGCATTTGAATCGCTGGTGCAGGAAGATCTCCCTGCTTACATCGCTCACATCTGGACTCAAGTCGTGAGTGTCAGTATACAGCGAAGAATCACTGGCACACTGGCTCCGCATCTCAGAGAGGCAAGCGAAGGACTGGCCGAGGTATTTTGCCTCACAGATCCAAGTCGGGCTGACAATCCTATCGTGTTCGCCTCAGAGGAATTCACGAGAACAACGCAATACGGCATGAATTACGTGATCGGCAGGAATTGTCGTTTTTTGCAAGGTCCCAGGTCCTCGCCGCATGCAGTTCGCAGATTGGCCATTGCGAGTGCAAATGGCAAAGAGCACGTCGAGGTCTTCGTGAATTATCGACGAGATGGCAGCCCGTTCATGAACCTTCTAATGACCGCGCCTTTGATGGACAGCCGCGGAAAAATCCGATACTACATTGGCGCCCAAGTGGACGTCTCTGGGCTGATCAAGGACTGCAGCGAAATGGAGGGGCTTGTACATCTACTAGAAAAGGAGCAAGCCGAACGCGAAGGCCAAGAAGTTGAGGAAGAGCACAAGGACGAGTTTCAAGAGCTCAGCGAAATGTTCAACGGCGCTGAGCTTGACACAGTGCGCAAATTTGGTGGCCGCATGCACAAGGAATACGTGGATGACAGCGATCGCGAGAGTATACATCGTCCTCGTCTGTTACTCAAAGACCCTAGCCAGGAAGAGGTGGAGAAGAAGCGCAGCATGTCCAGCGACGCCTCTTCGGCTCTGAAGGAGCGTCTGAATGGCAAGCTGGAAGGAGTGTATCAGAACGTAAGTTGGAAGAATCAGCGGGATTTGATTTTGGCCCATGAGCTGACATGTCTGACAGTATTTGCTCATCCGACCTGCTCCCTCATTGCGAATTCTCTTTACCTCGCCGTCATTGCGAGTGCCCGGAATCCTGCAATCCCCATTCCTAAACCGCATTGGCGGCTCCAGCCGCGTTCGTTCAGACTTAGCAGCTGCTCTGGGTGAAGGTCGCGGTGTGACAGCCAAAATCAGATGGCTCACCCGACCTGACGAAGCTGGTGAAGGAGAAGGTCGTCCACGATGGATACATTGCACCCCGCTTCTTGGCCATTCTGGCGCTGTCGGTGTTTGGATGGTGGTCCTTGTCGATGAGGAGGGATCTTTACCCGGCGGTTCATCCGGGAGACGCTTTAGGCAAGCGCCTCCAGTATCGTCAAACATTGGCGGAAAGGAATGGGACTCCACAAGTGCTCGCGAACGACGGCAGCAAATCGCATACGATAAGAGCGACGTGCGAAGAGGCGCTGCTGGCAAAGCTGATTACCATCGACCAGCAAGTCGAAGTGGCATTCACAGCTCGGCGGCGAGCGTGAACCATCTTGCGAGCCCAACTCGCGCCAGAGAGCGAGGTGGGCCTGAACCACATCATCTGACAAGCGCGTCTGCCAGTGAGTTTTCTTTCAACCTGCGAGGATGATAGAACTGGACATGGAGAACGAAGTAACGTTTTGGAATCTCTTTGAGTCGATGAGGCGTTCTTTTGGTCTGAAGGCAAAGCGGCGCAAGCCAGCTTCTGGAGCATGTATTATATTATACCCCAAGTTGCGCATTGCAGACGGTTCATGTAAGAAGAGAAAGTGAAATAATGTATCTTCGACCGATTCAAGTCTCTCCTAGCATCTCTCGCACGGCCTCGGCCATTCCTCGGGTGATTTCCCCGAAATCTGCTACATGTAGATCACTTCACTCTGTCGTCACTACTCACACTGTATCGAATATTTTGAAACAAATTATCATGAACACAAACATGATCAAATAAATTACATTGAATCCAAGAACGGGAGAAAACAGAACCGACAAGATTGAATACCTTTGAGCCTGCAAGACAAGATGGCTGACGCCACACCCACGACTGGAGAACACGTCCACGCGAAACCGACTCAAGACTCTCGCCTGGCAACCACAAAATCCAATATCAAATACCTCTTCGACCCTAAGAATGCTTCTCATCAGCCCTCTCAATTCCGCACACGAGCTTTGCTTCGCAGTCTGCGATACGTTACCATCTTCATCTTCTGGCGTCTGGTCCGTTATGCCAAGTATGCAGCTGTAGGAGCCATTACAGCTGCGTTGGCTACTACTGCTATCGGGTCAGTGGTCAGTGGTGTGGGCTTTGTTGTCGCGCCTACGGGGATTGTGGGCGGCGCGACGATGGGGTTGGTTTGGGCTGTGGCGAAGTTTGGGTGGAGGAGGGTTTGGAGGGATGGCAAGAAGAGAGGTGAGGCAGATGGGCATGGCGACGCGAGGAGGGATGAGAGGGAGGATGCGGAGGGTGTGGATGATTTGGGTCGTGGGGAGAGGAGGGTTATGGAGGTTAGGACGCCGGGGGCGAGGGTTGAGCCTTGGTGAGGGAAAGCTGTGAAGTTCGGCGTCCACTTCGATAAACTCTGGTAACAGGTATATCCACATTTACGAGCTGATAGCCTTCGCAACTGCGGTCTCCAATTGTGAGACCTTACCGCTGATCACTGCATCGTGTTATCGTCGTATGCTAATCCCTCAGGGTAACAATAGACACAAAATCTTTCAACGTCACCGACGTTCTTGCCCTCGCAGTAGTATCTCGAGCAAGCGGCTATATACATCCTGCTCGCTGCCCTCACATCGAATCCATTTCCGGCTTTATAGTGCAGTGGCCAGCACGTCCAGTATCAAGGAGAGTCTGCGAGGAGAATGTGGTTCTGCCTGGGATTCGTTGGGACCATACTCATGCCTTGTGAAGGATGGAGTGATGACTGGAAAACCCACGTTCGATTCGTGGTGGAGCCATCTTTTTGCCTCTTTTGATTATGCTGCCGCACCCGTTCGTACCGAGTAGGTGAAGTGAGCGTCCTTTGTTACATCACCAAGCTACTAGAATGGAACATTGGGCGTCCTCTTTTGCACCAGATGAAATTTGTGTTGTCATTTCTAGCATCCTCTTTACGTATTTAAGGCATCTAATGATTTGCGTCGTTAGGAGAAGACAAGTCTTGTGCTGTGTTCGACTAGCATATTGACCCTCTCACTTCTGACATCTCCTTTAGACTCCTTAATCACTACATGTCTCACCTTTTCCTCTTTACTCAGCATAACCGACTAGCTATAAATTCGCTCACATTGAAGCCAAGCATAACAATGGCTTCGTGGTGCAATGGTCAAGCACATCCAGCTCTGGTGAGGACGTGCACTCTTCGTGGATTTTCCGCATCGCTCGGCCGGTTGTAACGACCCGCAAGGGCGCGTGGAAGATCTACGTTCGATTCGTAGCGAGGTCAACGTTTGTCATGGGGCTGCGTTGCTTTTTTGCTGTCCATCGCTCCCTCATAGCAATTAAGCAGGATAGTACGAATGGGCAACGTAGCTATAGTCTTCTTTCCCTTTGGCTTGCATACGAGTCGACCCTCTTCCTTTTGTCCCTCATCTTCCAGACGGTAATCTTGGAGGCTGAGCACTGCACTTCACCTCCTCTTCTACTTTGGGCCTATGTATTCGCCAATATGTGGTCTAGATGAGATCATGGCTCCATGGTGCAGTGGCGAGCACATCCAGTGCCCATTAGGATGCATGCGGCAGGGCGCGCATGCATGCCGGCTGTAGCATTCCTGCCTTCGGGCGGCCCCTGCGGGGGTGGAGTGACTGGAAGACCCATGTTCGATTCGTGGTGAAGCTGTCAGTTTTGCTCTCGCCTTTGCTCTTCCTACTGTCGTTCAAGGCATGGCAGTGCTGTCTCTCTTTTGCGAATAGTCACGATTCTGTGTCGCTTTCTTCAGCATGATCGAGCCGTGGTGCAGTGTACAGCATATCCAGTGGGGTCGCGGGCTATACTGGTTCTGATTCCCCGACTGTTGGACGACTGGAAGACCTACGTTCAATTTGTAGCGAGGCCGGTCCACTTTTTGCTCAATGGTTCTCCTCTGTATCGGAACACTTTTTTCACACTTCATTCAATTCATCCACCAAATCTGATTGCACACAGCTTCGTAAATTCGCGCATGCCTTCGGAGAGCTCGACATGGTTCACTTCTCGCAGCTTTTTGATCAAATCGAGACCTTGCTTATCAGCTTTCACTTGCGTCCACGGGCCATGTTGTCTCTCATCGACAGGCAGCTCGTCCGCGATATTACCACGTCCGCCCTGATAGCCACCTCTGAAACCTCCACGACCTCGTCCACCACGGCCCCTGAATGTCTTGGGTCGCTGAGGCGCGCTGCCATCGTCGAACCATTTCTGCTTTCCCCAGGTGTAAGCGTCCTCTGGGCCAGGCTCTATCGTGATTCCGTATACGAGCTGAATCTGATATCGAAGATAAGGATATCTGGTCAAAAGCCGTCTAAATTCTGCATCATTCTCGAAGCCGTCGAACTTGGAATTTTCATGTGATTTCGACTTGTCATCTTGTTGATTTGTCGATTTGCTGTCCTGAACTGCCGAATCTTGTGGACGTCCTGCAGCAGTGAGAGCTGGGTTGGTAGACGCTTCGTCCTCATGTACCGGCTTGTGAATTCTGTTACATGCGACCGAGCAGCTGCCGAACTGTTAGTGATGCTCGAGCTGTAATGAGGAAGTTGATCCTACTATCTTGTCTCGCATTTTGGACACCGATATTTCGACTCAGCTTCGTGACATACGCCACATATCGCAGGCATCACTGCAGTCTCGTTGTTGGCAATGCATGGAATTCTAGAATGGGAGTATGCAAGCGAGTTGCATGTGATGGAAGAAATGTGGAGAGGAAGGAAAGGAAAGGACGGGGGCCGAAACCTTAGTGGTTGCCACTACGAATTTCGATTAAAACAAACACCTCTTATAG